GAAGAAGACAAACGTCGTCGTAACACTGCAGCTTCTGCTCGTTTCCGCCATAAGAAGAGGCTTCGCGAGCAAGTCCTTGAAAAGACGGCCAAAGAGATGACAGCCAAGTCTGAATTATTGGAGATCCGTGTCCGAGAATTAGAGATGGAGATCAAATGGCTCCGAGGGCTGATTGTCGAGAAGGATTCTCGTATGTTAGACATAGCAATTTCATCTGCGTCCCCATCATCGCTGATGTCGACCTCAACAGCAACAACTTCTGCATCATCAAGTGCATCCCTGGCTAGTTCGTTGTCAAGCGTTTCGGCTCTGGCAGCCGTCACTACTAAGAATTCCAAAGCAGAGAACACGCCCACCACGAAAAAGCGTAGCAAGAAAACGAAAGCATAGCAAAGCAAAGCATAGTACATGTTTGATCTTTATTATATTTTAGCATTCCTGTATCAATAAATCCTAGAAAAAAAAACAAAAAAAAACAAAAGCATACTGGTGCAACCATAGCACCTGACTTTTTTTTTGCACCCTCTGAAAATCATTCATTCTGATAACCGCTTCGGCCTTGGAAGAAGGAATTTAAATAATAGTGCAAAGATGAACCATACGTTACATGTAGCGAGACGCGTCCTGCACGTGAAGGCTTGTTCATCGTTATCTACGTTGTCTACGAAAATAGGAACCTTCAGGGTCCACCTTCCGCCTGTGCTAGTCTTCAGCCTGCAACAAAAGCAGTCCCTAATTAGTTAAGGGTCAGGAGGATCCACAATTGATATTGTAAACAACCCCACTTTAGGCAGGCGACTGACACAAACGGACAGAGCTCCTTTGCACATTCAAGGAACACACATCACCATCCAATGGCGTTCAAGTCTCCACCCGCCAAAGTTCACAGCTATGTCACCAAGTTATTGAAGGCTAACCTGATCAAAACGCCTCCTGTTTGGTACCCTGCCGCATCCCTCGCCCCTCCTTCTCCTACATTTGTCAGAGAGGGTGATGTCTCGGGTGCTAATCGTCAGGCGGAGCTGCCATTTGAGACTGAGGAAAGGCTTCAGAAAGAAAAAGCCGAGGCTGCTGGTACTTCATACACACCTCGGGGAAATTCCGCATCAGCACCCTCATCATCAATAGTCCCTCGCTCAGCAAGGACAAATAAACATCTCCGGTGGAAGAGTTTGCGACCAAAGAATTTGTACTATCCAGAAGATCGTCTTCGCCGGCGGTTCTATGAAGATCACCCATGGGAATTACGCCGTCCTCGCTGCTTGATTGAGACTACAGGAGATGGTACACGTCGGGACTGGTCGAAATTGCTGCAGGAGGGTCGATCCATCTCTGATCTGACTGGCGAAGAGTACGTTTTTTTTTTATATCCATGCATTTTACCATCTGATTCGCCATTCATGGAGAAAAGGAATTTACAGAGGATATGTCATTAACACTAATACTATATCATTACTACTATTTGTATATTTTTTATAGTGTGATTCAGTATCAGATGTACCTCATGTCGACAGGAAAATCAGAGCGGGAAGCCTATCATATTGCGACGGAAGAGTTTTATAAACACAGAGCTCAGGAGGAATCAGAAGCCCGTGTGGCCAAGGCTCAAGCCATGGCTTTTGGACTCCGACCTCGCAGAAGCTTTGTCATGAATGGTTTGAAGCGTGAAGAGGAGGCTCTGCGGGAGGCAGAGAAATCTGCATCTCGTTTCTAAGTTGAAAAGGAAGGGTCTCAATCTTTCTCTCTAATCTATGTATTCCAAAGAAATGTTGGATGGTGTTGATATGTTTCTGTATTTTTTTTTTTTTTTATTTTTTTTTTTTCATTATGCATAGACAATAAGAAAAATAAAGTATGTATGAAGCAAAACAATAATCCATTTTACTTGCCAGGAGAATAATATTTCAATTTAAAAAAAAAAAAAAAAGGGCGATGAACAGAGTTTCTTAAAAATTATTGTTGCGATATTTTTATGATACATTTTTTTTTTTCCCTTCGTGTTCCCTTCTTTAGTTGCGAATCAAAGACCCAAAATCGTAACATTTGTTAATTGCTTCGTAAATAAAATAAAAATGTCTAGCTGTGTCCTCAAAATGAAATAAAAGTGGTGTTTAGATTCCTATGTAGTCGTCTTCTTGGTCTTGGGGACCTTTTTCCTCTCTTTTTTCTTGAGTGCTGTCATATTGATCTTGACAATATTCGTGTATTGAACCATGAACCGATCCAAATCCTGAGGTTGGACCTGATTTTCCAGTTTAAAGAAAAAAAAAAAAAAAAATTTTTTTTTGTCAAGATCCTGCAGAATAAAGCAATGATATGGTCCCTTCAAACTAAATGATCGTTTTCATTGTCTTACAAGAGTTGACAGTTTTGTCTTTGTTCCACAGGAGACACGGACTATTGTGGGGTACTCCTGATCCTGTTCATCCACCTTCATGACTGTGTCTCCTGCTGCCTTTTCTTCGGCCTCCTCCGCTGCTCTAATCTTTTTGGTCGTGTAGGCATCTAACAACAACAATAATAATAATGAGGATTGTACGGTGAGAAATAAATAAAAAAAAAATCATGAATGTGCCATTTTTTACAATTTTTTTTTTTTTTTTTTCATGCCTTCCTTGTAGAGCAGCACTTTATTTTCCTATCTTATCCCTTACATCTTTTCATAGTCAAATACACAGTGTTTTTGGTCTTTGAGTCCTCGAAGGCCTTGGCCATTCTAGTGAGGAACTGATACACCATACAGTTGAAAGTTGGAAATATAAAAAACATTAAAAAAAAAAAAACGCCAGGAGTTGATTAGCAATGGAGGAACTACAGATGACGGTGAATATAATTGTTTATCCTGAAGTAAAAGTTGTCCTGCTTCACTATCTCTACCTTGTCGTTGTCGAGCAGCATCCTGTTCTATAATGACTGATGATGCAAACGGATGAACAATTATTTTTCTCTAACTCTCTTCACAGATTTTTTTTAAAAAAAAAAAGTACGTCACCGAACCAAAAAATTTTATTGGAAACTATTTAATTTGCCACCTCTCGACGCGTACGGATCATATCTCCAACTTTTACCACATATGGCGCAACAGATAAGTCTGGGCGATGAAGCATGTGCATACCAAAGAAGATTTGACCCTACAAAAAATAGAAACAAAGATAAATAAGTTACTATATTCATTCAATTTAATTACAATACCCAATGGAATCATGTATTTCACTCACTCCTGGACTCTTGCGGTGCTTGGAAAGTGCCAAGAAAACATCTGAATTTTTAACTGCAGTCTTTTGGTCAATCGTCACCATATGGCAGCGACGACAAGGACCCAAGATCTATTCGTGTAGAATTAAAGAAAAAGTATATATGAATAAGCAATGAATAGGAAAAAGAAAGGTTTTCAAGGCATTTGGAAATGAAAATTTAGAGTACTTACATCAAAGACCTGCTGTCCAATCTGGATTCTTGCCCAATGATCCTCCTCAAAGCCAACTTTCTGACCCTTGGTCACAAAATTTGCTCTGAAACTATCTGAGGTTAGTTCATGTCGAAGTTTCTTATCTAGATCTTCAGACAAATTAGCCAATCGACGTACGCCTCCTTGACCTTGATCGTGCTCATCCACCCAGTCTCGGACACGTTCTACGGATTTATCAGCGATCAAGAGGAAGGGACTTTCGTTTGATAACAGAATAGGTGCCCCTGCAGGCGCATTCAAATGTGACTTGACGAAACGTGAGGATTGCTGCAGCGATGAAGTCGAAGAACTGTCATTGGATGAGGGTGTAGTATGCATGGGATTTTGGGAAGCAACAGGCTGCCGTGCCAGGCGACAGGGCTTGCCCAAGAATTGGGTGAACCACTCATTGATCTCAGGTGCAGTATAGTGGACGACTGATGTACAATCACCACAGACTTTTGAACTTTTAGTAGCCTCCATAGGCATCTCATTCAACGAGATGTAGAGTTTGGTGCTCTTGTTGTTAAAGATATCACTACTCAATTGGGATCCATCTTGATCGTGCTCTACAATCATGAGGTTCTGTTCCAATAGAATCTCTGCTCGGATCATACACATGCGTGGGTACCGTTTCTGGGTCATGGCTGCTCCTGTGACCTCATCCACTAACATCCATTCACGATCATACAATAGACCGTGTGGAGCGATGGGCCAAGGCTGGCTACGCGGTAGCTTGTAGCCACGACAGGATTTGATAGGATAAATGATCACGGAGTCGACTTGGATAGGTTCAGAAGAGGTCGTATCGCGGTCAATCTCAGATTGTTCATCAATAAGGTCCTCGCTTTGTACAATAGTATCGGGATTCGTCGTATCGATGAAGTATTCTTCGAGGAATGCAATGAACCCAAGAACGTCGTCAATAGTAGACATGGCTCCTAGAGAGACGCGAATTGAGCCCGTAGGTTTACCATTCAGAATATCAGTATCATCCCAACAAACATGGCCAGCCTAATTAAGTATGTCAATTGAAAGTTCAGGTCTTCATATTAATACTTTATCGCATTCAGGCCTATCCACAAGCATGAACAACCACGTTATTTAGTACCATGCATTACCTCCAAATTCTTTTTGACCTCGTCTGCAGACAAGTCTAGCCAGCGTTGCATTGATCCTGGGTTACAAAAGCCTCCTGTTCGCACATGAATGTTCTTCATACTAGCCAGCCGTTCAACATCGCCATATCCGACCCAGTTGCCATTACTTCTCTTCAAGTTGAAGTTGATGATGGGGCCGTACATCTCTGGATTTCCCACTAGTTGCTTTTCTGGGGTTTCGCTCTGTTTTTCGCCCTCGATGTAAATATCACAAAGTGGTGCACCGTTGTAATGCTTCAAGGCCTTCATAGATTTATACAAGAACTGATGAAGGGCAGTAACATGAGGAGAAATGTTGGAGTAGCTCCCGTAAATTTCTTTTATACTCTCGAAGGCTAGATCCAGTGCAACAATATCCAAAAAGTTTAACGTTCCATCCTCAAAGCGTCCGTGCAATGATGATCGATAGACCTGCCATGGTTCGTCGGACGCAATAGCTGAGACGGTACCCCCACCAAAGTACCTCTTCCGCAACTTGGGCGCAAGCTCAGTCTTAACAATAACAGCACCAAGTCCTGTAGGAAACCCAAACATCTTGTAAAAAGAGACAACAACAAAATCTGGGCTTGCACTATAGTCACTGAGGTCAAGTTCAGAAGTCATGACATACGAGGCAGCATCGAGAAGAACCAAGTTCTTGATTGTTCGGGTATCAAAACAGTCTTTGATCCGACGGGTCCATGAGAGTGGGAAACGACGTCCACCAAAGTTGCATTGAGCTGGGTATGTGAACAAATTGTACGTTGGTTCAGCATTTTTCACTTCGGCGTTGCCATCAGATGAGGTGTTTGAAGTAGAAGCTGAGATACCAGGTGAAGGAGGGGGTGAAGGATGATGCGATTCTGTAGAGTCATTGCTTTGACCATGGCTCTTGATCGATGATACTGAAAAAAGTCTTTCTTCTAATTGATCTTCCGTTACTGTTTCAATATCAATAGAACCTCCTTCGTCATCCGCCAGTCCACGCAGACCAACAAGACTAGTATGGGCCTCTCGAAGGATGGTCAGTTTTGAGGGTGATGCATTGGCTGATGTAGCTGTGGATGATTGCCGTCGAGTCCAGGGAAAGGCCTCTCCAACTAATTTAATACCGGCTGATGCATTGGCCGTGAATATGACATCCCACTCGCCATGGATCGAGGCCTTGAAGTGCTCAAGAATCTTTTGGCGAGCTGATTCGACTCTTGTTGAGGATGCTTGTGAGGAAGGAGATTTAGAGTGTGGATTGGCATACAAGTTGGAAGTGAGATCTGCAGTGAATTTTTGAAGAAGGTGATGAGCAGGTAATGTGGCTCCTGCATGGTCCAAGTAAATAGCATCTATGAAATGATATGACAAAATGTGATGTGGTTTGAGGATCAATCAGATGACGGTCTGTATTGTAGTATTTCTTTTGAAGAGGCCATGGTTCTGCCTACAAACAGTCTACTAAAGATAATGTGAATGCATGTAGGGAATACCTTTGAGTTGTGGGTACTGTTCTTTACGAATGGTGTCGATTGCACCGTTATAGCCGTAGCCATGTGATTCGGTACTTTGAAGGAATTGTGTTTTGAGAGAGGATGTCATAAGAGAAATGAATGGAATTGAAATGAATGTAGGGCAATAATGCAACAGTGAAGAGACGAATGAACTGAAAGAATGTAAGGGTTAAAGAAATAAGCAAGCGATGCGTGTCCTTTTATAACAGAATGAAGGAAAAGTAAGAGAGAGCGGAGTTGTGTACAAGTGGAGAGTAGATGGCAAAGCTAATGAATGTAACAAATGAATGAATGAAGGTCCTTTTACGAAAAATAAAAAATAAAAAAATCAGTTGTGATGTGGGGCATGTGGAGATGAAAATTACCAAAATAAAAAGTGGATCTTAGTCTCGCGGAAATATATTTTCTGATGGAGTAGCCCTTGACAAATAAAGCCATGATCGTCATATCTGAATGTCGAAATGCAATCAATTGGCTGAGAACTGGGATCTTGTTTGTGCTTGTGCCACCTTCGGAGAGCTTGCTGCAGCAAATCAGATCTCTGTATTTTATTTCATCCTGGGGTTTGCTCTGGTGCGGGGTTGTCTCCTCTCCGATTCTTTCCATTTCCCTTAGATATGCATTTATTTTGGGTATTAGTACAGGAGAAAGTTTTAAATTATATACTAAATTGTAGTAGGATGTGGGTGTATAAGTAGTAAGCTATTGTACAGGTGTATTAATATTCTATTATAATCATTATTTGGTTTCCCAATCCACCTCCTGTGGTGCACCTCGGGGGGGCATGCTATTAGCATAACCAAACACTGACTCGCGCTCATATGTCGCTGGTCCTCGGCGCGTCGGGGTTGGCAAGTTCCTTTGCAAGGTTGAGACAGATGGTGGAAGAGGATAAGCTGGATTGTGAACTCGTTTCGGAAAAGTGGGAGGCGGAGGCACATAATTAGTCTGGTTGTCCATATTGTCATCTGTGTTATAATAGGCTGCCCAGTCATCATCGTCATGATAGTCTTGATGTTGAGACTCCATTCCAGCTGTAGATGGGTTGCGAAGTTGAGAAAGTCGATTAAATACATTGCGTGTAAATCCTGGTTGCGGGCCTCCCGTAGCTGGGTTTCTACGTTCTCTTGAGCTATTGTTCTCTCCTCGGCCAAATTCCATATCTGTATTAGGTGACCTTCTAGTATCCTGGTAATCACGTTCAACATCTCTATACGCGCCAGTTCGGTCATCATAGGCGCCTTGTTCCGCTCCAGAAGGCCCTCGTAGTGTAGAAAAGCGACGCTGAAAGTAACCAAATCGATCTCCTTCACCAGCAGGATCGCGCACTTGTGAGGATAGTGCTGTTTTCATCTCGGGAAACGACTCATTGGGTTTGAAAGGTTCAATGGCCAATTTCGATGAGGAAAGCGAGTCAGCAGCTCCATTGTCCTTTTTAGCGATCTCATTGTCCTTTTTAGCGCCCTTTTCAGTGTCTTCGGATGCCTCCCTGGTTGCTTCCTTGGATTTGGCGCGTCGTCGGTATCCGCATGTAAACACAACAATAATAAGCACAGTAACCGGAACAGAAACCCCAACGGCTGTTGGCCAGTGAGGCGGGTCATCACTAGGATTCGGGGAAGGCGATGGGGTTGATGTCGCTGTTGATGAAATAGAAGTTGTGCTAGTTGCTATCGGTGTAGGCTCTGGTTGTTGCCCAAAAGTTGTTGTCCATTGGTTTAATTTCATATTGTAGGCTAGGGTTACGTTTGATGATATGGCAGTAACCCCGTTGAAGCCGCCCCATGCGACAAAGAAGTCTCCAGAGATTGCACAAGCCGATGAGTGTCGGGCAGCAGCTGGAGGAATATCCGGTCCTTTTGTCCAGGTCATAGATTTCACGTCAAGAAAATAAATGTCATTCATGGGGGGTTGCTCTGCTGTTTTTGCTCCTCCGAATAACACTATCTTTGAGCCGTCACCTGTAGATACAAAGCATGGGAATACACGTCCTGGTGGAGTGACCCCTTTTGTACTTGGTTTGGACCATGTGTCAAAGGCATTAAGCTGATACAGGCCTTCAGCTGTAATATTATTTAACGTGCCTCCAAATACGAATAGACTTCTAGCCGTTGTACTCCAAGCGACGCCATAACCAAAAGAGCCTTTAATGTCTTGAGGCATTGGAACGGTGCGAAACTCATTTCTGATGAAATTCAGCTTGAGAAGTGAATTCGTATTATCAGGTTCCACATTCCCATTTGGAATGAACACAAAGCTATTTTGTGAGTCGGTCGCTGCACTTAACCCTGGAGACTTATTGAATGATATGGAGCCCATTATTCTAATCCATTTGATTTCCGGACCTTTATATACATTTACACCGCCGTTTACCATGATCATCACCTCTTCACCTTGAGGTGTAATGGTGCACGGGGAGTAGGGAACTGCTGGGCTGTCGAGTAGTGTTTGGGATTGGTATATGGGGCTGGTAGTGTTCCATGGTTTTGAGAGGTCGATGGAAAATGCTTGAGACACGGCGTTGGTGGGGCTGCCATATCCACCTTGTATATACAAAACTTTCCCATCAATGAATGCACTCGGCGAACCAAAAGTGACAATAGGTTTAAATAGTTGAGCCAGAACGGGGTGATTATAAGTGGAAAGAAGAAGAAAGTGTGAAATGAACTGGAGGAAGACGAGCAGATAGATTCTAGAACCCAAAGCCGAAGACGGCATGATGAAGAGGAGAGGCTAGCGAGCCAGGGCAGCAGATATTATAGTGATAGGATATCAATGGAAGGAATGCAGATAATGCTCAAAATCGGAATGGAAGTAGGTGGAAGAGAGGAGGTCAAAAAGATAGGGAAGAGGAGTGGTGGAAGTGAAAAGAAGAGAAAGAGCCAAGGTGTAAAATGAACATTCATCCTTGGATAACTAAAGTGATAACCAATTTTCGAAAAGAAGTAGAAAAGGATAAGAAAGCACCATTCATATCCTTTCCCATGGAAAACTACAAATGTACTTTTTTCAGGGGTAAATGGAGTGTGAAAAGGTGTTTGTTTCGAAAGCTGCACTAGATCCGTGCATTGTAACACATCTGCTCTGATCGCAAAATTATAATCTAAATTTTGAGGCAGAGTAATCCCGCCACACTCTCATTTTACCCCTGAATTTTACAATTTGAACTTTAAGACACCCGTTTACTGCATGCTTTTTAATCACTCCAACAGGAAAAGACATACATGTATATGCCTTATGGCATCTGTTATTGCTCGAGCGCTGCCAATGTAAAAGCAGTTATGACAGCAAATATTTTGAACAGGTGTAAGTATAATATGTATTCTTTAGTGATTGCCATCTTCTGCACAGGTCGCTAGAATGGTTCAGATGTGATCCACATTAAAATCTTTTTGTTTACCAGGAAATTCAAATATGATCAAATCAATGTCTCACAAGCCAAGTGGCGATCATTTTGCCTACTTTATGGTTCGTTCCACCCCATTCACTAGAATTTTTAGGAATGTATACATACAGGATAGTGATTTTATATTTGAGCAATATCTGACTTCCAATTCCTGGCCCGTTCAAAACCGTTCTTGCCATGCTGGTAGTCCTCGAACGTCTCATAGATCTCCTCCTGCGAATTCATCACGAATGGACCATACTGTATAATCGGCTCCCTCAATGGCTCGCCTGCGATCAACACAAAGTGTGCGTCTTCATCTCTAGTCGAGACCTTCACCAACTCCTTTCCATCCTCCGAGAATGTCAGTGTATGATGTGCTCTTCCCTCGAATCCATCATCCCCTACAAACACTGTGCCCTTGAGTGTATAAATGAATCCAGTATAGCTGGCGGGAATCGTTTGCTCCACAGTCTTGTGCATATCCATCTTAAAATCAAGGTACATAGTTGGTGTTCGAGTATATACTTTACTCCGGACACCATGTGACTCTCCTGCGATCACTTTTATCACTACACCATCTTCAGGCATTGCCCGAGGAATCTCCTTGTCCAACAATTCTTGGTATTGAGGCTTACACATCTTGTGCTCCTTGGGTAAATTGATCCAAAGCTGAAGTCCATGTGCTCGATCTTGAGACTTGACCGGCATCTCTGAGTGAACGATTCCACGACCCGCTGTCATCCATTGTAGATCTCCAGGCCCAATTGTTCCCTTGTGTCCTGCAAAGTCCTCGTGCTGGAACTGCCCTTCCAGCATATATGTTACAGTCTCGAATCCACGGTGTGGATGATCGGGAAAACCGCCATTTTTATCCACAAGAAATTCATCCAACATCAGAAAAGGGTCATGGTTCCGTAATTCTGGTCGACCAATGGATCGGCGAACGCGCGCGCCTTGACCTTCTGCCTGTTCTGCCGAAAGGACTGCTTTGAGAATAGATCGTGATGAGCTCTTTGGTGTAGTGCTGTTGCTTGTTATGGTCCCCAAGATGGATTCGATAGGGTTGTTGATAGCATAGTTGCTTTGAGCGAGAGTGCAGGTTTGAAGCAGAGCCCAAGCCAAAATTGCTGCTTTAGTAATAGATCTCATAGTCAAAAGGAAAAAACGAAACGACATTGATGTTTTCAAAAGGATAATGTTGAAAGTTCCAAGATCCAACGACGCTTCTTATATCGTTCTTTCCTTTTTCTGCTGACAATTCAATGATCTCGCCTTCGTCTCGTCCCTTTTTTTTTGTCAGACTGCTGACTACGCCGACCAAGCCACGGACGGGTGGCGTATAGATCTCATAATTGCTTATTCTTCTCGTTTCAAGAGAATATACGCATTCACAATTTTTAATACGTTTTATCAACAGTAAGAATAGCCTTAAAGTTTTTTTTTAAAGAGATTGACAATTTTCCATTTTTATTTGCCAGATATGAGGGTATGTATCGGCTCTAAGGTATTGAATTCCTATTGACTTAACGGTTCCCGTGCCTTTTCCCCAAAAAAGGAAAGGGTAAAGAGAACTTGTATTGGATCTTCTGGAAACATCCAAACTAAAAGCAATCGAAACAGAGCTCCAATGCGCCTTGCGTACGCTGGGTCTTGTTCTGCCATACAAAAGCCTGCCTGAACTGCCTGCCTGAACTGCCTGCCTGAACTGCCTGCGGCAACTAAAGGACGCAGCAAAAAAAAAAAAAAAAAATCTTTATAAGCCACACTCACACGATCCTGCATTTTCTTTTCTCAGTTCCCCCTCCTCATATCTCCACCATTTCTTTATTCACTTCACTACCACTATCGTTGACGGCAAGATTTTCACTTCTGCTCCGGAACAAGCTTACTGATCCCCAGCTCCACATTTATCAGACGACTATTGGCAAGGGAAAATACCCAAGGAGCAAGGAGATAAAATTATAATTGGCTTCAGAAATGAATATAACAGCTGACGTTCTGCGGGAGCAACTTCAATTACTGGGGCTAAATACAAAAGGGACAAAGCAGGAACTGAAGCAGCGGCTACGAAAGCGCCTCAAAAAACATCCAGAAAGTAAAGCCATCTTAGAAAAGGCCTATGCTACTAAGAATGCAACCGTATCCAAGGAACTATCACCATCACCGTCGACGCCAATCTCATATACTGAACAGGACAGAACTGATGACAAGGGCAAGCATAATGAAAAAGCTCATGAAGTAGCAACTGGGCCACATGTAGAGGAAATCAAAGAAGGCGCTCGTCAAATTCAGGCAGAGGGCGCGAGCGAACTGCAGTTAGAGGATACAGGCAAATCTCAGGGAGAGGATACAAACGAACCACAGGCAGAGGATACAGACAAACCTCAGGCAGAGAATATAGGCAAACCACAGACAGAGGATACAAACAATCCTCGGACAGAGACTACGGATATAGCTCAGGCAGAGAAGACAAGCAACCTTCAAGCAGAGACCACAAGTAAACCTCAAGTAGGAGACACAAGTAAAACTAAGGAAGAGGATAGGAGCAAACCTAAGGCAGAAGACATGAGCAAGCCTAAGGCAGAGGCAACGAGCAAACCTCTGCACAGAAACAGTCGATATGATTATTATCTCTGTTTCGATGTTGAAGCGACTTGTGAAGAAGGCTTTTCGTTCGAATTTCCTAATGAAGTCATTGAATTTCCGGTCGTATTGCTTGATGGCTTGACATTTGAAATTGTAAGGTGAAATTCTTTTCTTTTTTTTTTTTTTTTTTTTTTTACACTCATTGATACTGTCCTAATAATCCTCTTTTCTTCAATTGTAGGTCGATGAATTTCATTCATATGTTCAGCCAATCCATCGACCTATTTTGAGCGACTTTTGCAAAGAATTGACCGGTATCTCACAAGAGACGATCGATGAGGCGCCCACATTTGTAGAGGTGCTCGCGCTTTTTGAAGCATGGCTCACGAAGCATAAAATCATCCTCGACGAAGATTCTCTAGAATTTGCCATTAGTTGTAATGACAGTAAAAAGTCAAAGAACAAATCCAAGAGGGAAAAACAGAAGTGGACGAAACAGAGTAACAGAGGCAACGGACACAACCCACTTCACATGCAGCCTACTGCTGCGGCCGTTAACGATTTCATATACGGTGCCTCATTTTGTTTCATCACAGATGGTCCCTTCGACATTCGTGATTTTATTGCCAAGCAGTGCCTTCATTCTCAGATCCCTCGCCCATCTTATTTTACTCGACCTTATCTCGATATTAGAACCCGGTTCCGCGACTTTTTTGATCTCATCCAATGGTGCAACCTCGAAGGCATGCTCACATTTCTGGGACTGGAATTTCAAGGGCGACAACATAGTGGTATCTGCGATGCACGAATGGTCGGGTTAATTGCCAAAGAGTTAGCAAATGGATTTTCGATAGAGGAGAAACATCCCATTTTTAATGATGCAAACAAATATCTGGTGGCTCCGCAATGGAGTAGTGCAAAGTTGCAGAAACTAAAGGACGGGTGCGTTCTCAAGTCAAATCGATCGACAGAACAGACATTTGTCAAGATGATTACGTTCAAACGACTAGAAAAACTTGAAGCCATAGCAGCCGCTAATGTAACAGCAAAAGAGACTTCATCATCTGCAAAAACATTGTCAACAACAGAGCCAAAAAGGGACATAAAAGCAAAAAAAGGATCAAAGGACCAGAGTGATGAAACACTCTCGCCATCACCACCTTTGTCCTCTTCGTTATCATCTGAATCACCTTCATCTGATACAATGGTTGAGTCCGTTGAGCCTGTTGAGCCTGCTGAATCTGTTGAATCTGTTGAATCTGTTGAATCTGTTGAATCTGTTGAATCTGTTGAATCTGTTGAATCTGTTGAATCTGTTACCACCAGCTCGAGATTCGCAGTTTTGATGCCAGCTTCAGCTTGAAGAAAAGTAAAATGTTTGTTTGTCACAAATAAAAGAATATAGTATTTTTTTTTCTTCTTCTTCTTCTTGGACTGAGCTCATAGATGACTATATTAAACAATGCACCCAATAGGCCGTTGCCCTATTTCATTATTATTCATTATCCCTCCTTAGTACTCTCGCAATGTAGCCACCATTTGTGCTAGTCTCAATTCCTGTACCTCTAAAACTTCTAAAACTGTATGCAATGCTTCCAATTCCTTTCTCTCTGTAGCGTTCAGTAAGGACTGATCTGCCTTGACATCCGAACGTTCACATTTCTCCAACAGAATCGCTCTTTTGTTCCGTTCTACAAATCGTCTTTGCCTCAGGTTGCCCATCGTATGGTAGAGCCGGCCCACTATAGTATCTACAGATTTCTGTAATAAGACTTCCCATAGATAAAACGTCCGTGAAGGTGTGCGTTCATTCGTCTTTGGAACCTCTTGCAAGCTCAGGACTCCGAAGGTGCACAACGTAGTCAATTTTTCTCTTACATCCTTGATTGGCATCATCGAATATCTTGAAATTTGCTTTTCCTCTAATTTGCCTTTATCCAGCAGCATGTTCATGATCCGCACATAAGGAGCTCCGAAACGTGCTGTGACAATGTCTCGAATCATGTTGAGCTTCAAGATCCTGACTGCAGTCTTGAGGCTTACAATATATTGACCACTTCTTCCTGCGTCCTTCCTTACAACACGCATTGCGTCCTCCTCTAGCAATTGAAAATATTTCTCAAGACATTCATAAGGCTTTGGTTTGATATTGCTGGATCCCAATTCTTGCGGGTCAAACTCAAGAGTGTCGACCATATTGACATTTGTGGGCAAAGCACTGGAAAGAAGCGCATGACTGACAGGGGTCGTAAAGTCTTCCTTGACGTTGATCATCCGTTCTTCTGCTAATCCTAGCATTGTCTGCATGATAGCTGTAGCTGTTGGATTAAGTCGATTCTCATAAAGCTTGGCAATTTCCTAAAACGTTGTTGGTATTTAAGTGATTGTTATTTTCGATGGATTAATTCAACTTGACTCTATTTCTGTCATCAACTATCTCACACCGTGCAAAAGATAAGATAAAAAAAAAAAAAAAAAAAGGATCGACTTACTGTGTTACGCCATCTGATAATAAACCGCTCAAAATTAATCTTAAAAAACACATCTGTTTCCACTACTTCGACAATGACCAAATCTTTATCTCTGAGTTTAGCACGCTTGCTACCACTGTAATCATCTGTCTCCGTTGATTCCAATGACCGTTTCTGGATTTAAATGTTTATGATAATTGAAAAAAGGAGAGGAAAAAAAAAAAAAAAAAGGAAACGAATACTATTAGTTCACATTGTCCCACTTTCCACTTCATTGCTTTAGCCATCTTTAAAGCATCCTTTACTTTTTTTTTTTTTTTTTTTTTTTTTTTGTTTCTCAGCCCCTTACCAATCCAATGATGCCGCTATTCTGTTCCTTCGCCTTTTGTACGTCTAGGTTCTTGCGAATGCTGGCAAGTTCCGCGGCAGTTGGAGGCATTGCCATCTTGTCCGTTTCTTTCTTTTCCTCCGCCATATCTTTATCTGTTTCTGACAACGAATCTGAGGGCCGAACAGCTATCAGGCATTTTTCCTTGACCATCTTTGTAAACACCTTCTTGATAGAGGAGGACCCTGTCATTGATAGATCACAAAAGGAAAAAAAAAAAAAAAAAAAAAAAAAGCAACAAGCGCATGCGTAAATATCTTTTTTTTTTTTTTTTTTTTTAAATCAATAATATGATCAAAGGGAAAAAAAAAAGAGACAAAGACAGATGTTGAAGTTACGTTGTTCTTGTGCTTTTGAAGACGTTGTCGTAGAGGGTGCCGAAGAAACTGTCGTTGTTGATGATGATGGTGGTGATGGGTGATTGGCCAGAATCTCCTTTGTGCAGTCTTCGATTGTCATCTTGCCATGCGCCAGCAAAGTCAATGCGATCAATCCTCCATCATATTGATACCAATCATGTGCATCCTGAAGAACTCTAGGGATCAAGGTCCGGTGCAGCAACTCGGATCGGTTGATCTCGTAATAGGTCACAATCCGGGTCCGTTCCTGCAACTCTGCATAAACTGCAATGTTGTGCTGGATCATCACAAGTAGACATTCGCGTACTTGTCGCGGTTTCAGCTGTGTTAGCTGCACGATCTGTCCAACAGGCATACGACCCTTTCGGAGAAGAATATTTGCAACTTTCTTTTAAGAAGAAAAAAGTAAAAAGAGGTCAGATCATGTATAAAAGTTAAAACCAAAGGTTGGAATAAGGAACGTTTTCTATTTCATAGCAGTGAAACTTTTTTTTACCTCAACAGTTGGGCCAAAGTGTTCCCTCACAATGAGGCGGCACAATCGACTCTCTAAAATGAAATGCGAAATCAATTATGAACATGACTGAATTGTCCATACCCCGTATTGTGTAGGGTTTCTTTGCGTAATTGCTGACACACTCTTCTTCTGCCATAAATGTCGATTTACTATTTTTTTTTTTTTTTTTTTCCTTTGCCTCTTCTTCCATAATGCCTACCATTTCTGCTCATGGTTGGAGATGGAAACCAACGTTGTTAATGAGATACTTATTGTAAGCCTACAATTAATGTCAGTGTCAAGAAAATACTTTGCTCTTGTTGCTATTTCATAGACGCAGTCGTCTTTTTTTTTGTTTTCTGTGGTATTTAAATGCAAAGCCACCATGCTCTTTTAACGACTGCGCCTTTTTGACACATTGGCATGGGGAGCTGTGCTCCCTTAGGATAACAGTTCTGAGCAAGGAAAGGATGTACACCATAGACTTCTGTAGGGAGTTGCAAATTGTAAGCGAATAGGGTGAAATGTCAGGTATGCGGGTATCATGTGTCTTTTTTTTTTTTTTTTTTTTTTTTTTTTACCTATTCCAACTTAGTCTAATTATCACAAAATTGCATTTTTAAATCTGAATACAATGACTACCTGGGAACCATCCTGTGGCATCCTTTCCAACCTTTTTCCCAAAATACCAACCGTTGTCATTCAATCCAAAAACAACTATACTCTCTCCTGCTTCAAAATTCAACTGTCTCTCCTCGGTCGAGCTATACGGGTAAATAGCTGTGCACTCAAATAATGCCTGTGCAATACCAATCTCATCCGCATCCATCCCCTCATCTAACGCTGGCGGTTTGCTATTTATAAAGTCCTCATATTCTGCATTGTTGCCATTACTACCTCCGAATCCAGAGTTGACTGAATATGACGAAGATGATACAGACAAACGTCGAGCGCCAAATGCTCCACTGCCAAAGAGTTCATGATCTTCTAAAGATATCACTGAACCATCATGGAAAATCGACTCTGGTATCTCGAATGGGTTCTCATCCTCTCCAGGATAGTATCGTGGCTGAGGTTGGAGCGGCGATTGGAGTGATCTAGCACCCGTTGAAGGCGAATCCATCAGTCCTCCACCACCACTTTGTGAGCTGGATTTAGAATGCCATGACGTCCTCTCATAGTCAGGAGTGTGAAGTGGAGAAGGAGAGGCATTCGATGATGATGAATTGCGAGACCTAGCTCGTAGGCTTCTGGTTCTACTCCTGGTTCGGTGTAGCGCAACCTCACGCATGTCTTCAAATGCCATTTCTTTTTTAAGTAATCAAAGTATGAAATTTTCATAACAGATCGTTAGTGTTATGTTTTTTTTTCTTCATAAAAAGGTGCTGCTAAATAAAACAAGTAAAAAGCCTTACCATGCAATGAAGAAACATTTCTAATCAGTGATACTCTTTCCAGTCGTGCTAGGGGTCCATCATCCCGGGTCATGGCTGCAATGTAATCTTCGCAAATATTCATCGAAGCCACATAGCCTGCAACATCTCTCGATGCTGTTGGGTCAATACGAGCGACATAAAAGTCTAGAATCTTGGCCTTGACCTGTGAATAAAAGAACATTTGTACTTTGCTGAACTCCATGACTATCAGATCAAAGTATTGCGTCGTCAGACCCAGGAACTTTGGCAGCTCATCGAGCAATTGTTCGTTAATCGCCGTATATGCTGCTGCCGATTCAAGCATGTTTTTGTCAATCTATTGTACAAATGGTTAATAAACTGTATCAAATGTAATCAAGTCACGAATACAGCTAGAACAGTCTTGTTTTAACATTACTGAAAAAATAAAAAAAAACGTACAGTGTCTCCACGTTCTTTCATGCCTCGGACATTGTCATAATCCAGTAGTTTCTTCTCTCGCTTTTTCATGACCTGAAGTGGGCCAGCAAATAGCTTCAAGAAATTTTCAATACCCTTGTAAACGGTTTTTTTGAGCCTAGCTTCCAGTTCTCGTCCAATGGTTTTCGAGAACTGCGATAGACTCCTATGGAATTCACTGACTAAGATAATCGAATGGCTTTCATTATTTCGATGGATGGGTACCATGTTGTATATTTCCCGAAGCGTTAACGCATAAGCTTCCTGAGTGTCAAAGTATTCTGATATTGGTAAGAATAAATAAATATATACAAAGTTAATAAACAATAATGATAATAGCGGTATCAATATACGACTATTTATTTTACATTTTGAGATATACTTACGTTTGATGGAAACTAGCCATGCTAGAATGTATTTAGCAAAGTCGCGGGCAAGGCGTTGCTGCAGATTGAATTTCTCTAAAAGAGCCTCAAATAGAATATCAACCGTGACATCTGATCCACCAACAGCTTGTCGAAGTTGCTGAGTAGTTCTGGCGAATTTTTTGTTGAAACCATGACTGTAGAAGTAGAAAGAAGAGTTAGGAAAAAAAAAAAAAAAGAAAAAAAAAAAGAATATCAACAGCAACAATTGAGCTCCATCTTAGAAGAAAACACATACACAATCTATGATGGAGAGTTTATTAAGAATGGAAAGAAGGTACAAAGAAGAAAAAGTCAGTATGAATATTCAACGATTAGCAAGTTTCAAAGCATAAAGATACTCGAATGGTCCTTACATCGGAGTCGTTCTTCTTTTTTGGTCCAACAATCTTTTCCACAATATCCTTGCGTTTTTTGATATCATTAATTTCTTCCGCAATGTGCAGCATTTCCTTTTGCAATGATGCAATGCTTTCAAAATCCACATGATCCGGTGGCGTCAGTGCATGGATTTGCTGTTAGGTTGGTTGGATACGACATATACAAAAAAGAGTAGCAGGAGTTAGGAGTGACCAGAGAAAAAAAAAAAAAAAAAAAAAAAAAAAAGAGCGGAAAATTGAGGAACCAACAGTCGAATATTTGTTATTGCCATACGTTAATCAGCAATGGGTACTTGAGAACTCGTTGTACAGGTTTAATCAGCATGCTGGCCAAATCCCAGGTTGTTGTTCGCCCTTGACACTTTTCTGTACACGCATCAATGAATTCCTTCAGGTCTTTTCGACTATCCAGTTCTTGAAGGTGTTGTGCTGATGCTTCCTGTCTCTTACAGTATTCCGAATATACGCGCCTGATCCTGGAAGTCTAATACATTTACAAAAAAAAAAAAAAAAAAAATCCCGTACAATACACCATCTATTCGTTAGTAAGAGAATGGTAGTATCAAGAGAGTATCTCGACATTAGGAAATCAATAAAAACAAAAATTACCATTTGTAAAAAGGCCTCGCCAACGAATGTAGTTGCATCGTTATACTCCTCATCAGTGGCCCCTCCACAAGCTGGTGTAAGGAGCGCAACGAAATCCATTGTGAGCTCAATAACCTCGTTCAAATTCATAAATATAATCTTTTCGTCAGCTTGTGTGAATAGATGTGATTCTGCCATGTCTGTCATATAGACCTATTTCTCAAGATGGAATAAACGTAAAAAGATCCAAGGATAAGGAAATATATAAATGAGAACTCTCATTTTGCCGTACACTGTTACACACCGGTAACAAGAATGTATCTGATCAAAACACTGGATCGAGAAAAAGAAAAAAAAAACTAACCTCTTGTAAAAGCAACATGTCCTTCGAAAAGCTAATCTCAGTCTCAAGTAATTCACGGATGACTCTCCGTCTTTTATCCACCCGATGCTTCCGCTCCTTCTCCTCTGGCGACTCATCTGCTAGTGACAGCGGTGAGGAGGACGACGACAAGATGGAGCTATTGGAACGTGATGGCAGCTTGGGTAGTGTAGATCCTAGTGGCGATTCTGGGCGAGGTGCAGCGCGCTGAGGCGCGGGCGGGGCTAGTTTGCCAAGATGCAAAGAGTCTCTTCCAGAGGCGACAGGCCGTCCATGGTTACTATTGTGCCTCGACTGTTGGAAAGCAGAGTTGCGTTTAACAATGGATGATGTGCGAACTGGGACCGATGGTCGTACTGGTGCTGAAGCTCGTCGTACTAATGAAGACCCTGATTCGTCCTCATCACTACCCATGAAAGGATTTCTCTCAGATTCTGGTGAAGGAACTCGTGGCGATGGCGATGTTTCAGGTGGCGTAGGGGTCTTTGAAATCAAATTGGGCTTGATAGTGGATGAAGGTAGTCTAGGCAATTGCTTGGAAGGATTCAATGGTAGTTGGGGGGACGAGGACGACGATTGTGATTCAGAAGCGTAAGGAGAGGGTATTGAGGACGGTTGAGGCGAATCGCTTCTTGTAGAGGAACTAGTATTAGTGTTGATTGAATCCAGGGACATATGGGATGACCGAATTGGTGGAGTAGTGGCACCTGTAAGGATGGGCTTAGGGGAGTTGACGGGGGGTTTAGGTTTTGGTCGTGTTGCGCCCTATGGGGAACCATAGTCGAAAGATAATGGTGATGGGGTAGATCAAAGGATGTTAGTGTCGAAAGCAAAAAAAGAAAAAAAAAAAGCTATATTATATAATATTCAATCATGCTCAACTATGCGGGTCGATAGAATGAACATCCCAATTGCTTACAGGTTTTGGTTGAGACGGGTTGGGTATGAATCCATGCGACTGAAAGCGTGCACGTAAATTACCAAAGTCTGGCTGGCTATTATCAATCCCATCCCTTGAGGTAGTTGAGTCATTACCGTTAGCGTTATCTTTAGGAGGAGGTGTAGGTGAGGAGATCGATCGTCGCCTGCTATTCTCGCTACTACTGTCATTGCGATTGTTATTATTGCTGCTATCGATGTTTAGACTACCGTTTTGGGCGCGTGAGTGCGACATGTAATTGGGTCGTCCCGAGCCAGTGCCTCCTCGTACAGGCTCCCTTCCCGCTGAATCTCTTGTGAAGGATCCTGCTGTGTTGCTTGCTCCTGACAGAAACAGCGGTGAGCTGTTCTGCTGCCGCTCAAAGGTCTTTCTCAGTTCTCCGAACGCATTGGATGCTGGTACACCGTTATTTGTGACTGTGATTGGTCGAGTCCGTTGAGAGGTACTCGACGAAGTTGAGGTCGAGGTCAGGAACCCGTTGTTTGTGGCGGTGGGAGGGGTTGCAACATTGTCTATGGGGACAGAAGCCAGTCCACTTGGCTTGGGTTTGACAGGTGGCGGTGCTCTTCTTTCTGCGCCTCTACTTGCGCTGCGATTGAGAAAGGATGAGTCTGCAGACTGCATGTTCATTGATGATGAAAGACTCAGGGGTGGTTACAATTCCCCTTTACTGTTCAATAGAAAGGATCAGTTTAATCAAAGGTGGCTGAATGAATAAAGAATAATAGTATAAAAAAGTCTATTATAAAAACCAAGGTAATTTAAGAGCAGAAGAAAGAATGCTGAAACAATGAAGAGAGGAAAGGAGTGGAGAGAAGAGGAAGGGTGTTGATAGGCCATAACCCACATCAATTAGGTCTGTTTATCATTCATTCAACAACATACAGCACTGTCGCACAGCCCGTACAAACACGTCATAGAGCAAACTTTTTTTTCTTTTTTTCTTTTTTTTTTTTTTTTCAGTGGCAACTCATACCTCCTTATCACATCCATACTTTTATGCTTCTGCAACAATAGCCATTGTTGTTAGCAATTAACTATAAACCTTATGAAAGTCAAGCATTGATTAGAATATGTACACAAACACCTCTTGCTCTACCACCCTTACAAAAACACCAGCCTCTGATACATTAACATTTAGCTTCTCTCTTTTCAGTAACTCGAATTTCATATATTTATCCTAATCAAAAGATTGTCCATAAACCATTGAACACCAATATAACATATTCGAGTATTAAAAACCTTCATGATTCACATCGATGGCATTTCCCATCATGAAAAATCTGCGCCTAAAAGGGGTCCGAGAGAAAGCGCGTCGATCCCTTAAGAATGGAATAACAGAACAGCGTCTAAATGGGCTTGGAGTACGCAGGAACTTATTAGCGCCACATGGCACTAACTGCCAGGACCCAAGGAGTCGTTCACCCGATATATGCGTGAGGATGATTAGAATATTGTAGAGTGCAGATTCGAAGAGACTTTGCCATCGTGAACGATACTAATGTTAAAATATCTCGCAGTAGTAATATGATCGTGTATGACAGTATCTATCAAAACAGAATGATGTCCTATTTCACATCACAAATTCCTCGTGCATGATGGCTCCAGTTCGCTACGATTCCTTCGTCAATCCTATCTATCCCGAGGGTAGCTGACGACTTTGTGCATTGTTGCGGTAGCCTTGGACGAGAAACCAAGCAATCAGGATGGATGCGGGGCTCTCTCGTGGGCACAAAGAAGGTTAATTTGGATAGGGCTATGACATGGAGGCCCATTAGTCTGGGCGTTGGCATGGTAAATAATAATGTGAAACGGCAAAGCCTTATTCATGCTCACAAAATAAAATGTTTATACCAGAAAGCTATCGGCTATTTTGCCGGGATTGTACCTGAATCGCACTTAGCGGCAGAAAGTTGCTTGAAAAATATGTTCGCGAGAGCCAAAACAGTGGTGCTAGCAACCTGAATGACGATTTTGATGAATGACGGGCAATTCCAGTTCCTGTTACGGCTAATTAGCCTTGGTTTCTTGGAAGACTATCCTCGATTTCATAAGATGGATAGCAATGACTAATAGAAGGTACTCAAAACGGCGCCACCATATCAAATGAACGCCACCATACCAAATGAACGCCATATTTTGCTCTTTCATGCCACTACCGTAGTCTATATATGATATATATCTCAAAGAATCTCTGTAAAGCCAGAATATATATCAATTGTCGATCATTCCAGCAGCTTAATCTGCTTAAAAGCAAAGTAACATTAACAACAAAATAATTACCAACGTCAAATTTACATCTCAACTACTGGAAAATAAACTGTTTCAAGTCGATCGACTGCATATCATCGTAGGTTGGAAATCGTTAAAGTTTTCGACAAGAGCATCATCAACGGATGGCAACAGCTGTATCTCTAACTAATAGGCAAGAATAGGAGGCTTTCTCTGATGGAGGGCAGTATCAAAAGAGGTTTTGAACGAGAGACATCGACCAAGGAAGAGCCTAGGAATACACGATAAGCGGATAGTCATTCTTTGCATGTTAACGAAGACACGCCTAACATGGGATTGGAATCGACATAGTGCCATGGAATGGTAGCGTGATTTTCATCTACTTTAAATCCTCTCTTCCTCTCTCTATTGTCCGATCTTGCCTCCGCCTTCAATATTCTTTATCGCTTCTATCTCATTACACATTACACATTGCTCATTGCCTGATAGATATATACTTGATATTTAGTTTTTCTTTTATTAACATGTCTATTAGTACAATGTGCATGTGTGGAGTACATGTCTGTGTCTGTGTCTGTGTATTTTGATGAGGTCACGCAGATAATGAATAAAAAACTGAGTGTTATATTGTACAAGGAAGATGATGGCTCAGATAATGAGCTTTTTTTTTTTTTTTTTTTTTGGTTTGTTTTCTTGACAGCTCTTTAAAAAATCATTGAATCTGTCTTATGAAAGCATCGAAGTGTCGAAATGTGGTTCTGCCGTGTTATCATGTCATAGACGAGAGTGTCGACGTTGAAGAAGGTGGTGATAGTGATGAGTCCGTTGATAATTTCAGCTTCTTGGGTGGAGGGGGGAAGGTTGCTCGCTGCTCCTGTTGTTGCCCCTGTTGCTGCTTCTGTTGTTGTTGTTGTTGTTGTTGTTGTTGCTGATGTGGATGATGTTCACCCTCCTCATTTTCACTCTCACGATCCCGATCCCTTTCTCGATCCCGCTCTCGTTCAGAATCCTCTTCGTACTCGCCTACTGACCGCTCACGTCGTCTTCCATGATGCATTGAGTAGTTGTCTACCCTATCAATATCAATCTCACGATCACGGCCTCGTTCCCCATATCGAGTTCTCTCATAGTCCCGCTCTTCTTCTCCACCCATAGGGCCATACTCTCGATCTCTTCCGCGGTCACGATCCCGATCTCGGTCACGGTCACGGTCGCGATCTCTATCTCTATCTCGACTTCGAAAGTCTGCATAATCTCTATCAGCATCGCGATCACGGCCCCTGTCACGATAATAATAATCATCATCATCATAACTTCTTTCGCGAGCACGGTCTCTGCTTCGGTCGTAGCCGCGCCCTGATCGCTCTCTGTAGCGATCATAGTCGCGATCTCTGTCACGGTCTCGTCCACCCCTGTCTCTATCACGATCCCTAGACCAATCTCTTCCACGATAATCGCCCCGTCTTCTACTATAATCTCGATATCGATCACGCTCTCTGTCATGATCGCGATCGCGATCCCTTCCATAGTCATAGTGTCGACTACGACTATAATAATCGTATGCATGGCCTGCACTCTCATGGCTGTCATAGTAACGCTTAGTATGATCTGGAAGAGGGGGAGGGATAGAGCCGCGATGATGATCATCGTTGCTAAACGAGCCTCGATGATGATCTATCGCATAGGGATCTGCTGGTTGCGCAAGCGGTACCACAGCTGCGGGTGGTTGCGTCAAAGGACCGTGTCTAGATGGATCGTATGTTGCAGTATGTTCGCCGTAACGGTTTGACATGGGTCCACCATTTACAGGATCATGAGCAAATGGCTTCATTGCCTGATCAGCAGCGCGTTCAGCATACATTGGATGGACTGGAGGAAGAGGAGGGACCGAGAGTTGTTGTCCAGGAGCTGGCGGAGGGACATTTCGGTAGTCCGGCACTATAACTTCTGCTGCACGACGAGTAGCTAGTGCTTGAGGCGCTGATGCAGCTGAATAAGGGAGGTATGATGGGGATACGGCAGGAAGTGCAGTGATAGTTTCGACTAACGCAGGTGGCTGGTTCATGACAATATCCGGCTTTTGCTCTACAGGAACTATACTACCTTCAGAGCCCGCGGATCCTGACATGACAACTAAACCGACGGGAACCGCAGCTGGGGCGGAGACACTGACCGCGCTGGCTGGTTTCAATTCGCCACTTAAGACATGCTTCCTTGAGCTGGGTGGGCGATTTGGGTCGTTTGGCTTGACTTGCTCTAAATGCTCCATTCGATCCCCATCGCTGGGGTGTCGTGGATGGTGTGGATGATGTGGATTGTGCTGGTGCTGCGACTTGGGTTTTGCATTGGCCTTCTTTCGCTGCTTGGACTCATACTCGTGCCAATCGCCTTCGATCTTGGGTAATCTAGTAAAATAAGCGCGTAAAAAAAAAAAAATCAGACGCAATATTGCAACACTATCCTACATAAATCCTACAGGCGGGGATTTGAATAAACAAGTATAACAAAATCCAGCTAAAGGTCATACTCTTCTGGCGTGCATGCAGCAGGCTCTTCTTTGGTAAAGTAGTCGAAGTTGGTCAATGCCTCGACAGCCGTTGGTCGGCGCTTAGGATTGAGGCTTAATAGAGCCTCGGCTAAATCTAAAGCTGCTGGGCTCATGAGCTTGCCAAATAGCTCACGGAATTTTGAAGTTCTCGCCTCAGAGTTTAAGTGCTTGATCAACTCATACCACGGGAGTTGATCAACATCTGGCCAAGTATCTTTTTGGGGGGTTCCCATCGTTTTCCAAATATTATCCAATTGTGTAATCTCATTGTGTCCCTGAAATATCGGCTTGCGAGTAAAAAGCTCTACCATAATACAACCAGCGCTCCACATATCAACCTCTGGCCCATAAGCTGTTGCTCCAAGAATGAGTTCTGGAGGTCGGTACCATAGTGTGATGACACGATTCGTGTAATCTCGTTTAGTCTTCTTCTGAAAAACGCGCGCAAGTCCGAAATCTGCCAACTTGAGTTCGCCCAATTTGTTCACCAGCAGATTGGAGCCTGTTACTCGAAGCAAACCCGTCAATATGTGAACAATATTAGTAGTCCTATCGAGTAGGGTACATAGGCGCATCGCTCTTGCAAAAAGATGTGGATAGCTCACCTTTAATATCACGATGCAGGACACCCTTGTGATGCAAAAACCCAAGGCCTTCAAGCAGTTGCTTCATTAAGCACTTGATATGTTCCGGTCGGAATTTTAGATGAGGATGCCCTAGAATTCCCGTTAGATCGTGGTCCATGTATTCAAATACCATGTACACCGCACCTTTCGATACCATAAGCTCCTTTAAACTGACAACATGGCGATGACTTAGGGACTGTAACAACTTAATCTCTCGCATCGCGGTAATAGGGAACTGTCCGGTAATAGCCATAGGACAAAAAAAAAGTTAATTATCCTTCCATATAAAAGTACAATAAAAAAGAAAAAGAGGAAAGAGAAAGCTTTGCACGTACCCCATCCTTCTCAGCCTCCATGCGAATCCTTTTGAGCGCAACATACTCTCCTGTCTGTTTGTTCCGGGCTTTATATACTTTGCTGTTGACGTCAAGAAATAATGAGTAGTTGAAGTGAAGTGCAGTTAGTAAATTTTTGCCTCCGTATTATAGCACAGTCAGAGAATAAAGCCAAGCATTGAAGCCATACCCGTATGTTCCTTCACCAACTTGTCCAACGCGCTCATACAAGTCTTCTCCTTTGGTCGCTGGCGCTAGTACAGGCGCCGGCGCCGGCACAGAGTTAGGCACAGGAACAGGAACAGGAACAGGGATAGTATTATGGATAGGGGTAGGGATAGGAGCTGCTGCAAGGACAGGGACAGGCGGAGCAGCGATATGCTGTTGAAGCCCAGGATCTACGGCTGGATATGGAGCTACATACGCCATTCCATGGTGATCAGTGACAGGTGGCCGTCTTCCATCGGGATGCATAGGGTTAGGGCCATAGTGAGATCCCATCGGGTATCCGGGGTCAGCCTGTATTCTTTGGCTCCCATTCTCTGGGTATCCATAATCATATCGGTCCCGATTTCTGGGCGATGGCGCACGGCCGTGACGGTCGTAGTCAGATGAGTAGTGATGTCCTGACCATCGACTTGAGCGTCTACTATCGTATCTGTGGTCGTCCTCTGAGCCATGCCAGGCATCTCGATAATGTGATGACCGGGAATGACGGTAGTAATGCCCATAAGGCCCATAGTAGTCATCATCTGCTGTTGATCTACGCAGAGGCGGAGGCGGGTTGCCACTGGGATGAGAATATGCAGGCTCAGCTGGAGCAGTTGCTGCTACAACAGATGGGGCCGCTCCTGATACTACTGCAGATGAATTTTGAGGTACATATCCATGAGGAGCGACGGGCGGAAGAGGTGGTGGTGGTGGAGGAGGATGTACATTGGAGGGGGGAGTGGCTATTGGCGCCCCAGAAGCCTGAGCTGGTGGTATTGGTAATGGAGGGGGAGGTGGGGGTGGAAGGCGGGACAGAATTTGATTTGGTACTGTCGATTCAATTGGTTGTTTACTGTTCTGGTCAACCTTGGACGGATCTAATACAAATGACGAATCATGCATAGTTCTGTTCGCCCCAGGCCCTGTCAACTGTGCTTCAGTTGATGATAAAGCAAGCGCTGGATTTGCCGCTTGCTGCTTTGAAGGGTCTACAGGAGTTGAAGGAGCGGGTACTCCCGACATCTCATTCTTCAATAACGCCGCAGTAGGTACAGGTTCAGTAGTATCTACTGTCAGAGCGATGGGAATGGTGGTTTTGTCATCTCCAGATATTATCTGACTATCGCTAGGTAGTGCCGGCTGATTTACGGGTGCATGCTCAGCAGCAGAATGGTCGCTGCTGGGAAGATGGGGTGGTCGATACGAGTCTACATCCTCGGAACTAGTATTTTTTTCTATATCAGCATCCCTGTCTCTATCCCGGGGCGCTCGATCCCTGTCTTCCCAATCGTAGCTTGCTCTGTATCTGTCACTATCATAGTCATAAGTACGGGATCTCTCCCAGCTCCTGTAGCGGTCTTGTTCACGCTCATTATCATGCTCACGGCCCCGTCCGCGCCCACGATCATAGTCATACTCTCGTGATAAGTGGTCCTGACCTTTGACGGAGCGTGACTCACCGTCTTCATCACCAGATTTCCATGGAGCTCGCTCACGCTCACGCTCACGTTCAGGATCCTCATATCTTACACGCGAATCTTCGTAATCATAGTCACGATGAGACCTCTCATGTTCTTTATCGTCGCGATAATGTCTGTCATGTCTATCATGCCTATCATGTCGATAGCCTCTATAGTCGCGATCACTTGGATGGTCCACCTGATAGCGATAATCCCTATACCCACGGTCATGCCGGTAGTCCCTGTCGCGTTCATAGTCTCGTTCGTGGCTTCTTTCACGACTGTATCGGTCCCGATGGCGCCCTCGGTCGCGTTCCCTAGATCGATCATAACGGCTCCTAGAATAACAGTCTCTGTCCCGCTCTCTCTCCCGCTCCCGTTCTCTTGAACGATCCCTGCGATCGCGACTCTGTTCTCTCCTCCAGTCTCTGGTGGCACCATAGTCGCGAAATGTGGGAGGGTTGGCAGGCTCCTTTGGAACAATGTCCTGAGCCAATTGAGGTTTCCTGCCTAATATCTCATGCTGTAGATCTAGCTCCCTTTGCAACTGTAAAGCTGCAGCTGACGCAGCAGCAGCAGCACTTGTGCGCCCAGATGCCCTACTAAATGACGAAATAGAGTAGCTGTTGGAGTACAGTGATTCTGAAGCGCGCGCTGATTGGAAAGGTAAGGCTGGGGTTGGCAATGGTTTGGCGACTGCAGGCACCGTAAACGATGGTGTAATTACTGGAGGTCGCGTAGTAGACGGTGATGTTATCGTCGTTTCTGCTAGTGTGGCTGTAACTGCAGAAGTCGTAGCAGTGTTAGTAACATTAATAGTGGTATTATTATTATTAATAGAAGCCGCCGCTGTTGTAGGAGAAGCAGTTGAAGTAGACGAAGTTGTAATAGCGAGAGTTGTCAAGTCTGTGGTGATCGTCTGAGCTGGTGCTCCTGTGGTGGGGTTTAGGGCTCCTTCGCTGACAGTTCCGGTGGCTTGAGGTAGCCCGCGAGAATCTGGTTGGTCCTCATGCATGGCGCAGTTGCGGTCAGGTTGAGGTTGATCCTGAGGGCAAGACGTGAGAATAGATGGTTTGCAAGCAAATGTACAGACCACGATGGAGACCAAAAAAAAAAAACTCGAGCTTGGCTATTCCATGACTGGGATTTTTGGGCACAATGCACACAGTGGAATAATATACAATCGCACGTGCAGCGCATATCGATTTGTAGTCATGTGTACAATTTATTTAATTTGGCAAATGCACAATTTATCCCGGGCTCTGAACTTTGTTCGTTAATGCCTGCACTATCTCTAATAAACCCTTGGTTCGGATCTCCTCCAGCGCCTGTAATGCATCGTCTAGTGTAATAGTGCCCTGTCGTTCAACATGTCGTATGATGATCGGCAAATGGGACATTACTGAGTTGTAAGCTGTGGCAGAAACATGGCAGTAGTGCTCTTCCGTTGGGTAGAAATCATCAACAGTGACATGCTCGCATTGCGTATTATCAATATTTGGTATTGGTAACTTCGTGTCGCTATTACTAGCTTCCACATCTAACCCTTTGCTCTCGACATGATCGTCTTTTACAACCACTCTGTCCCTTGATGCGCTGCTCATGGCCTCCTCGATCTGCTTCCAGATTCGTGGCGTAGGGCAACGACAGTGTTTCCAACCCCATGAGTTATAAGTCCATTCTAGCCAAAGTTCTCTTGCGGTCATTTTTGAAAAGTCTTTTTTGATAAACAAATTGGGCTCCCATAGCATGACAAGTTTCCTACGAAAGATTCGTCTCTCACTGTTCTGCAACTCTACTACCTTCAAATCTTTGAGAGTCCGTTGGGGTATACCCCATTCCGAAAATGGTTTAATCAATTTCGGTCTCCCTCGGGAATGTATCTTGGTTTTTCCAGTACTAATGCCCGATCCCGACGAGCCACCGCCCTTGGCAAATGCAATAGCCTCAGCTTTTTTCTTATAGAAAGTGGGAAGTGTTACTCTCCATCTCTTCAATGAATCAGGTTTCGATCGTGCTCGAAATGATTCGCTTTGTGCACTGGTACTCGACCCTAGGCCAGTGGCTGTTGATTCCAGGGCTGTTCCTAATATTAATGCTCTTCTAATCGAGCTTAGCGTAGCGGTATTTGTATGGGTGATGCCTAATTCTCTCGGAATTCTTATGCGGGTTGACCTGCGCAACAGAGTTGTGCCTTCGTCCGGAGTTTGGAAAGTACGTTGTACACCTTCATCCGAAGCATGCATACAGATGGGGTCGGCCTCTTGAGTTGGCATACTCTGTTCTTTTGCATTATGATTCACAGCTGCCTGTGGCCTCTCCTGACTATTATCATAAGGTTCGATTTCGCTGTTTACTGCATTCTGGTCAAGGCTTGAAGATAGTTTTCTTCGTTTCGTCGCTTCAGCTTGAGGTAGGGACGAAAGTTTATCTTGACTCGTAATTGAGCCGACCAATGGACGTTGGGTTTTGTTTAGTATTTCGTTATTTTGAGGATCAATCTCTCTGAGTTTGATCACATGCTCCTCTTGCGGTTGTTCTGTTTCCGACAATTCTCGTATTTTCCTTGGCCGACCACGCACTCCTTGTCTTCGTTCTACCTGTTGCAATTCTGCTCTCAGGTGCTCGGGAGGTGGATTTCCAGATAACAATTGGCTATCCATGTCAGTATGGTTGTCATTTACTCCATCCTTCCTATGTTCAAATGAGAGTTGTGTGGGGTCAAACTCGTCCGAACTATATTCCTCTTCCTCTTCAGGTTGCTCGAGATTGCGATGAGGATGCCATTGGTCGTGCTCTTGCGATGAACCGTATTTTTCTTTATGTGTATGTCTGTGTGGTTTCCTCACTCTCCGTTTCCCTCTTCGTCGGCGTCCTTGCCCATAGAGCTTGTCCTCAAGTCGTTCAAACATTTGCTGCATTTCCTCAAATCTCGCTTCCAAGTGACGGGTATGCTCACTCTCGCTACTAAATTTAGGCTCCAAACGAGCTCCTCCGTGACAACGCCCTTGTAAATTAACTTTATCCAACTCTGATGTCAATATAGCTTTGGTTCCTTCGGGATTTTGTGATTGCTGCGAGTGCCTATGGAGCTCTTCTGATCCGGATTCCAAACCTTCAGTGGCAAGCCCCGCTTCTTGCTCGTATGAAGCATGCTGCTGTTGCTGTCGGATTTCACTTTGTGTATTAGGGATATGTAATAGTCGATGTGGGACAGCCACTGAAGACAGGAACATTCTTGTTGATGTTGACTCTGCTGAGGAGAGATGCGTGGCGCTGATTGGAAGAGATAGTGCGGGCGGGTCGGTTACTTCTGCAACATCTTGTTTCTTCCAGAACTCAAGCACAGGTCGAAGCAAGACATCAAGTGCTGGATCAGTGTTGGTATTCCCTTCAGATAACCCTCTTGATTGGACGACATAATCCATGTACTCTATCATTTTTTGAGGGGTAACTCGATCTTGATCATAAAACTTTTTCGAGGCACACCAATCCTGCCAGGCATGTTAGGATTCGTCGATGTATTAGATATTACTCAAAGTAGTAAGAAAGAGTAGAAGGAAGAAAGATGGAGGACTGAAAGTGGCGTATCGGATGCATTGACAACACCTGCACCTTACCTTCCATACGCGGACGCCTTGTTCAAGCATCTCGTCTTCTAACTGTCTTATCCTTCTCAAAGTTTCTTCTTGTAGCTGATTTCGTTCACGTGCAAGTCTTCTCATGTTCAAAGTATACTCGCTAAATAAATCAGTGTTACCACTGCTTATACTACTGATGCTGACGTTATCGTTGCAATTGCTACTAGTTGCGCACCCATTCTCGAGTGGCAATGATATAGGTGATGTCGACATGTTGTCTGAGGCAGGATTGTATGCAGCTGTATGACGTTCCTCGCGTGCATATTGCTCCCAAGGTTTGTCGCTGATCTGACGGTCGAACTCAAATTCACTCGCCAGGGTATTTTTAATGATGACTTTGTTCTCACGCTTCTTAAGAATAGTGGGTTGCCGACTTCCCGAGCTTAACATTCCAATAGTTGCTCTTTTATCTAGACCAAAAACACTGTAAGGTAACATAGACGTATAAAATTAGGATGTCCATACAAAGAACTATTTAGTAATTTGCATAAATATAACCAGGCAAAGCGGCGATTCATTTTGGTGCAAATGCAAATTCCATTGGTTACTTGGAGTTTCCTGACGAACATCAATTGCAAGATCCTTCTCTTTCTTTTGAGCAGTGAATATTGATAAAAATAAAATAAAACAGGTAGAATGCACACAGGCGCATGTGCATTTGAATGAGTAAAGGCTAAGAAAAATATTGTGCGATAAAATAAGCAGAATAATTTTAATAGCAACCTGCCGATGTGCTTAATATACTACGCAAGACAAAAAAAAAAAAAAGTCTGAAACTTGACAAAAAAGGCGTGTTCAAGTTTTGCTAAAGTAAATCTTCGTGATCTAAAAAAGGCGGAGGTGCCTCATCTTCAAGCATGGGAATATTTAAATCAGAGTCAAGATTTCCTGTATCGTCGCAAAAAACTTGAAGCGTTCGTGTGGATGGGATATCGTTTCCTATTGAGGACGCGTTTTCTGTATCCTGCAGACTGTGGCTTCTCATGCCCATAGATTCGCTATCTTCAACGTAGCTTGCTTCTTCACTTACATAGCGCCATGTGTCCTCTACTTGTTCTTCCATTTGGTGATGTTGGTGTTGTTGCATCTGGCGAACCTTTTGTTCGATGACCATGGTGATATCAGACTGTCTACGACTAGGATCGGATCTGAAGGGACTTCTCTTATTTGGAAGAAATGACAATCTATTGCTTTCTCCTTCTTCAGCTCGCTTCCTCTTTAGTGCCTCAATATCCTGCGTGATTGTCGATGGAAAACCCTGTTCTAATTTCCTAAGAAAATCCTCTGTTTTATCCCTAGCCTGGTCATCATCTTCATCGTATCCGTCTTGAATTTCGTTCTCCAGAATCTCGTATGATGGAGTAGTAAACTCCCAAGGGATGTTTGGGATTGAATAAGCCATTGTAAACTTTTCCAGCTCATCTTCCTCGACGCCTTGACTGTCTTCAGCGCTCCACTGTGAATCCATACTTCGCCTTGAGCGCGATCGATCACTAAAGATCTTGTTCATCTCTGCTGACGCATATTTGGTATGCAGAGTGGGAGATGATGCAGTCATACGTCTAGCTGTGTCAAAAACCCGGTCGTCAAAATCCTTTGGGCTTGTATGCAGTAAAGACTTGGCCTGCGAAGATTGTTGAGTATTGCTATCTTCAGTGCTATAATTTAGGGTTTGTGGTGATGGAGCTACTGGGATACAGTGGTATTTATCGCTTTGTTGATTGCCTGTGTTTGGACGTTTGTCTGGTGGCCTTGAGTGCGGCCTCCCTGAGTTCTCCTCAGTATTGATATCAGATGCATAGCATGATTGTCTCGCTCTAATTTCTTCAATCGAAAATTCATCCACAGCAACATATATCTGCTCGAGATCAATCATTAAGCGTTCCTGGGTGCCTTTTTCGTTCTTCGTAATAGGGAATCGACTTAATTTTTTTTCAGTATGTTGAGACGATGAGAATGGTATTATACAATGCTCTGTCTGGTGCTCAGGTGGCTTTTTCTCGTCTTGCGACTGTCGCATAATCGATTCGTGTAAAATCGGCTCGCTTAATATTGAATTAGATGCTACTTCCGAGCCTTCAATGTTGCCTATTAATCCACTTGATGCTGCTGATGATGTCTGGTGTTCTGTCACAGTCTATAGGAATGAGTTAATAAACATTTCTATCATCAATTAGTGCCATCTTCTTTTTCAACATCGTGTTCAAAGCACCATTGACCATTCGGAGGACAGTACACTATCTGGATCACGGTAAATTTGAAGCTTTGGATAGGGTCGCTTGGGAAGGGTATCTTCAGCTGTCAGTCTTGTTCCTTTCCATGACATAGCTTCTCTAATATTTTCCTTTCTACGAACATGATCTGTGCCAAGATCCTTCCATGGAGCACTTTCGTGGGATGTATTGGGCTCTTTTACATGTCGAGGTCGGTCACTCAAGGAAGACTGAGCACTCCGATCAGAAAATACTTGAAGCCTGGCATTTGGACGCTGGTAGCCAGATGATGATGTTGATGACGATGAAAAGTTGGACGAGCTAATTGGTGCATGCCCCAAAGACGTCTCGTTGACGTGTATGGATTCTGAATTAGAGATCTTGGTGCCAAGAACTCGGCGATTGACATTAGATGACGTGGCAACTGGATCTGCCGGACGAGATCGCTGTGGCATACGAGTCATGGTCGAGTCTTCTAGAGCCCTCCTTTCCTGCTCCTGATGGAAAAGTTCAGCCCTCCTTTCAAACTCCTCAAACAGCCTTTTTAAACGGCCCAAAGGGCGAGCCCTCCTATGAATGCCCAGCAGAAAAATCTCCTTTGCCTTTTCATATCTAAAAAGAAAAATGGTAAGGTTATTATTTGATGGATGATTAACATGTACATAGATGACAACCACCATTTCATTACAATAGGTTATAGCGCAATTGCAAGGAAACTCACTCCTCTTGTGACTCCAAATAGTCTGCATGTTCTTCATAAAACATGGCGATTTCATTCCCAATCTTGTTGGTCTCCATAAAACTGAAAACGTCCATCGGGAACTCGATCTTCTCTGAATATAGAATAAGCAGCTTCACGTATCGTGGGTCGTTCCTGTAACGCTCCTCATCCTTGAATGTTTCAATTGCTTGCTCAAGTAGCGACACCAATCGAGAATCATGTCCCTGCGCTCCGCTTTGAGGATAATTCTCGATCGTCCAACTCACGTATCGCATGTATGCATCCAAAGGGTCCTTTAGTTCATCGATTCGATCGAGTTCGGCCTGAAAACGCTGATGTTGTAGCGCCAGTTCGTGTGCACGATCAACAGGTTGAGTACTAAAGAGGCGACTAAGGACTTGTGCACTACGACCCTGCCTGATGGGCTGAATATTTTCTTTCTCAAGTTCAATGGCATCAATGTCAACTACATGAGAAGGAGAGAATGAATCGCGTGGAGGCGAAGGTGGTAAAGAACGCTCTTTGCTATAGTCTTGGTGGTGTTGCTGCTGTTGGTTCTGCATTCCTCCTTGAATCACGTATACGTTGCTCCAATGATGTGATGAATGTCAGAAACATTGTTTTTGTTTTAATATTGTAGTCAAAACAAGTTGTGGGGTTTTTTTAAGTAATTATCACGTGCCTCGGATGAAAATCCGCTTACTGTCCAACGGACCATCACATTGAAAAGTTATCTTTCGATCAAGGTACTGATACTACTACATCATCCGTAATTTATTGAGGCTTTTTTTTTAAAAAAAATTCTATCTATGATCATAACATGAAAACCTTTACTTGACCTTGATCATGGCAATGATATAAAAGACACTAGAAAAAATTCTGTAGAAAACAAATAGAAAGATAAATAATTATCAATACTTGCTTCTGTCTTCGAGAATACGTGCATGTTAATGCCTCCGTTTAGGTATATGCATCAGTTGGAACAATTGGAAAATAAAAAGTTGGTAATCATTCTCTATCATGATCCCTAGGGTTCTCATCATATGCATGGAGGACTGGAAACTTGAAAAAATATGAATATTATATTTGTATATTATATGAGTAAAGTGCTTACGAACCTTTTGTACAATTGATCCTATAAACTTCCATGGGTCATGTTATTTGGCACTCTCAATAATACTATCGAGTCATAGTAGGCATAAATTAAAGAGAAGATACATTTGTCAGCAGCAAGTTCAATTAATAAAAGAGAAAATTAAGCTGATATGGCTTCCCATAGAGCAATATTCTGCTGATCTGTATATACAGGATCAACAATATGGATCAGAAATAGTAGTGGAAATTTGTCTCATCGGCCTGCGAAAGCCTCTGAAGTAGCAAATATATATTCAAACATCATAAGAGGAGAATGTATGCTTTAAGGAAAGTGCAGCATGCTGCGTTGTGAGAATAAAGTATGTGAGTATTCTTACCATAAAAATGTATTGAGAGTGAAATGGGAGTGAAGAATGAAGCGATGAAAAAGAAAAGATCAGAGATCAGAAAAAAAACTTGTCTTTTGATACAATCAAAAACAACAAACACACAAATACTGAAATCACGGGATTTGTTTCTATGATATCCTCCTGGACCTGACCTTTGCTTTGTTACAAGCAAACTGCTTGCTATCCGCCACACATTCATTCATTCAGATGAGTATCTCACTGCCACCATCATTCAGCTACACCCTGCCTGCATCAAATGTCTTTGTCATTGGACTGGCTGGTATGACCTTGCGACTATAGGTGGTTCAGATATAGAAAGGACGGGAAGGCATAAAAAAAAAGAGAGAGTCCCAGAAGTCTATTTGCAGTAGCTGTCTCATACAGAATATGACCTACTTGAACTGACGCCCTTGCTCTTTTAATCCACACCCTGGCCCTATAGGTGGTGCTGACTCAGGAAAGGTACATAGCTGCATTTTACGAGATGGCAGCAGGAAAGAAGGGGTCTTCTCGACATTTAATAATTGAGATACTTCCCGCAAAAAAAAAAAAAAAAAAAAAATGATAACTATTATTATTCTAGGAAGCTTTCTGCAGAGTTTTGATTGAGCAACTGCAAAAAAATCAAGTCGTTGACAGCAGCAAAGCTCTATTGCTTCATCTGCACGACTTTTACAGGGAGCTTACAGAGGACGATCGCGTCCGCGCCGCAAATGGTCTCTATAATTTCGACCATCCAGGTAAGCTAATGGTAACCCTTGTAAATACTAAATTCATTGAGAATGAAATGATATCTCATGGATACAGGATTTCTGATTAATATGGTTTTCCCTGTGCTGCAATATACAGATGCATTCGACTGGGACTTATTAGCCCAGGTGATGGATGACCTCAAAGAAAGAGTTGCTACCAAGTTTCCCAAGTTTGATTTTGCGACAAAGAGTCGGTAGGAGCTATTTTAATCCGCGCAAATGAAATAGAGTATAGGGGTTAACTATCAGATGTCATTAAACCCATGAATACATTGCAACTCGTATGCTCTGAAAACGAAATGGATATAGATCATATGAGACGCGTCCCAAGGACTTAGAAAGTCCCAGTGTAGTTCTTTTGGAAGGGATTTTTGTTCTCTACAGTCAGAGGATTCGTGATCGCCTGAACATGAAAGTACGTATGCGAATGTGAAACTTGTGTGCAAATCTTGTACCTTTACTTAATACTTACTAAACCGAGGTATATAATGCGTAGCTCTTTGTGGATGTGGATGATGATGCGCGTTTAGTTAACCGAGGTATAAGAACGATCCTTTTCACACCAGTATTATTTACTAAAGGATATGTATCAATTGTCTTGATGAGCTCTGTTAACAAAATGGTTTGGGACTTACCAATCCTCTCTCATATCACTTTAGTTGCTCGTAAGGTTGCTGAGCCTAGTCCGGACTCTGTTGACCATATTCTTACTGAATACATCCGCTTCGTAAAGCCTGCTTTTGACGACTTTATTCAACCGGTAAGCTATCAAACAACAGCCACAAGTGCGAGAATAAATTTCTTTTAATGAAGCTGCTATACTTATGCAAGCCCATTTTTCTCCCTCTTCCTGCCATTTTGGGACAATCCTATAGACTAAGAAGTGGGCGGACATTATCATTCCTCGTGGAGTTGAGAACATTACTGCTATTGAATTGATTACTTCGCATGCTGCCGATCTGCTGGGTCGTCAACAGCAACCCAACTCTACTCGTCCTTCACGCATTAATTCTTCGTCAACTGTGTTGCAGGAGATGTTGAGCACTCCGACATCTAATGCTTCCTCTACTTGCCCATCCCCTCGCTCGCTTTCAAGGACAGCTGTATTGAACAGCGCCGGTGGTAACAATGGTAGTGATCCATGCTCACGCTCCAGTCTCAATTCCTCGCCTATACCGAGGAAGGATGTCCTTAGTGGATCAACCGATAGCTTGTACAAGCCTGTGCCAGAGTGAAATATATATATATAAGCAAGATTGCGCAATGAGTGCCAAGATCTTGTACAGCAATAAACTAGTCTTCACTTTGATTTAGTGCATTTTTTTTTATTTATTTATTAAAATGTAAATCCTTGAAGCATTCGTGCAAAGGCCTACAAGAGTATCAGTTTAATTATGATTGGCATATTAGAAAAAATTCGTTGATCCATTATGTTGCAACGAAAGAAAGAAAGAGAGCATCGACAGAAACTGACATTTAACTTGATGCAAACAATGACACACGTACTGCTTTGGGCACTGGTCAGTGGGTCAGTGACCCGGGTCCTCCGTGTGTAGTCTTTTGTGAGTAAAGCAAATCTCTGGCGATTGTTCACCTTAAATATGAGGACACACTCGTTTGTTGGCGTTGATGGATTCATTCTGTCCAAACAAACGGGCAATCAATAATGAGCTGCATGCAAAGTTAAAGATAAGAGAAAGTATACATATACATGTATAATAAAACACACGCATGCTGCTGATCGCTTTCATTGCCACATCATACCCTGCATGGTATTACTTGCTACCATTAGACGCAGATATACTTGCGATTCTTATCATAAACAGCCCTTACATGGACCATGGACGGGGCTTGTCTTTCCATGACCGAGCGTGTTGAATATTGGGCAAGATGTTCATCAGGTTTGATCAAATTTCTGTTTGGACGAACTTGCGAGACCTTGTAGGTCTAAAAATCCCAGGAAAAGTGTATTTGTGAGCCTATTGTGAATAGGCCTTTCCTGGTAAAAAAAAACCCCCCCAACGGTGTAAAAAAAAAAAAAAAAAAAAAAAAAGAGCATTTTAAGATGTGTAATGTCAAATGGATGCACATTTATTAAGATTGCATGGCATAATACTTATAATAAAACGGCATGCATTTTTGATCTACTTGATCGCGCGTTGTACAACATGCAAGCTGCGTTGGAAGACGTTTAGTCTCTTGTTATTACTTCCTCATGTCTTTCCCAGGTCCGATTCTCGTAATGCTCTTGCTCTTTGACCTTTACTAACGAGGCTTTTGCATAACATTAAGAATCAAATGGCAATCATGATCAACCAACGCCCTTTATTTTCTTTTAATTTTTTTTTTCCTTTTCTTTCTTCTCTTTTTTCATCTCCTCCTCTTTCTCACCAGCAGCCATTCATCTCTTAAGAGCTTACATTCAGTTCTCTTTCAGATCACTTCCATTATTTGCAATACCATGAGCACAAACAATAACGCTGATACCCTGCCACATGTATTGATCGCAGGTGCTGGTCTCGGGGGATTGCTCCTTGCCATGTTGCTTGAGCGAGCTGGTATATCGTATACGGTATATGAGAGATCGCAGAATCTTCGTGCCTTAGGTATTTCTCGGATCATGACTATAATGATTTAGTACCATACCCAGGCACATCAAATTGTGTATTGATTTTATTTTATCCTTCATGAATGGGTAGGAGCGGCGATGGGGTTTGGGGCCAACACACTTCCAATTTTTGAGCAGCTCGGTATTCTCGATGCTACTTACGATATATCATACCCTTGTTATACGGTTCAGATGTATGATTCCAATATGAAATCCATTGGAGGATTCGACTTTGATCATTACAAGGAGCGAACCGGTTACGATACCATCATGTTTTCGAGGCCAGACCTTCATAATTTGCTTCGTTCTCATGTCCCAGCTGAGAAAATTTTGTTGGGCAAACGGATCCTATCGCTGTCGCAGGATGATGATAGTGTCACTATTAAATGCAGTGACGGTACATCCTACAAGGGCGATATCCTTGTAGGCGCTGACGGTGCATACAGCGCAGTGAGGCAGAGCCTATACCAGCTCATGGCAAAGAATGGAGAGGCGTTGGGGACAGATGCGGACGATCTGACTGCTGGACACATCTGCATGGTTGGAACCACAGGTCCATTGAGTGCTGAGAAATACCCCGCTCTCAAGGATACATTTTCACATTGCAAACGAATTGTTGCCAATGAGTCCAAGTATTCGGTAGGGCCAACCCTCTTCGGTTTCTATCCACTCCATTAGATCGCTAGATACTTATATACTATTTCTTTCTCCTGTTGGCCTATTTAGTGGTCAGTAGTAACGGTGCCTGGAAATCGGATATGTTGGGCCGTTATCCTTCAATTGGACAGTACAGAGTCCAAAGATGCGGCATTCCGGAACTCAGAATGGGGACCTGAATCCAATGCGACAATGATAAAAGAGTGCTACAACTTCCGCAATCCTTTAGGAGGCGTCATGGGAGAATTGATGGATGCTACCCCTATAGAAATGATCTCCAAGGTGTTTTTAGAGGATAGAATGTTTGAGACGTGGAATTATGGACGAACTGTACTTATTGGTGATGGTAAAATGAGCTCGCGATCACGATATTGAATGAAAAGGCAATTATTCTGTCTATTTTCTTTTTACCCTTTATCGATATTAATCCTTACTTCTACCTATGCTTTTTTCCCCTCTATATTTTATAAAGCTTGCCACAAGGTAAACAAGCGAAGTTTCTGTTATTCTGCCTTTAGTATTTTTTTACTCATGCACGAACAAAACACCAATCATGAACGAAATCTAATATTTATTGTTCACCAACACTAATTACCATGACCACATTTTGCATAAATTTGTATTCATGTTCATCCGGACAGTTCCTGCCGAGTGCCGGACAAGGTATAAATTCGTGGTGATGAAAAACGTCAATTTTTTCTTTGCGCGCATTGATGTGGCACTGCAACTTCAACTTTTTTTTTTTTTTTTTTTTTTTTTTTTTTTCAAATTATATTATTTTAACAGGAGCTCAGAGTGCGTTTCAAGACGCCGTCATTTTGGCAAACACCTTATACGACATGCCTTCATTCACACTTGAAAACATCAAAGCAGCTTTTAAAGAATTTAAGGATCAACGTTTTGGTCCAGCGACAACCCAGATGGACAAGAGTAAAGTCATGGGTACCCTGCTTTACGGACAGGTAATAAGCAAGCCAACGCCCTCAACTGGTCATAAAAATCTTAAAAAAAAAGTCTTGATGCAATTACAAATTACAATTACCAATTTTTTTTTTTTTTATTTTTTTTTTTTTTATTATAACTATTATTTAACTCCATAGATATGGAGTGAACGCATGACACGACACATGATTTTCAACTGGATCCCTAAGAGCATTCAGACACAACAGTTCCTCAAAGATACTGCATATCGCCCGCAATGCACTTTCTTGCCATTTGTTAAGAATCGAGGCACAGTTACTGTATTGGAACAAAAGCCATCCAAGAAGCATGCAGAACAACAGACTAGAAGAGCCACTGTTGCGGTGATTTAATCGTACGAAGTAACTATTTATATTTACTACACATAAACAGTACTGCATATGCAACAACACCATGAAAAATGCGCATGTAAATATACATATACATCTAGTGAACTGAAATATAACAACACAGCAGTATTCAGTAAATTGGGCTTTTTTGGAGAAGCAGGGCCAACAACAAAGACGCTCACACGTATACAAATAAAGCATAAAAGATTTAAGATTAATTTTTTCAGTTGAAAACCTTAATCGAATAAACGTTGAGCCATAAATCACTCTTTTTTTTTTTTTTTTTTTTTTTTAAGCAACTTGAGATTTTAGTCATAAAGTCGAGGGCTGTTTGACTGGTATCAAACCCTTGCCAATTGGGCTCAAGGCCTAAGATCACAGACCTTGCTCTTATACTTATATAATTATATACATATACATATAAAGTAAAGATAAAGTGGGTGTTACGGTCGGTAGCGGCGACGGGACTGCCTTAATTTGATATGGATGATATTCTTGTTAGAACTGATGGCCTTCAAGGTAGCGCCGTTGGAAAAGAGTTTTTATCGAAGGGCTAGCATGAATAAGGGTCTATTTGCTTCTGTCAAGAGAGGTTTTTTCCAATATCTTACATTTCTCCTGTGCTCTTAGTTCTGCCTGTATAATAAACGTATTGAAAAACGGCAAATGAATGCAATCAAAACTTGAAGAATCTGCATTTAGTGCCTTTTTTTTTTTTTTTTTTTTTTTTTGCTTGTCTGTTATTTTTATAGAAATGCTGCATGCCTACCCTTACCCTAGACATGATGATTCACCTTGAACATTTTGTTTATAAATCACCAAGGCTGCATATTGCTCTATGAGTCAAAGAGAGAAGAGAGTGTTGTGTAATTTTTCTTTCTAGATTGCACGTGGGGTTACAAAGAAAGAAAAAAACGCGTTCAATCAAATGAGCCCAATTTGCTAGGTTTGGCAAGCAAATTTGCCTGCCAGGTGACACAGAATTCAAGGCGCCGTAGGAGCACAGTGCGATAATAACTCGACCAATGAAAAGCAATAGCAAGCACGCTTCTTTGGAAGGAGCGGCTGATATTGCCTCTAAGGGGGAAAAATTGACCTTTGTCTTTGAATGAAATCTCCCATATCGCGATATCCAAAGATAGAGGGGACGGTGGTGTGTAGAATAATAGTTTCTCCTTGTGATCCCGAAGCAATTGAAGGAGCAATCTAAATGAGTCTTTCATACATTTGATCTTCTATGCTAGGTCGGACCAGGAAGACCACCTTTAGAGGGATTTTATCTACGGGTTATTTCGACTCAATAAATAATTGGAAAGATTTTGATCCCGGTCATCTGATAGTCAAGACAACTCTACTCCAAGAAGCTTTCTCTGATTACATAGTCCGACATGCACTTGCTGGGCCTTTGCCTTCAAGAGACTGGCATTCGTAGCAGAGTGCGGAAAACGGCGCTTCAGAATGGTTTCTGTCATCAGATGGCTGACATGCCTAGCTTATTTGAAGACCTATATAGGCCAATGAAGGTCGCCGTTACTAAAGAGGGCTGTAAGTGACAGAGCAGTGGCTACCATCGTTTGACAGTTACTAGCAATGGAAGAGTTACGTTCATCTATGCCCATAAATAGCAACAATAACAATAAAAATAACAATAACAATAGAAAAAAGTCATCGTTCACCTCTTGTTTTTTATTTTAATGCAATGTTCTTTATTATCTGCCGAGTTAGAATGAATACTGACAAGACAGATAACGAAAAAAGGCGAAATGAGACTGAAGGGTATGGGTTGCGGTTATAGGGGCACTATTTTGGAACGGAACGCGTACATGCCTGGCGTGGTCTGTTTTTAAAGATATCACTCTGGCTGGACCACATGACGTATTCGTTCACACCCTTAACAAGAACCAAGTTGCCATCGTTTTGTATAGTCATCCTGTATTTACCCAGGTTGGCTCTGTTAGGCTCCCTTGTGCAGTGAAACGGAATGCCTTCGGCCATTTGGACCAGACAAAGCGCTCCGGTGTTGGTGAGGTGAATATAAAACTCCTTGCCTTTCCAGTTGATACCGTGATTCCAGCACCAGTACATGTTGGGCTGAGGAGTATAGTACCATAGACAGAGATTACCATCATCTTGGACGTAGAGGCGCGCACCATTGTCGGACCACAGACTTTGGCCTGGACGGAGGAACTCTCCATCAATTAGGGTGTCTGGACCTTTGCAAGCCGCAAAGGCATTGTCCGCTCGCTTGCAAATAGGGCCATTGCGGGGTGGAGGCTTAAACTTCGGGAAGAGGTCATCGAGAGTAAGGTTGGTGCGCACCAGGGGAGGAAGCCCCCCTGTGAGGAGGCCTTTTGTAGTGTTTGATTTCAATTGAGGGTGTAGGCTATGGGTACCATCCGAGAGAGACATCCTCTTGAGATCTGGATGCCCTATCCTATTAATATCGTAAAAGATCGTACCAAGGGCGCATCCAGAATCCGACTCGAGCCCGATACCGCCATGGTTATACAGTGTGGGGTTCTCAGTATCAATTAACGACTTCATCCAATCGGTCAGCATGTTTACACCATATAAAACATCGCCCGTGCTGAGTCCGTTATCATAACGATTATTTACTGCGTCGAAGTACGATCCAAAAACGTTGAGCCATATGTCTATTATGTAATCTGTATTGGAATCCGCTACTCTCGCTGAGAAAGTGCCAGTGAATGCTCTATGAGCCACCTCCCCACTCACGGAAATGGCTAGCCTGGTCATTGACCCCGCCACACGCCTGGCAGAAACACCCAATAGTGAAGGGCCTGGCAAGCTTTCCTTATGAAATCGAATGGCAAGGACATATTGAGGCACAAGGAGGGCTAGAGCAGCCAGATATTTGAAGGTCAGCATGACGGCTTGATCCGAGAGCCTTGTTGATGGCTATTGGTGAAATGGAGAGATAGAAGAAAATAATGAGAACGGCTGATTCAGTACAGGGTTATGCCAGGACGCGTCCAAAACGTAAGCCGGTATACTTACAGTTGGGCTGCTGGAAAAAAAAGAAGGACGACTCAGGGAGAGGAGGAATGAAGGAACGGAAGGGAGAGAGAGAAAATTAAGCCCAAGGTGTTCTGGAGCAGAAACGACGTATCTCTTATATATATATATATATATATATAAATATAATAGCTTGGCATAGGAATATCCGGGATTTTTTTGTTCATGCATGTCCAGCAGCGCGATTTAGGTTGCGATGTTGATGTAGCCAAGTCTCCTGTGCCTGCCTGGCGCTGCTGTGCAATCGTTCTATAATCTCATATTTCTATGTGAATCATCATAAACGGGCTCCTGCCATCAGCTCATGCTAATGTCGTGTTTGAACACCGCTGCTGTGTCAAAGAACAGGCCATAACGGAGTTTGTTGGGTATATAATGTCTAAAAGAGGAGGGAGAGTAGAAGGAAGTGGTTGAGAAGGTTATAGGAGCATTGAAAAACGATGCAGACACAAGAGGGGTTTCAATTTAATATTTTGTATTTTGTGCAACACCTTTCTGCTGGACGCTTTGCTTTTAATGGTGCACTATCATATATACTTTTAGGACGCCAAGGCGGATAAGGTGGATTGTTATCAATCGAGAAAGGCAAGGCATGCAAGAGCAGTGGCTCTCCAATGTTGCGTTAAAAAGTTGACTCAGGAACTTGGGGATATGAGGCTTTTTTTTTTTTTTTTTTTTTTCGATTTAAATGCAAGGTGGGACAAAGGAATTGCGCCGTGGGTTTCTTTTTGTGTATGGTACATTATATCTTTATCAGCCTTCTTCTGTTTACCTCTGTCCTTACTTACATGCGCTATGGAGCCGCACTATCTACAGACACGGCGTCATCCGCTGCTCCTGCCCGAGATCCTTCATTGCCTTGGTCGATTCATCCCTCTTTGGCCTTTCAATATTGATTTTATCGATTCCGGACAGCCTCAAATATTCGATGCAAAAACCCTGTTGGCTTGCCTGCTCGTCTGTCGAACTTGGTATTCAGCTCTCCATCCTTTCCTCTGGCATACCTTCGATGCTCGATATGAGGTGTGCCCTATCTTTAGCCGTGTCTTACCAGAAACCCTGAAGAAGAACGCCAACCATATCCGTTCCTTCATCGCAGGCCCCACCTTCATGTTCACTCTTACGGACACATTACACCTCCCTAAACTTGCCGAGCTTGTTTTCGACAGCTTTTCTGATTTGAGGACGGACAGAGGATCTTACATAGAGTCGTCCGAATCCTTGATGATCGTCCGCAACCCGCATATCAAAAAACTTGGTTGGAAAGGTCCTTATGTGGACATATTCAAGAGGCATCCGCTCAAAATCGAGCCCCTCATAGGCCTCCAATGTCTGACAGTGTTGGACCTCATGGGCTGGGATGCGTCGGGGGGCGCTCTCAGGCATGTCCTCTGTGCTGTTGCCAACACGATCACTTGGATAAAACTGCTTAATGTTTATGGTGTTGAGGACAGAGACGTCATGGACATTTCTTTGCCATTGGTCTCTATCTTGGAGATCGAGATATTAAACGAAAGAAGTGAAGGTGTAGAGAGGCTACCCCATTGTTGTCCCAAATTAGGCCACCTGAAGTTATGGTTCCAGCTAAGGGCCACTAGGGATCCAGGCTTTCTGTCAGATTATTTCAGGTCTATCAAATCCCCCTCATTGGCCTCGTTCGAGATGTGTGAACCATATGAAAATGGGATCGTTGAGGCGATTCAGGGCTTTGAGGTGCTAAAAGCGTGCACGTTCATGACCACAGATCTAAACGTGACTATTACAGAGGCGATCTTAAGATGCCATGCGTGCACGCTCACAAGGCTTAGCATCAGCTTACAAAATACATTAACTTTTAATATTTTGAACGTACAAAAGCAAGTCGAAGTTTTCACCATTATATTAGAACGCTGTCGAGGGTTGGAGGAGTTAGCGCTCATCGCTTTTGGTGTCTACTTCACAGATGTTATGCTACTAGAGGAGATGTTTAAGCGGCCCTGGGGCTGCCATAAGCTGAGGAGGTTCGAGATAGATGGTCTAAGGTCGACTCTGCCTGTAGAAGAAGAGGGCCACGAGATCCATAGCTCATCGCTTCTGGCGCTATTACCGCTACCAGTGGGTTATGGGTGGTGTATACAAAGATGCCAGGCGGTAACTAGGGCAGTCTACAAGATACGGAACAGATTCCTGCGTCAACTATTGGAGTATGTGCAAGAGTTTTCAGACCTAAGAACCATCCAGTTGAACAGTATCACCTTCGTCCGGGGCAGCATGCCAGCCAGCAATTCAGTAGCAAAGAGATAGAGAAGATAGAAAAATAAAGAGTGGCTGGTGTTTTTTTTTTCTTCCTCATCCTTGTAAATCATTAAAACGACCATTTCCATATCACATTCGCTGGTCTTTAAAAAAGACATAACGACGCTCTTCATGTAGGCATCCTATAAGACGTATTCTGTGTATTTTAAATGTCTGATTGCCTCCATTGGCCTTACGGTAGGAGAGAGTTGTGGATAGAGTTCAGGCGCTCTGGCTAACACATGAAAGAAAAAAAAAAAAAAAAAAAAAAAAAAGCATCATTCATGGCTGCACGAGCCCAATTAGAGCAAAGAAAAGTTAACATTGACTTAATTTCAACTTTAATTTTTTTACAGAGCATAGAAGAAATGAGGATGAATAATTAAAGAAGTATAATAATAGTAATGATAGTATGTCAAACTCGAGTAAAATATTATAAATGTAGTGTACATCTTAAACTGAGGCAGCTTTTGGAGTCCTCTCTTTTGCATAGCGCTCAGAGACCTTCTGTGGGGTAACTGGGAGTACGCCACGGTTCTCAATATATTCCAGGAATGTAGCTTGAGGTCTATAAGAAGCATCCTTGAGGAACTGCTCCATTTGTATTCTCTTTGGGATCCAATTGAAGACGATATGACGGAGTATCCGTTCCTTCCAAGTCTGTTTGTAAAAAAAAAAAAGAAAAAAAAGAAAAGAAAGTACCTGACTTTAGTACTTTTCAATTTTTTTTCATCATAGAACCCAGATCTTTCCTAGATGGTTTTCATCTCTCTTTTTCTTTTGTTATTATTATTATTCATACCTGACCAAGTTGAAGAGTCCCCATGAACTTGCTCTTGTTCATCATTCTTTTTACGGGTGCATAACGCTCGTCAAAATATGTCTTGAAGGCTGTTGTGATATTGGCAGGAGTCACTTCTCCCATTTCGTAAATACAATTGGCAAGGACGACAGCATCTTGCATTGCGTTCACAGCACCTTGGCCAGCAGTTGGCAAGAACTATTTCAAAAAAAATAAAAATAAAAAAGGATGCTCCGTTAGAATAAGAATACAAGAGAAAAAAAAAAAAAAAAAAAAAAAAAAGAAATCGCAATTTTTCATTATTTTTGGAATTACCTTGTGGGCGGCTAAGAAGCAGATTCAGATGGTAAAAAAAAAAAATTAGATATCAAGTAAAAATAGATAATATCATCAATATTCGCAGCCAGGCATTAAAAAAAAAAAAAAAAAAAAAAAAAAGGAAGAACAGTAAGAGAGGCAGGAGCTTACCATCGCCGATGAGGACAGTTCTACCATGGTACCAAGTCTCGAATAGCTTTTCTTCCAAAAAGACATTGGAGATCTTTTCCTTCGGCGTACTATCGATTAAGTCTTGGACAGTACCTCCTCCGGGAGATTTGCTAGTAAAGACTTTGCCCATGATACTGCCATCAGCATCTGAAGTCCATTCCGAGTTGCGGAACCTGGTGTCTTTAGAGGCCCTTGAGGAATCGAGTTGCATCGTAACACCCCAGCACAATCGGTTCTCACGCATGTTGACTGTGTGCCACTGTTTTTGTATATGTCAAAAAAAAAAAAAAAAAAAAAAAATTAATACATTTGATCTATGTGTTTTGCCAGAGGAGATTGTATTCATGTATTTGTTTTTGTTTTTGTTTTCGTTTTTACCGTAAAAGGCGCACCACTGTTGATGATACGTTGAAAATGCGCAGTTCCGTTAGTAACGGTAGGGAACTTTTCAGGGTCCAAGGAGTCTGTTGTTCCAACCATGCATAAATGTCCCATCTTCAGCTCTTCTCTATCAGAAGCAGGCAAGAATCCTTTCCTGTCCAAATGTTTGTACAATCCCTGTCGGACTCCCGAATAAGCACCATCTGCGCCAACGACAATATCACCATGGTAAGTAGATCCATCCGCCATCCTCAACATCACCCCAATCTCATTCTGTTCCAGCGATAAAACCCGCTTCGAAAACACGACTTTTTCCTTTGGGATATGTGAATACAACAGCGCATGGAATTCGGGTCTCGTAAACATGATAGTGGGGTATCCGGTTAACTCTTTATAATTGCTGAAATCGATTCCTGACATGAATTTAAACTCGGTATCCAGCATGTCCAATGCCTTGGCAGGCTGAGAAATGGCCAGCATTTCCTCCAGAATACCAAGTTGTTCAAATACAGGTAAAATATTAGCACCGAACCCCATTGCTGACCCTAAATAAAAAAAAATCAAGTATGACCGATCAGGTTTGTCAGTCCAATTATCCTTTTGTCCTTTGTCTTTTTTTTTATTATTATTATTTATTTTTTTTTATTACCCAGGCATCTAATTTCTGGTGCTCGTTCATAGATCATGTATGGCACATTTTGGCGTTCCAAGAGTAGGCCAAGGAAAAGACCGCCGATGCCAGCACCGGCAATCAATACCATTGGAGGTGTAATTTGTGAACTCATTATGTGGTTGTTAAATGAGAATTAAAAAAAAAAAAAAATGGTGATAATAAAAAAGGAGAGGAGGAAGAGAGGGAGAGAGAAGAGAGAATAGAGAAGAGAGAGAAGAGAAGAGGAGGTCAAGCTAAAAAAGAGAATGAGAATGAGAATGAGCGAGGGAAAAATGTGGTTTTACTGCTGTGTGCGTACAATTTGCGAGCGATTGGCCAATTACAATCATTCATTCCGGTCAACGCCCTCCTTTCCTTAACTGCGCCTGTACTACGCTCCAGCTCTCATTATCTGGATGTCGAAAAGAAGAAAGAAAAAGAAAAAGTCGGTCTCGATGTGATTATGAACAATCAAGGTCCGACATAATATTGGCGCATGAACAGGTGCCACAATCAAAGAGCCAGGGACACAAGCAAAGAGTCGGGGCGCTGTTTAATTGATCCTTGCGTTCTGGACCAAGTCATAGCGTCTCTTCTTCTTTTCTTTCCTTTGTGCATAAACTAACCTATCCAATGGATAGTTTAATCCGGTGGACGTGCATATCGCTGATGAAGCAAGGATAGGAATGCACGGATGAATAAATTGATCTTTATGAAGGGGGAAATTTGAATGATCGGATAACATGCATCTTTTGTTGTTGCTGTTGTTTTTTTTTTTTTTTTTTTTTTTTTTTTTATAACCTAATCATGTACTTGTCGCTGACAGCTGTCAGGTTAGTTTTGGAACAATTAAATCCTTTACAGATTTTTTTTTTTTTTTTGAAGTTGAACAATGTAAATTTAATTTTTAGATGTGAAAGATCTTTAAACAGTTTAGCTTATTGTTATAAGTAGCAAAGGAGGGATATTGCAGTATGATTGGTCGCCACTGCTACTGCCGCTGCCACTGTCTTTCGCTTCTTGGTGTGCATCCCAGGGATGGCATATGCATATTGTGCGCCCTTCACCAACCTTCATTCCTTGCCAATGAACCATCACCATCCAAGTAGTGATCTAGTAATTTGATGTTTTTGATCACTCGTTATGGATACGTCCCCTGGCCTGTTCATGTATTAAATTCTCATATACTGGGACATGTATGCAGTATATATGCCGGGCTCATTACCCTTATTCCACATACTCACTGGAAGGCAGGTTACGGATGCCTTTGTAAATTGTGAAAACGACCCATGCCAAAAGCTCCTCTCTCGACATGTTTCAACAAAAGGTGTCGAGGCATCTCCTATGCCTTCTTCGATGTCGTACCGTCGTCGTATGTTCTGCAGTGACGCGGAAGAGAAAGCAGAGCATCAAAGACATCGTCCTTCATTTGCACGGACCACATTCAATATCGTTAATGATGTTTATTTCCTGTGTTTTTCTAAGGTACCCTAGCCGTTTTTTTTTTTTTTTTTTTTTTGAGCTCTTTCATTCTGGCCCGGGCGACTACATGAAGATATTGAGAAAAAACAAAGTTATTCAGCCAAATAAGCGATTTAAGCACGCGCTTCAACTTCCTTTCTGGGGAATACAAATAGGCTTTTTTTTTTTTTTTTTTTTTGCTCACAGACAATATGGACAATAAGAAAAGGTATGAGCGGCGGCAATGAAGGCGGCTTGGGAAGGATAAGTAGAGAAGGACACAGACTTTTGCTTCATGACTTTCTGTAATCCAAGTATGGCCATTTATGTGTGAGGAAAAGATTACATTTATCATCCGCTCTGTCAACCTGTGGCATACTCTTGATACAAAGTATAAAAAAATAAAAAAATAAAAAAATAAAACGCGTAATCTAGCATTTGTCGTACCACCCTATCGTTAATTGGTGATCACCCAAGTTGCTCTGTATGTATAGTCAAGTATATATAGTGAATAGAAACAATATCAGCGAGAGTGAATGGATGGTATATACAAAAAATGGCAACAGTGGGAGTTAAGGGACAAATATGCGTGGTGAGGATAGCCAGCACATTTAGTCTTTAGGCCTTCTTCTCAGCTGAACGACCCCTTTGTCAGGCTATAGGGGCAAAGATCTCCTCAGCAGACCAATTTTATTATTTGTTTATATAAGAATGATCCATCTATAATCCTGTAGTGGCAAGCAAGGTTGCTAATCAGACAATAGTGCTTATTGAGATGTCCCTAGATCACGAACTCGAGCAAGATTTAGGAGGCCCCGGGCTCAGACTGGGAGACAATGCAAAGCTGAGGCTTTCCAATCTTGTTCAGAGAAAGATGAGACCAAGATTGGCTCAACGCCTCGCAAAGTGCTTTTATCATTATTATTATTATTATTTTTCTTATCCTACATTTTTATATTTCATAAAGCCATAATCTTTATTCCTACATTTGCATTTATGTTGACCATCTCTCCTTCTTTTTAGCATCACCTATTCTCTTCCTTACTTTGGTTCATTCAACAGCTTGATCAAGGCCAAGGCCAAACTCACTTGGGGATAAAAAGAGAAGGCTCTGGTTTTTCCGTGTGTGCCATGTGCATGATTGTTCCTTTTTGAAGAGGAGGCGTCAATGCGGTGCAAAATGCAGGAGGCCTTGGTAGCTTAACTCAATTATAACTCTTCATTCCACTTCATCAGTACCAAAGACCATTGCCAATAACACTACACATGCTACATGCATATAAAAACCAATGCAGAAGGCAGCAAACTCAGGTTCCAGGATCATGTAGGTGTCCAATAAAGACTTTTTCCTCTCACCCTCTCCTTCCTCCCCTAGCTTTTTTTTTTTTTTTTTTTTTTGTTCATGGGTATTCTTCGTCATCAATGGAGCATTGATATTGGAGTATAAATACAGCAATCTTTCATTGGTTCTGCTTTAGCAGTTCATCCCCCTTCCCCTCCTTCTCCTTGACTTTTTGTCTGAACGGATTTTGAGGCAAGTTATCCTACCACAGTCCTAAATAGTATTTAGTTTCGCATGAACCTACAAGGAGCCTTTTTTCTTTTTTCTTTTTAATAATTCATAAGAGCACAAAAGCAATATTCAAATTTTGCCTGGAGGAAGCAAGCAAAAGCATACGGCCATTTCTCACGTCCATTAACTGTTATATAGAAAAGATATTGGGTTCCTTCTCAAAGCTTTTGCATATCATATTCACGTACACACTTGTACATGTACTCGCTGCCTTTTTTTTTTTTTTTTTTTTTCTTCTCATTACATTTCATTAAGTTGGGCTATATATGCATATCGTTTGTTGAATAGGAGGGAGGGGGGAGGAGGAGGAGTCATTAGTTAGGGGTACATAGGGTTTCAGAGCCGTCATGATCATCATTATTTATGCTAATCTTGCTGCCTTTATCCCTGAGGACAGCCAGAGTTTTCTCAAGACTTGGTTGATAGCATGGGGTGAGTGTGCCAGTGTCTTTGATTAGAGGTAAAAAGGATACCTGTGGACGATAGCATACCACCCTGGACAAAAGAGACTTCCATTGCCGCTCTGGCATATTCTTGATCCAACATCGAACCATGCTAGCCCTGACACCCTATAGATTAAGGAGCAAAATGAAGAAGAAGAAGAAGAAGAAAAAAAAGTCAGCAATGGCTCACGTTGATTTAAAAAAAAAAAAAAAAAAAAAAAAGAGTCAAGAATCAACTTTGACGCGTAAATAACGATCGATTCAGTTCAAAGTAATAAAAAAAAAAAAAAAAAAAAAAAAAGATGGACTTACTTTGGCAGAGATCAAGGCTATCATACGGCTGTGGTCAAATGCTAGTTTGGCAATGGGGGCAGACTCTTCTTTGTACTCTTTGAATATCTTTTCTACGTCTTTTACAGATTTGGATGTCAAGACATTAAGCCAATTTGCAAGCACTACTGCATCTTGCATTGCAACTGCTGCTCCTTGTCCGCCTGCGGGATGAACCTAAAAGGAGAAGGAAAAAAAAAAAGTCAATTTTACTGGTTTCCATTTTCAAAGCTCAAAAACCAATGAATGAATATTCCTTAATCAGTGTTGCATTTGTCTGTATAATACCTTGTGGCAGGCTAATATCCATTGTAATTGCAATAAGTATTAAGGGAAAGGAAAAAAAAAAGCAAGGATTTGGTCCAATCATGTCAGATCATGAAGCAAAAAACGATAGTGTTGAAAAAAGAGAGCAAGGTACAATCATTTTTTCCACTTACCATCTCCAATCAATACAGTCCTGCCATGATACCATGTTTCGAACAACTTTTCTTCCAGAATGGCCTTTGAGATCTGGTTCTGTGGGGTATTACTGATGATATCACCCATGGTAAGGTTTCCGTTGCCACCTGGAAGAGGAAAGTCCCAAACGTCTTCACACATTGCAATGGCAGCTTCAGCTCCCCATTCCGTGTTTCGGAAACTATCATTGAGCTTTGCTGATTCTCCATCCAGATACTGAATAACACTCCAACATATGACATTATCTGGTGCTGTATAAGTAGACCACTATATAATATCCAAGGATGTATAAAACACAAAATCAGTTTTTTTTTTTTACCCCATTACAATTTTCAAAAAGAAAGAGAAAAAGAGAGAGATGGAACAAGTAAAATTACCGAATAACGCCTGTCTGTTGCGACGATATTTTTGTAGTGGCAAAGAGGGTTCGTCAATTCTGGAACGACCGATGGATCCATTGGGGAGGATTGTCCAACGAGACATACACAACTATAGGGCAAAGCTTTATCGTCACATGAGGGTAGCTTTCCTTCCTTCTTCAATTGTTCGTATAGGTTTTGCCGTACCCCTGAATATGCACCATCAGCCCCAACGAGGATATCGCCGTCTGCAAATGAACCATCTGAACATCTGATCTGAACACCAAGGTCACCCTGCACGGTGGAGAGGATTTTTTTGCCCATGTGGAGCTTATGAGGAGGTACTTGTTTGAGGAGTAGATCGTATAATGCACTCCGTGGGATGATGTAGCCCGCTGAACCTCCACTAGAGAGGAAAAAAGGAGAGAAATGAAAATAAAATTAATATAAAGGCGCGTCAGGAGGAGTGAGCATCTAAATGGCTAGTAGATAATATATTATAATGAGTCTAATGCATATTTATATGATGACAAAAGCAAAGGCAAAGGCAAAGGCAAAGGCAAAGGCAAAAGCAAAAGCAAAGTTGATGGTTCCCCATGCATTGGGTTTTTCTTCTTCTTCTTATTTACAGGAAAGTAGAGGCCTTAAAGTCCATTACAAAAGTAGGCTTGCGTTTCTCGTTGAAGAAATCCATGTGTTCACATTTTTTGCCTCTTGCTGTAAACTCGTCGTAGATGCCAATTTGTTTGAAGAGTGGTGTAATATTGGCACCGAGATATACAGCCGAGCCTTTTTGTTGTTGTTGTTGTTGTTGTTGTTGTTTTTATTGTTTGATAATCCAGAGACGCATGTAAGGAAAGAAAGAAAGAAAGAAAGAAAAAAAAAAAAAAAAAAGCCATTGAAATATTTATGTTATAAAAATAAAAAGATAGAAAAGGTAAGCACGAATTGGTTAGGCAATTAGATAGACAGACAAGGAGGGACACAGACAAGCATACAGAGTACTTTTTCTTTTTTCTTTTTTATTGTTGCCAAAGAGACAAAGGAAACAAGAGGAAACAAGAGGAAGCAAGAGGAAGCAAGAAGAAGCAAGAGGAAACAAGAGAAACAAGAGATAAAGGAGAGTTATATTTTTCTTTCTTTCTATCTTTTTTTTTTTTTTTTTTTTTTTTTTCTTCTTCTTCTTGTTCTTATTATCCTTATTTTTATGCTTGTTCAATTGCTTTAGTTTGTTAAAGTGGTTATATAATCATTATAATCAGATAATCATTATAGTCATGGCTTACCAAGGGTTTTTACTTCGGCCGATCGTTCATAAATGTCGTATGGAATGTTTGCTCTTTCAAGCAAGATGCCAAGCATCAGCCCAGCGATCCCAGCACCGACTATCAGTACCTTTGGTTTCCCTTGAGTGGAGACGGAGAAGGAGTCGGGATTCAACATTTTGGAGGGAGATGTACACATGTTCGTATTACAACAGTATACAGGAACAACAACGGATAGAGATAAAGATAAAGATAAAGATAAAGATGGCACAACAATAACAAAAGAATAGCTTCTATAACAATCCTTCCTTTTTTTTTTCTGTATACACAAGGGGAGGGGGTAGATAAAAGAAACAATAGAAGCAAAGCAAAGCAAGCAAAGCAAGCAAAGCAAAGCAAAGCAAAGCAAAGCAAAGCAAAGCAAAGCAAAGGGAAGAGAGACAGGGGAGAAGAGAGGGCGTACAAAAGAGGAGAAATTAATGAATACTGAATATGGAATATTAAAAGGGTCTGTGTGTTTGCTAAAGTGGACAAAGCGAAAGACAAGGTTGTCGGTTGCAAAGAGCGGAATGAATGCGGAGATGGAAGCAATGAATGATGGAGATGATGGAGTTGAAAGAGAACCGAAAACTAAAAAAACTAGAAAGAGAAGGCCAAAAACTCCTTCTTTTAAGAGTATATAAACATACATATATATATATAAATGTGTATGATGGAAAAGAAGCAAAGTGCTCATAATTCTTTTCTGTCTATTCATCCTCTCTCTTTCTCTCAATATTCAATGTTCAATGTTTAATGTCTGTTTGTCAACTCTCTCCAAGCATACACACACATTGTTTTTGTGCTCTCTCTCTCTCTCTCTCTCTCTCTCTCTCTCTTTTGTTTGAGTTATCGACCAACAAGATTTAATATCAAATCAAAACAAATATGTTTGCTTTCTTTACTTTTTTTTTTTTTTTTTTTTTTTTTTTTGCTTTGTAAACCATAAGAACATTGGCCATGGGGACAAGAGAAAGGACTATCGCATTGAGCACGTCTTTTTTTTTCCTTTTTTTTCTTTTTCCTGACCTGAATAACCTGAATGACCTGAATAGCCATTTTTTTTTTTTTTAAAAAAAAAAAAAAAAAAAAAAAAAAAGTACATGCAATGCATGCATTGGCTAGATAGATAGTTAGATAGATAGATAGCTAGGGTTGGTCAGAGTTGTATGAATAGCATTTTTTTTTTTTTTACAAAACGGTCAACCCTTGTGCCAATTCCAATTGCAGTAAGACCCGTTTGGACCTGTTACAAACAATGGTGTATGTGCCCTTTCCCCCTTACTCACCTGCATCCTGTACCACTCAGCTCACTTCATCTCTTGCTCAATAAAAATGCTTTGTTTTTCAGGACATCAAACATTTCTAGGATAGCAAAGTATCTATTCTATCATACATGTTGAGTTGACAATGAAATGAGCAACAATAAATAAAAGAAATATTTATATATAAAATTGGTCAATGTAAACGGAATGAATGAATGAATGAATCTCTCAAATGAAAAATAAACTGTTTGCCGGATATATTTTTATTGATCATTCACCCACCATGCACGTCTTTTTTTTTTTTTTTTTTTTTTCCCTCCACTACGCTTTTTTTGCACTTTTGCACTGCAGATAAATGCTGCAAGTATAAAAATGCCACAGCAACACTCATTGGTCGATGCATGTGGTCCGTTAAAAAAAAACCGGTTAAATCGCAAGATCTATCAAAAACAAAATCTCCTCTCTCTTAGACATGAACACGACATCTTTGTTGACAATCCATATTATCCCCACATTAGCCCTTTTTATTTTGTTTTGTTTGTTTTGTTTTTTCCTTTATTTTGTCCGCTTCATTTAGTTCCGGCCAATTTCTTTTTTCTTTTCTGCTGTACACTTTTTTTTTTTATTTTTTATTTTTTATTTTTTTTATATTATTGTTTCGCGGTCGTACCCATTGGTGCCATTTGTTTTTCTTTTCTTTGCACGGATTAAACGTATGGATGGAAAGAAGAAGAAGAAGAAGAAAAGAAAAAAAAAAAAAAGAGGGGGTGGGGAGGAGAACTAACAACCAATGCGGAGTTTTTTTTTTATTATTACTATTCTTTTCTTATGAATCCCTTGAGAGTTCCAACATAGTAGATGTACTTTGTAGTTTGTAGTTTATAGCTTGTGTAGTTTATAACATGTAGTCTGTGTAGTTTTTCATTCTTACCATTAGCCGATAAGCTGCAGTCAAGATGGCGCCATCTTTATCTCTATCAACCTCTCTTACTATAGTTTTTTTTTTTTTTTTAAATATCCAGGATAAATGCGTTCGTGGGTTGTGCACCTGCATGCATTTGTTGCATTTGTCGCATTTTATTTATTATATTCATGACAAGCATGACGGGATATTTTAAAAAAAAAAAAAAAAAAAAAAAAAAAGTAAATGCAAGATAGACAGACATGTACCGTAGACATGACACAGACATGCATTTCTAAATTCTAGATAATATTACTTCATGGAAATATAAAAAAAGGAGAGAGAGAGAGAGAGAGAGAGAGAGAGAGAGAGGGTAAGAGAGAGGAGAGAAAAGAGAGAGCGAAGGAGGCCAGACCCTTTTTTTTTTTAAGAATGTACGTCTGTAAAATATATTGTTCAGTCATTGGACAGAATTTTGTCATGACCAACAAACAGGTCCTATCCAATCGTTGATCTATGCCGAAAAGTCCATCAAGGCGTTTACCCTGTCTCACATACAAATTTATAAAATGTATGAACCATGTACGACACCAAAAAAAAGCATTAATAATTCATCGCAACATTAATTGTAATGCTGTCATACAACAGGAAGCAATAATAATAAAAAACTGTGCGACCATGTGGGACAACAGAAATGTTGCGACAGGCCAAACCGGTACAGCCATTGGTACACAAAAAGCACAAAAGACCCTTTTTTCCTTTCTATCTTTACATCTTCATTTTTTATTATCCTTACTATTTTTTATTTTTTATTTTTTAAACATTGAACATTGTGGACTTTTGAACGTGTCTCTATTGCAACCTTCCCTCTATTCTAATTTGCTTCTTATTAATAGCAAATAATAACAATAACAATAACAATAATAATACTAATAATAAAAAGTCCCTCTCCTCTCCCTTCCATTACCCCTTCTCCTTCTTTTCTTTTCTGTCTTTTCTCTTTTGCTTATCAATGCACCCTTCAATGTTTTGTTTTTTGTTATTGTTTTTGACCTTGGTCTTGGTCTTGGTCTTGGCATTGTAATTTTTCATTGGTATCTTTTTTTTTTTTTTTTTTTTTTTCCTCTTCTTCTTGGTCGGTCCTTATCTTTTAATGATGGCTCTTGCTGATATCTGAAAAGTACCCAAGCAATTCCTGCATCGAGAATTCCATCTGAACGCCTGCATCCGGGTAACACTCTCGGATCAATCTCGAAAACCGTTCGTGTTGTCGGATAATCTCCTCTTGAATACCTCTCCAAGCTACCTGCAAAAGCCCTTCTTCTTCTTCTGAGGTGAAATGTTTTTCCACCTTCTTGTACAGGTGTGCTAGATCCTTCTTCACAACCGATCCCGAATACTGTGAGACCACCTTCTTGAGTGCTTGTTTGTTATATGTCAAATGGAACGCCACGTCTTCTGAAGCCTTGGCCTTGACTAGACCCTCCACTCCATCAAAAAAGTCCTATAGTTTCAAAATCCATACACGTGTATAGTATGTATATAAAAAAAAGACACTAGAGTCAGGATACTATAGTTGTAGACATGGAACGTGTCCAAAGATACATTCTTGTTCAACTAGACCCAAAATAAGGCAAACAAGCTAAATCGGGGGTCAAAACGCTTACCAAAAGCTTCAACAATGTCCGTCGGACAACTCCTCGGACATATGTCTCTAGATGACTCTCATATGAACTCTTTGCATACTTCATGTAGTTTTCGAGGTTCGGGATCTTACGCTGCCGCAACTCTGAATAAAAGTGATGCATATTCTCAATGTTGATCACATGGGATCCCTGCTCCTTATCATCAAAGTCCACAGTCTCCTTGGCCAATGCTTCCGTAGATTCGAACATTACCCTAACAAGTTTATCATACGCTGTCGTGATCAACTTGCGAGCCTCAATATCATCATTGCCATCGAGTAACGCCTCCATCCTCTCGGCGAAACGCTACAACAAGATAGACAAACAAATAAATATGCAAATAATTAATCAATCAGTCAAAACTCTATTTTTTTTTTTTGTTGCCTCATAAGAGATAACCTTGCATTCAAAAAAAATAAAAAATAAAAAAGAAAAAAGAAAAAAGAAAAAAAAAAAGAAAAGAAAAGAAAAAAGCTTACAGGGAATATACGCATAAATGGTAAGACGCCCTTCCTCTTGGTCTTGTGCCGCGCCTCTTCAATAAACTTGAGCTGCTCTTCTACATACTTTTCAAACATGCCCACAAGTTTAGTGTGTAGCTGAGACAGCATCGTAATCAAAAAAGCTTGATCAGATTCCACAAAATCCTTCTGCACACGCTCTACAGCAATCATCATTCCAACACATTGGCTATAGGTGCGTAATAAAATAATAATAATGATAATAATAAGAGTAAGAGAGCAGAACATTAATTTCAACATCCATATTTGAGCCATCATAGCAGTATGCAGAAAACTTGGCAACATAACTTCAAAAGGAAAATAAAATAAAAGAAAAAAAAAAAAAATTATACATACACACTTTCGTTCTTCACTCCATTCTCTGCAAAGTTGTTCAGCTCAACGCTAAGACCATCAAACAAGATACCCATCAATTGCGCCAGTCGCTTGGAGCTCTTAACATCAAGACTAGGTTTCCTCTTCTCATCCAGGTCCTGAAGCGAGAAAGGTGGTGGGTCATCAATAAACATCCGCATAGACATCATCTTGGTCAATGTAAACAGGTCTGACATGTAGTTTTGTTCCCGTGCTGCCATAGCAGTTACAATCGACAATGCTTGCGAGAATGCTTCATCTATAGCAAGCTTCTCTTCAGCAGCCACATCAATCCTGCGTGATGATTCTGACAACAAAGTGCCGTCCCTATCCGCCACAGGCTGGCCTTTAATCTCGCGCGTCGAGCGTTTACGCCATGGAATCCTACCAGTTAAATCAGAAGGTGAAGATAGTGATTCACGGAGGGCTGTTCCTCCTCGTGATATAATGCTGCCATGGTATGTAGATCCAAACACTAAACCATACCAAACAAACAAATCAAACAAGTACAACACAATGTTAGAAAAAAGAAAAAGTTAAATGAATCATTACTGATTCAATAATTAATTACAGTCTTACCAAACTCGGAATCATCGGGTTTTTCTAACTTGGCAAGGTGATGAGTCGAAAGAACATTGAAAAACTCCTTGATTTCCTTGCGGAACAGTCGATTCAGGTTATTTACATAAATCTAGAGCATGGAAGAGACAACCCATTCACCTTGTAAATCAGTATCAACAAGCCAAGGAGCGGAAATAATTCTGCTTCCAACAGCTTTCAACAATAAAAAAAAAAATAAAAAAATAAAAAAATAAAAAAAAAAAAAAAAATAAAAAAAAAGTGCAAGCCTAACCATTTGCAAGTCTGCGAACCGACGCTTTGGATCCATCTCTCTCAACCAAAGAATCAATCCGCGGTAGCTGATCAAATACTTTTCAATAGGCTCGTATCCAAAAATGACCACATATCCTTTAGTCAGTGATCTCTGCTTGTCATTCAAATACTGATCTGTCAATGTCTGTATCTTGTTCCTCAAATGATCTGCTAACCGGCCTGCAAAATTCTCGCAGTGGTAACTATATAGTTCCATCCGTCCTCTGACAGCGCTCATGCCCGCCACATCCTCATCATATTTGGCCAACAACACATCCTGAATCACTGCTGCTGCATCCTCGATCTTGCGAATCCCTCGGTCAGTCTCCAATGTTTCCTTTTTCAACGTTTCAAGGACTCTATCAGGAATTGAAATAGATACCAGTAGATTCTCAAGCTCTCTTAATAGACTAGCTTGATTAGATGTCTGTACTTGCAGTCCACGGTTCTGAGATTCGATTTGTCGAATGTCATCGCCCATAGAATCCAGCTCCTGTCGATAAAGTGAAAGCCAATTATCCATATCATCTAATTCTTCAATTCCCTTATCAAGCTCTGCCATCACATCCTTAATCCTTGTATCTGACTCGATGATGGAATATACGTTCGCCATCTCCAGTGAGTTCAACTCGTTCATCAACCTCGTTTCCAACGCAACGCCATCCTCGTTCGAGGCTAGATCCATATCGTATAATAATTCTTCCAGATTCATAAGGGCAATCTCGTCTAGAGCGTCAGCCTCGTCCATAAACTTTGCTCCATTACGCTCACTCCTTGGACTATTTGATCCTCCAGGCGCAAGGGTTGATCCTAATGATGACACGGATGGGGCAACACTTCGCTTCATACGCTCTGTTTGAATGGATAGCCGTTGTTCAAAATCCTGCACAAATGATCCTGCAGAATTAGCAGCATTGCCGCTGTCGGGTATAGGGGCCATCCTGTGGTTCCTGGTATTGGTGGTGGCAGCCACTTCTCTTGCCACGTTGAATTGTGCTATTTGATTTCGATTGAGTTATATTAAATTAAATTAGGCTAACCAAAAAAAAAAAAGCTTATATCAATTCATAATTGATAGGGTCCAAGGAATTGATGTCTCTCCCTTACTTGCTAATGCTGGCTCGTCAATATTAATTAATGTCGGTAGCCTCTTCAAGTTACTTCTCAGAACCTGTCACATATATATTTAACAAACATGCTGTCAGTATTGATGAAAAAGCTGGTTTTTTTAAGATAAGAGATACTCTCGGAACAAAAAGTTGTGTCAATAAGAGACCTAACAATACCTTGAGTAGCATCATTAAAAAGTCATTCTTGAGTTCAGAGGTATCTGTTACCCAAACATAAGGACGATTGATAACCACTGTCCAGCGCTTTGCCTAAAGGATATATATATATAAATACCATTAAAAGAAAATGAATGACGTGAGAGGACTGGAAAAACAGATTAAACAAAAAAAAAAAAAAAAAAAAAAAAAAAAAACCGTGATTGACTTACATCCACGTTCTCAATCGATTTAATTTCATCCAGATGCCAAGTCCTTCCAATATGGTAAGAAGTTGCCGAGGTCTTCTTCACTTTATGTAGACGCACTTTCCCATTTGCCTTGACTAAAATGATCCAAAAGAACATGATGCATCCGCGTTGCTTCCTGTCAATATCCTTTTATTTTATTTTCTATCTTTGTACAAAAAAGGCCGAAAAAATAAAAAAAATAAAAAAAAAAGTTACCTGTCATGCAGAGATATCGAGGTTTGGAAAGCATCTTTGTCCTCTCAGCACTACCACCTTTCTTTCCAGAGGACATGATCTTTGTTTCCTTGGTTGCCTTTTCTTCCTCATAAATCTTGAGATAAGTTAACATGGTTTCCGAAGTAGAAGCTAGATAAGAGACAAAAAGAAAAAAAATATATAAATATATATATATATATATATAGCAAAAGTTCCTTGTAAATTTGCTCGAAAAGGTTATTGACATATATGTATTCTCTTCTCCTCTTTTTCTTTCTTTTCTTTTCTTTTTTTTTTTTTTTTTTTTTTTTTTCTCAATTGAAACCGGACCCTCGCATACATTTATTATTTTCACTCACATGAACTGTCGGAAAACAGGGCTTGGATCAATTGTTGCCTCACTGGGTCTTCCTTTGCCTTGGGTACAGCCATAGAGGCTGTCAGCCCGCCTCCTGCATGACCCGCCATATCAAAGTTTCCTTGGTTTTACACAAGCTGTTTCTGTTGGGTCCTCTGAAGATGAAAAAAATTGACCTGCTCTTTTCTTTTTCCTTTTTTTTTTTTATCTTTTATTTTTTTTCCTTTATTTTGGCGCTCCTATTCCTTCTTATTATTATTTTCCTTGAATGAGTAAAAATCCGTCAACTGACTACAGTGTTGCGCGTCTTTCAGCTGAATAACGAGTTTCCGCTTATTGTAACTAACTGATGTTCCAATGAAATAGAGAAAGGTATGAGTTGGAATGAAAGAAACTCAAAGTTCGAGGTGCGAGACGAGAACAAAGATGATGACTTCCTTTACCTCCTCCCACTTCTCGAATCGCCAGCAGAATGTGACTTTATCAGGGCAAAGTTCGTCACGTGCAGTCTTTAGATAAGTTTTGTTTCTTTTTTTTTTTTTTTTTTTTTTTTTTTACAAAAACGCGACTTCCCATACCTGTCCCTGGACTTGCCAGTAATAACCATTAGTTTTCTCCTTGAATGGCCGCTATCCATGCAGAGGAACTAGTTAGAGCCGTCAGAGTTCACTGCATCGTTCAAAAACAATAAAAAAATCCAACCGGGGTAGCCCCAGTCAGTTCTCAAAAATGTGATACAAAGATAACGATAGCAAAAACTGAAACTAAGCTTCTTGAAGTTACGCCAGTTATCAATAAATACTAAATACACACATAGCCCAGCTTTTCCACATATTCCCAGCACCCCAAGGACTGTGACATAGTCATCAAAGAATACATGTTTGTCAAAGCACTGATACATCATACGTCCCTTGGGAAAGTGAGTGCATCTATATGCTAAAAAGTATTGTTCAAGGAGCGCAGGGCAGTCAATACCATGTGCCGGTGTTCGGATCTGGTTTTTGCTGTTTCATATGGAGCCTGCATTACAAAAGATGTTATGTTTATTATATTAATAAATATTTATATATATATATATATATATATACTACTCAGTGTTACAGGCACTAAAGTCCATCTTCTTTCTCTTCGTTTGACACAATTTGCTGAGGAGCTCCTACTGGAGTTGTTCCTATATCCTTACTTGCATTCTGAGCAGAATGCGTGCTGGCCTGACTTTCAAGCTGATCAGGTGTTGGGCTAGGATTCCGGATGGAGAGTGCAGAAACCCCTTGAGAATGTATGCTCGTGGGCCTCTGTGGAAAAAGTCTTGATTCGCCTGGTACAGTATGCTCAGCATCCAAGGTACGTAGCGAGACATTCTCTCCTGACGATCCATGCTGAGATACATCGAGATGCCGCGAAGTTGCATTTTCCAGAGCGTCTTGTGATTGTTGACGACTGTATCTCGCATGAAGAGGATCATTGGGTCCAAGTTGCACCATGGAAGTAGCAACAAACGATTGCTGCGAACTTGGACGTTGCCTCTGAAAGCCATTGTTATCCGAGTAGATACCTCCACGTGAGTCACCAGATTCAACCATCATTAATTGCTGCTGTCTTGATGGCCCGCCTACAAGGGCAGCATTTTCATCATCTTGGCTCCATTGTGCGTACTGTGCTCCTGTAGCACCTGAGTGCTCTGATTGATAACTATACCGATTACTACCCATGAGACCTGGCATGATCGGTGGCGTGTACCTGAGAGATGACTGGGAGGTGTTGGGCCGGTTAGAGGCAAAGATAGCATCTGTTCCTGCGGCTCTCGATGAAGCAGATTCTGACCCTCCCACAGGATCCTCAAGAGAAAGGGCCAAGAAGCTCAAAGGTCGTTTTGAATCAAACCGCCGATGCTTCCGGAATCTGAAGAAGAAAAACACACCAGCTGTGATCAATACAGCAAGACCTAGCACTGATCCCAAGACGATGGGTAGTACTGAAGGTCCTGATGATGTATCGTCAGGATTGGTAGAAGTGGCCGTAGGCGAGGTACCTGCCTTTGAAGAGTTTGAAACCGATGGCAGGCTGGAGGATCCAGTAGGTTTTGAAGACCTTCCAGATGAGCGTGATGGTTTTGAATCACGCGAGGAGCCCTCTGTTGGTTCTGATGGTGAATCAGTTAAACTTGAAGGCTCTTCCTCGTCTATTGATGTAGTTTTCTCTGTAGGTTTGGTGGTAACGGGCGGCGAAGGTGCAGGTGTGGTCTTTTCAGTGGGAGGAGTGGTGGTTGGAGGAGATGGAGGGTCTGTAGTAGCAGGTGAAGTTGGCTGTGGTTCGGGTGATGGAGATGGGGCAGGGGCAGGCTCGCCAGTTGTGAGTACAGCACCAGGTACTCCACCATCCTGAGGAGCACGCTTTTCGAGGGCAAATAAGACGTGCTTACGATAGAGCTATTTCAAACCGGAAAAAATGGAGGGGTAGAATATGTCAATGGCGATCTGTCTCTCTGGCCGTTGCGTATTCTTTTGTGGTCTCGAGAGTGTGAGTGATAGAATGAGAGCACCAGGGAAAACAAAAGAGAAGAGTTGAATCGAACTGGATCTGTGCGTCTTGTTGGTGATTGATTGATCCATGCTCTATGGTAAATACAACTTTACCTTAGTTTCAAAAGATGACAGTGCGAGTGGGTAACCAGGCGCAGCGGTTGTGGTGGGTGTAAGTAAATTTAGGGCGAGGATAAGGACGAGGATAGATATAGTGGCCTTTGTGGCAGTTCGAACATTGTGTGATAGCAGTTGCATGGTCATTCAATGGAGGAATGAATGCGTTTTTTGTTAAGAATGAGGAGACCAAGCAGAGGTAAAGAAATAGAAGAAAAAAAGAGGGGGGAGAGAAAGAAGGACCATTCCTCTGTTTTCTTTCCTTCGAAGGGAGCGAAAGACGGCGGGACATGGGACATGGTTGGTTGCATTTTTTGACAATAGTGTCGGCGTAATTGACCTTTCTCCTGAATAAAAAAAAAAATGGTCCAATCCACACACAACTCTTTTGCTGTGCCACGCGTGAAGGTGCGCAAGTGCATTTTTCCCTGCAGCAAGCACAGTGCTCACTTTTAAGAAGCAGAAATGCTAATCAAGATTGAACATCACTCATCCATGTAGACAAATGGAATGTGCTCATCCTTTCAAGCATCTCGATCTATTTCATCCACATATGCTCTTCTCAAGAACGATCGTGTGTGTGTTTGTGTGAAGAGGGCTGTTATTGAAGTGTTTGGTCGTACAGTACCATTTCCATGTGCCCTATTTTTTTTCCCGCAAATAAGTCTGTGTTTGTTTTGATCTATTTTTATTTTAAAGCAAGATTACAATAGACCAGCACCCTCAAGACCCTGTAGAAACTCATCATATTCAGCCTTCTTCTTCGCAGCCCGATCCACTGCTACAGGTACCTCGGGTGCAGTGTTGACCACAATCTTCCTAGGGCTCAATAAACTTGGTACACTCGGCGCCGCATTAATCTTGGGCAATCGCAGACCAAGTCCTGTTTCTCTGTATTCGGGTTCGGAGCCAGCAGCTTCAGTCATGCCTGTATTTACTGTCACCGTAGTCAAACTTGAGAATGCAGATGCTGATTCCGCTGATTCTCCCGATACAGGGTTGTAATCGTCCTCATCTACGCCCGGAGCCGCATTGACGGGTTTCCCAATCTTGCCCTTCTGAGAAACACGTTTGCGCATGATCGTCGAGGGCACAAGATGCACCAGCTCTTTTTGCAGATTTCGAAGTTGTGGCTCTGCTGAAATACTAGCAGGCCCCGCAACCAGCGTAGGCTTTGGCGTTGCAGATATTGCACTCGGCTTCGGAGGGAGTGGATGTGATATCGTCCCTGTTGCTGTGGACAATCCTGGTTTAGTAGGCACAGATACCGGGCTAGATTCCTGAGTAGAAGCTGCTGCCGCTGCTGCTTCCGCTTGCTCCTTTATACGTTTCTTCTCTTTTTCATCTGGAGGTAGGTGGCCAGTCATAGGATCATTCTGTGGATCTGTTGTTCGTGGTGGTTTAATGTATCGAGGAGGTGGTGGTCGTTGTGATGGTGGTCGCATTGGTCGAGGATAGCTCGGCCTTGCTTGGAAGCCTGGTGGCATGTATCCACCTGGACCATTGGCTGTATTAGGCCCACCATAAGGACCAGGTGCTCCGTATCCTGGAGGAGGAGGGCCCATTCCTGGTCCTGTATGCATTGGCGGATGTCCATAACCCATGGGTGGAGGAGGACCAAGACCTGGTCTTGTTGGAGGGTATACGCTACCATATTGGGGATGGATGCCGATTGGAGGATCTAATCAGTCAATATACAAAAACGATCAACTTCACTTTCATTTCTAAAAGCAGAAAACATGCTCATAAGTGTTTTTAATAATGAAGGACACCAAGATACTTACCAATTGGATTCATTGGCGACATTGGTGTGTTTTGCACTCCAGGGTGTGAGAAACCTGGTGGGTACATTTCTGGTCTTGGTTGCATGGGTGGCCATTGTAAAGATGGATGCTGATGTATCTGTGGTACAACAACAACCTTTGGCTTTGTAAGCTCAAGGAACTTGGTCTGCTCTTCCTTTGATGGTGCTGGGCCTTCAGGGAGTGGAGGCATGAATTTTTCATCGTCCGGATCTTCTGAATCCGATTCTGAAGTTGAAGAGTCCGAGTCGGAATCAGAACTAGAATCACTTGATGAACCTGAGTCTGATTCTTCCTCTGACTCTTGTGATTGCTCTTGTTGATCTAGCTTTCCATGTGCCTCTTCCATGCCCATAGGGTGTTGTGATGGCAGAGGAGCTAGTAATTACAAAATCATTACTGTTAAAAAAGACTTTTATAAAAAGATTCTTAAATCATATTCCACAAATAGACAGATTCATACGATACTCAAGGTAGGGCTGTCCCGGAGGTGGTGCGCCATATGGATTCAAGATCGGGTCATAGTAAATAGATCGTGTGGGGTCCCTAGTTTGTTCAGGGACTGGGACTGGAGTGGGTTTTTCTGGCTCCACCTTTTTACTAATCCATTCAATAAAATTAAGATACTGTCAGTAATACTAACTTTTTTTTTTTTTTTTTTTTTTTTTAAAAAAAAAAAACTTCAACGCCTCTGACTTTGACAGTTATGCTTACGGCTTTATCTTGATTCCATGTGCCTTTTTAATCTCAATGATTTTGTTCATTCTCTCTCGCAGTTCACTAAGCTTTTTGATGCCATCTTTGTCGAGCTTCCCTTCAGCCTCTCGAGCCTCATATTCTGCCAGCTCGACTTCGGTTGTTGTATCCCTGAGTGCAGAATTGACTTCGCGGATCTTCTTGCGATCTTGTTTATTCTATGTACAATCGGGAAAAGCAATAAGACTCAATTATCTAAAGCATAGTAAACTGTAGAGCAAAAAAAAAAAAAAAAAAAAAAAAAAAAAACCATAGCACATGATCCAGATCTTGATATCCAACATCCCTCTCTACCTTTTTAATCTCCTTTTTATGTAATTCCTTGCCTACGGAACACACGACAATTGTATTATAGCCATTTATTTTTTTAGTTAGATGTTGCATGCATTTTGACAAATGGTTGACAGATCTTAATGTCAAACAAAGGCTGTGAATTAAACATACGGTATTGGTCCGCAGGGTTGAGACTCCTGCCACTTTTGCGTCCCATGGTTGCCCTTTATTCTTTTGAGTCTGGTAACTGTTTCTAGCTCAAGTTCTTGTCCTAGTCCTGGTCCTGGAAGAAACTTTGAATAAACTTGTCATCCTTTGAGAGTAAAATCTCTAATATACTATAGCCGCTACCTTTTTTGATATATCACGTGTAGAAATTTTTTTTCAGACAATTTGGGATTAAGATCGGATTTTATTTCCTCCTCCTCCCCTTTCATTCCCTTATTCCCTTACTTCAACAATGGTTTGCAACCAATGCGTTAAAGAATATGCGCGTCGTGGAGAATTAGTTGAAGTTACGCATGAACGATCAAATAGTAATGAGTGTCTTTTCAACAGATGTAAGACATGTAGTCGTCCAAGAATACATGGACATATGGAAAATTGTCCTGAGAATATTATCCCCGTCATTGATAAGTGAGTATAAGTGATAATTGGAAAATGCAGAACATATATGACAATATGACAAGACAACACGACAGAGCAACAGAGGAATGGATAAGTATATATAGGATGTAGGATACAAGTGTAGGAAAAGCTGAACTAATAATTAAATAAATATTTTTTTTTCAATTTTTCAAAATCAAAGTGAGCGTGACATGGAGGTGCAAAATTCACGTAATGAGAACATTAACCTGAACAGAAGTAACCGCGAGGAAGAATATGAATTTGAGCCTTATCATCCCCCACCACGACCTCCACTTCCAGTACAAGTTCCTATTGCTAGGCGACCTTTCATTGCTAGGCGACCTTTTAATGAAAATCTAATCAGAAGCAACAGTATTAAAAATCACAGACATCACCTTGATCGGATGATAAAATGTCCAGATTGTCAGGCGAAAGTGTGGAAAGAGGAACGAAGTAATAAGAAGCAAAATCAGGACTTTAAATACTCCATCTGCTGTCAGAGAGGTCGAGTTGTATTGCCCATTATTGAGCCACTTCCATTCATCCTAGAGGTTTTAAGTTACCATTTAAGCTGCTACTAAAGATCGGCCAGCCTATCATGTTGTTAAGGAATATGAACGCCAAGCGTGGATTGTGTAATGGTACCCGACTTATTGTGCGTGGTCTTACCTCAAGATGCATGGAAGCAGAAGTTATCACAGGCGCTTTAAAAGGAAAAAGAGTGTTTATTCCGCGCATCCCCCTGACAACTGCTGATGATGACCAAACATCACCTGTGAAGTTTACACGGTATCAATTCTCCATCAAGCCAGCATTCGCTATGACAATTAACAAGTCGCAGAGGCAAACTCTTGAGAAGGTGGGTATTTATCTCCCTGCTCCCGTGTTTACTCATGGTCAACTGTATGTTGCACTATCACGCTGCTCCAATCCAAGAGATCTGAGGGTTTTAATAGACAATGGCATATTTCCTGGGTTTGAAGGTGTTTATACAAGGAACATTGTATACAAGAGCGTTCTCCAATAAGTATAAAAATAAAAATAATAAATTATTTTGTTCAAAAATTCACACCTGTGCATCGCACGGGCTACTGCTAGTTGGTATAAAGGAGAATATCATCAGTGGCTGAGCAAAGTTACCTCTAATAGTCACGTGGATAATGAAAAGGAGGCCTGATATGGAGGTGTCAAGTTTGTAAATTAAGATCGATCAATGGCCGGCCATGTCTTCTCTACTTCTGGGTATCCGAACCAGCTTCTGAGTATCCAAGGATGATTTAATGTCATATACTTTTATGTGTATAAACTATAAACGAAGAAACCACATGGCTACACAAAAAAAAAAGATGAGATGCCCTCACACGTGCCGCATGGACCTTGTCTGTTAGAAGCGGAAAAATAATTTAATAATCGTTTATTTATGGTTTGAGCCGCTTTCAACTGTGGGGTTACTCAAACCATTGCCAGTTAATTCTGTCAGACCCTAGCTTGGTCCTGGCGCCCGTTCATGCCATCATCACAAGGGAACAACACAGTTTGTCAAGAGCTCTTGTATTTCAAGTATTTCTGTACATGAACACAGAGCATCAAGCATTAAATAAAATGGCTGCATAAACAAACAAATTCTGTATTACACAATGCGATTTGACCAAGTCAGACACGGACTGCAGCGCTCAGAAAGTTAGCAAGCTGACTGAGTTGAGGATTCTCGAGAGGAATGATGTTTATGTTTTGAAATCTTAAATTTTTTTCAAAGAGATGGACTGATTGTCGATTTGGCTCTGCGAGGTCTGCGCCCTTCGCTCTCTTCCTCTTTCATACACCCGTCTTCACACGATCTTCTCTTCTTCCTTTTCTTTTTCTTTTCCTTTTTTCTTTTCTATCTTTGCTCCTCTTCCTCTTTTCCTCCTTCCCTTGGAGCACCACTCGTTCTTTCTTCCCCACCTCTACTCTCCTAGAGTCCTTGGTGGTTCCTCTCCTTACTTTTATCTCTCTGCGCATGTGCACCTATACCTGTTCCTGTTCCTGTTCCTGTTCTTGTGCTCACACCTAGACATTTTCTGCTGTTACGGCATCCTTTATTGTCCTCTCATTTCTACCGATTTACTTCATTCCTTTCACAATGTTCCACTCCATTGCAGTCCTGACTACCACTGTTGCTCTCACTTTGTTGACCACTGTGCATGCTCAGGTTTATTGTGGAGGTCAAATCAGTGGTATGGTTTGAAGTATTATAGCGATCGCTCACTTTGAACCTGTCACTTTGGACGAATGAGCTGCACACCCACTGATGCCCACAGTATCTTGCTGTGTTCTATGCTTTTCTTTGTATCTGAACAATTGTTTTTTTTTTTTTTTTTTTAAAAAAAAAATGTCTATATCATTTTAGAAATCGCTAATGGAACGCTTGGTGGTTTCAAAGCCCAGTACTTGTCCAACATCACACTCGTGACACTCTTTGGTCAGAACAACAACAAAGATTTCGAGCAATATGTCCTCTATTGTGGTGATCAAGCACCCGACACGCTTGCGCTACAGGCACATGGTATTCCTACATCCGTTGGTATCTTTAAAGTACCATTGCAGTCTGTTGGCGTAGAAGGAACCTTTACGAGCTCATATGTTGAGGTAAGAAAGCGTCCTATGCACCAGTAACTTTTTTTTTTTTTTTCTTTTTTTTGTTGTCATTGTGGATCACGAGCATTCGCATACTAATGTGATGAAAACCTTTCTTGTGCTTCTAAAAGGTCGCTGGCTCTGGGAGTGCCATCAAAGTTCTAGAAGATCCACAAAATGTGGTGTCACCTTGTCTTCAACAAGCTGTCTCAAATGGCACCATCACAGCTCTGAACGACGGAGACTTTTCGCAATATGAGAGCCTCAACGCCACTTTCCGTGAAAACATGCATCCAGGTCAGAAAAAGGACATTTGGGTGCCAACAACGAGGACAGAGGCAGATCCTTTATTGAGAGTCGAGTATATCATAGCCATTTCTTTGTTTTTCAATAATGGGCAACATGGCGAAACAATCTACAACAACATTAGGAATGCATATACAACCCTCAAGAATGATATGGCACGTATCCCTCTTGCGAACAGGAAGCGCATTGCTTGGGTTCGCTATGACTTTTCTACATCCACCTGGAGACTTCGCAACAGCGCTTTCGTAAAGAAAATCATCGAGGCTGCAGGTAAAAAGATGATCACATAAATAGTTCTAGTTGAATTCATCATGAATATGAGAGGGTACGAGATCTTGTTTTTTTTTATAAAAAAAAAAAAAATGCTTACTGATCATTTGAGCCTTTTTCGTCTTTTTTTTTTTTTTTTTTTTTTTTTTTTTTTTGGACAGGTGGTGTTTCGTTCCCATTACATGCGGATGGTCTGGATGACGCCTCGGTTTCGGCAGATGATATCAAGACATTGCTGGTCAATGCTCAGATCATTATTGACGAGACAGACTTCACTAATCGGATGACATATAATGGCAAGGTGTATTCATCAGCGGTAGAACTTTGGAGGACTCTTGCTGGATTCCTTGTTTCGGATATGCTCCCTGCTCTTTCTAAGAATAAAGTATATTCATTGGACAAAACTGCCAATGCCAAGGGTATTAGTGGTAAGTGTTATTCTTTTTTTCTATTTTTTTCTATTTTTTTTTTTATTTTTTTTTATTTTTTTTTATTTTATTTTTTTATTTTGTTTTATTTTATTTTCCCCTGTGCACTCTGTCGATTTAGTAAACGAATGGTTTTTTTTGTCTTAAATTAGATTTCGAGTACCGGCTCGCATCACGTCCTGATATTCTTTTGAAGGACTTGATCTCCGTCCAGTATCCATATTACGAACCCGGCTATAACACCACGTTCCTCAATGACGATTTTTCAACAACAGGTGGTCCCGCTACACGTCTTGGAGCTAGTGATTGCGGCATAGTCCCTTATAATACCGGTGATATCCCACAAGTCCAACCAAATCCTTATTTCAAGGGCGATGAGGATGTACCACCCCCTTTGATCGGCAACGGTATCTATGGAGCGGGTGGTGAACAGGACAACAATGGCAATGGCAATGGCAGCGGCAAGAAAACTGGCATTATTGTTGCGGTTGTATGTGTTGCAGTTGTTCTAGGAGCAGCATTTGCATTTGCGTTCTTCAAGTGGGGCAAACGTTCCAAGGAAGATCGCTTTATTGAATTAGAGGAAGAAATGAATAACGAGATTCCATTGCACTAAACATGTATTAATCCTAACTTGTCAAAAAAATATTTATTTATTTGAATAAAAAGTAGTTTAAAATATATAACATGTCTTTTATACAAGCGTAATTTTAAAAATTGGTGGCGCCTTTTTTGGTTTCTCACAAAAAAAAAAAAGTAAACAAAGCCACATTCAACAACAACTGTCGTTTTTCTTTTCTTTTCTTTTCTTTTTTTTTTTTTTTTTTTCTTTGTTCAGAAGCAAGTGGACAAACCATAGTCAGCGAGAAGAGCTCTTATTCACCATTCACATTACTTAATTTGTCTTCATTTACACCTCAGTGTTCGCTATTGTTTCTTGTCGACTTTTTGTTTATCGCTTATCCTTCATATTCATATTTGCACTCTTCTCTACACCGCAACTTTTTTTTTTTTTTTTTTTTTTTTTACCTTCATACATGCCTGGTACACCAAAGAAAGGGGCACGTAAGCCTCCAACGGCGGTCCTACGAAAGGAAAAACGCCTTTCAGAAAAACAGGAGCTAGAGCAACTGGAACAACGCTGCAAGCATCCTGTAGGTGAACCCATTTGTTCCAAGGGAAATATATATATAGCGATGTAAATGTGAACTAACCTTTGGAAATTGAATACTTTTCAAAAAATCAAGATCATTGGAGCAGACTCTATGCAACAGTTCGATGAACTTCCCATTTCTCAAAAGACACTTTTGGGATTGAAACGAGCCAACTTTATCAAAATGACCGATATTCAGCGTAAAGCTCTTCCTCTGGGACTTTGTGGCAAAGACATCTTGGGAGCCGCAAAGACAGGAAGTGGAAAGACTTTGGCTTTCCTTGTCCCTGTAAGTTTTGAATTTCAGCATTAGTCATTTATTGTATTTTATCCTTATTACTCTTATCATAATCTCTTCTTCAACATATTCTAATCGCATTTTCTTGTCCCTTTTATCTCGTTTTGAAATGTACTATATATACTATTACTATTATTATTATTTTCTACCTCAGTTGGTCGAAATGCTTTATCGTCAAAAATGGGGACCCATGGATGGATTAGGAGCCCTCGTCATCTCACCCACTCGTGAGTTAGCAGTTCAGATTTTTGAGGTCCTTCGCAAAGTCGGTCGTGAGCACTCTTTCTCTGCAGGATTGATTATCGGAGGCAAAGATTGGAAGATTGAACGGGAATTGATCTCAAAAATGAATATCCTGGTCTGCACACCAGGTCGTCTTTTACAACATATGGATCAATCTGCTGGATTTGATTGTGATCACCTGCAACTGTTGGTGCTGGATGAAGCGGACAGGATCTTGGATATGGGATTTAAGAAAACCGTGAATGCCATTGTGGAGAATTTACCTCGTCAACGTCAGACAATGCTTTTCTCTGCGACACAAACTAAATCCGTCAAGGACTTGGCAAGATTGAGTTTAAAGGATCCAGAATATGTAGCAGTCCACGAGAAGGCTGAGCATTCCACACCAAAGAACCTCTCTCAATACTACATGGTGGTCCCATTGGATAAGAAACTGGATGTCATGTTCAACTTTATCAAAACACACTTGACAGCTAAAGCCATTGTGTTTTTATCAAGTTGTAAACAAGTAAGTAATTTCTTTTTCTTTTATAAAAAAAAAAAAAAAAAAAAAAAAAAAGAAAAAAGTCAACAAGAATAGGTTTAGGAAATGAGTAATTGGTTATTAACTTTACCCTTGACAATAACTATCAATGGATAATCGTAGGTGCGCTTTGTTTTTGAAACGTTCTGTAAAATGCATCCAGGTGTTCCACTTCTACATCTCCATGGGAAACAAAAGCAACAAAAGAGAGCTGAAACATACGCCAAATTTGCAGCTCAAAAGGCCTCCTACTTGTTCTGCACAGATATTGCAGCCCGTGGATTGGACTTTGCCGCAGTCAATTGGGTTATTCAGCTAGACTGTCCTGAGGACCCAGAGACATACATTCATCGTGTTGGAAGAACAGCTCGTTATGAGGCAAGTGGACAAGCCATGCTGATGCTCTGCCCTAGCGAAGAGGCTGGAATGATCAAAGGACTTGAGCAGGCAAAGGTTCCAATTCAGGAAGTCAAACTGAAAACAGATGCCAAGGACGTCAAGAAGGAGCCGATTCAAAAGCAATTGCAGCGGCTGTGTTTCAACGATCCTGAAATCAAATATTTGGGTCAAAAAGCATTCATCTCATATATGCGATCTGTATACTTACAAAAGGACAAGACTGTCTTCGATGTCAACGCATTGCCTGCTGAAGAATTTGCAGCGTCATTAGGTCTTCCAGGTGCACCAAAGATCAAATTTGTTGCTAAATCCAAAGCCAAGAATGCTGTCAGAGGCAGTCAAAAGAAGACGGATGGTGAAGATGAAGCAAGTGATGAGGATACTGAAGAAGAGGAGGGGGAAGAAGAAGAGAAGAGTAAGGTCAAGACACTGGATGCGAAAAAGAAGAAGAGCAAAAAGGAACCCGTACCTGAGGAGGAGAGTGTATCAACAGAGTCAGCAGCCAGTAAGCAACCAAAGTCAAAGATTGAAAAGATGTTCAGCCGCAAGAACCAGTCCGTCCTGGCAGAGCATTATACCAAACTGGTGGATCATGAAAGTGATACAAAGGGCTCCGGCGCAAGAGGTGTTCAGGAGGATGAGGACGAAGATGAATTTTTGACAATCAAACGGGTGGATCATGATCTGGAGGGCGACGAAATCCCCGAAGATAAACCTCTGCCTATGTCAAAGAGGCAACAAAAGATGTCCAAGCTTGAGAGAACTAAGAACCAAGGCAGAGGAAACAAATTGATTTTTGATGAGGAAGGTGGTGCTCATGAGATTTATGAACTTGAGGATGAGGCATCATTCCACGCCAAGGGTAATGCATTAGATCAACAGAAGGCGTTCTTGGAAAAGGAGAAGAAGGTCATGGATCAAGCAGATGCTATTGATAAGAGCACTGCAAAGGAGAAGCTGAGAGAAAAGAAACTTCGAAGAAAGCAGCGTGAGCGTGAAGAGATGGTAAGTCTACTTATGGTTTGATTTATTGTACATGTTATAAAAAAGAAAATATATATTATAGTAGTGATTATCTAACATCTATTATATTCTCTGAAATAGATGGACTACGACTCAGATGCAGAGGAGAATGTTGTCACTTTGGGTACACCTGAGGATTCTGGTGAAGACTATGATATGGGCGACGATGATGGTGACAATAGCGACTACGAAGAAGATGAAGGCGAGATGGAAGAGGAACCAGTCAAGAAGCGTGGTTGGTGGCAGGATAAGGCAGATGCTGAGGAAGCCAAGAAGAAGAGAAAGGTGGTTGAGGTGGACGAACCTCAGACGTTGGCAGATCAAGAAGCACTCGCCCTTAAATTGCTGGGCATGTAGAAATGATCCCCACAATCTGTCTATAGAATTTATTATCATTTTAATACTAGAGTAACTACAACAGCATCCTCATCATCACTATCTGCATTGACATTATCAATTCCTCTACACCCATCGTATCGCGACTATTCTCTTTCTGGCATATCACTCTTTAAATATAAAAAATAAAGAAAGCATTCATTCAATCTAAAAAGAAAGTTAATATGGCTGCATATACTCCGTCAGCTGATGTGACTATTACATGTTGATTATGTGTAGTAACAACAATAACAACAACAAACACTTGCTCATGTCATTCACCAAGAGCACCAATGGCGACACATGCAAGGTACAATTCAGAAGGCTGAATTCTCATTGGAGATAGTACTTTCGCGACATCGGAACGGATGGTTTACTTGTAAATATTGTTTATTTATCTACTTTTATTTATTTTATTTTTTCGCTTGGAAGAAGTTTTAGTAAAGGCAAGGCCGTACCAGGCTTTATGCAACCTAATACAGTCCTGTCATCGCGAGCCTCAATATTTGGAGATAGCTTTGATTGTCCAGCTCCTACAAGGAAAACAAGCCAACATGTGGATGTTTCAAGGAGAGGCCAGGATATGGATATGGATATGGATATGGATCAAGATTCAGAAAAGAATAGTGATGAAGAGATTGATGATAAGGGATCCGAAGTGATCTTGGCAAAACTTTATGATCAATTGCAGGACTCTATCGTGATTAAAGGTAAAAGAACAGAATAAGAATAGGAAAATCTTGTTTTGGGTCCTATTCTCCTGTGCCGATGCATGCCAAACTAATGCTGGTATTAAATGTAAAAGAAAAGAAAACATTTTTTTCTTAACTTTTTGATCGATAACTTAGATGTTGACTCTGAAATACAAAGTGCAGTTGACAGCGAAATGAAATCGGTTAGTGCTCAAGGAAGCAAGCAGGGAAATAATAGCAATGGATGGACAGAAGAAGAGGAAGAAGATCAAGGATTGGAGTTCCGGTTATTTGCATCACAGGATGTCCCAACCGCTGTTTTGTTGACACAAAAGGAACCAGAAATTTTCCATGCTGTTCATCGTGAACGTCCTGATCTAGACGAATCGCCAGGATCTGAAAGGATGCAACATATTGCGGAAGCAGTCATTGACACGGCCACTGTTTTGAATCAATCTCGGGTCCCCTGGGTAAGCTATTTGGTCATTTGAAAATAGTATTGACAATAAAAACGATAAAAATAACCACACTAACATCCCTTATCCTTCTATACTTTCCTATCTCTAAATGTTTAAAAATTGTAGCCAAGAGCATTTTTTGCTCACAAGGTCATTCACGTTCCATTTAAACAAAAGACTGAGTCTACTCAAAAGACTAAAAAAAGTAGACGGAAACGCGAATGGGAGAAGAAAGTCAAAGCAGGTTTGATCGATCAGGCGACCATTGAAGCAACATCCAGGAAGATAAAAGTTTCGGAAAGCTGGGGACGAAAACCATTTCTGGTACGGAAAGGCCTCGATCCAAATACGATCGATGCTGGCACTAGAAAGATAATGAAGAAGGACTATAACTCTTCGATGAGAGGCAGAGGAGCACGAGGTGGAGGACGAGGAGGACGAGGAATGGCTGCTCGTGGTCGTGACTATAGTGGTGATCGCGACCGTGAGCATGGGGCAGACATTCCAAGCGCCATTGACAAGACGACTCAAACTCAACATCAACAGAAAACCGCTGATCAAAACAGTTTATACGGCACAAAGAAGGACAACAAAAGTAGAGTGAAAGAAATCAGCGAGCCTTCAAATTCTGTGGATCGTAAGAACAAAAGTACAGCGCAACCGGCATCCTCAAAAGCAACAGCATTAACAGCACTTGTGATGTCTGCTACTACGCGTGCTGAAGCAACGCAGCATGGCATGATCAAAGCACTTCCAAAGGATTCACAGGCAGCATCACTACCAAAGAAACTCAAGTCGAGTAAACAACCATCTAAACTTGATAATATTATGGCGATTCTTACTGGAAAGTGAACTGTGTATGTAGCATTAAAAAAAAAAAAAAAAAAAAAAAGTGGAACCAGAATGCGCCATTTGTGTGCTGTTAAAAATAACTCCTATGCTTTGTAGCACGGACCTTTTACTGAAGGAGAACCGAGCTCGGTCATATGGCACTTTACTACTTTACTGTTAACTTTATTTGTCATTTAAAAAAGATCGTCGGCTTGGTCCAAAAGACTTGCAAGTTGACTTGGCTCGATTTGTCCTGCCAACCAACAGGACGCTTGACTAGTGTGAATGTCCCATGGGTTGTCGCCTTCCCTCGTAATAGATTTAAAGTATCTTATCGCCACAGCTGTCGCAGCAATTGTCGCTGAATGCGACTTTATGTCTTGGATCTCCATTGTAGCTGCAACTATCGTAGGGATGAGACCCATACATGAGAGCAGCTCATCTCTCCATGGCCAGAACCCTTCAGATGTCTGCATTGACAACAAGACTGCTACACTTCTACCCTGATAAACTTGGGGGATGACATGCCGCCGCAACACCACATTGGCTTCTCGAACACTGTTCGTATTCATGACGCTTGCCGGGGAAGCGGGGGGGATCAACACCTGATAGCTACTACTATGTTCTTTCGTGCCTTGACTGCTGTAGCAGCTATAATCAATCTGGGAACTGAGGTGCTGCCTCAAAATTATATTATCCCGAATCCCTTCGATTATTGCGACCTTCGGCATAATGATATCTTCGGCTTCTTCGAGTTCTTCGAGTTCTTCGATTTCTTCGACTTCGAGTTCAAATTCGTCTTTGACTGTGACTGGCTGATACCGAAACCAACTCAGTTCTGGCGCTTTTTGGCTCTTGTGCCAATCGGGATCGTTATCATCAGCGCCGAGAAAACTGTCAACGACTTTAGTTAACGTTGCTTCTTGCGAGCCGATTTCCATTTTTTTTTTTTCTTTTTGACTTAAAGACAAATGGAGAAAACTGAAAAAAAAAAAAAAAAAAAAAAAAAAAAAAAGAAAGAAATGAAAGAGGGGATGATAATATGACAAAAGAGGAGAGGAGCATTAGTTTACATTTAAATTATAAATGACCTACAAGGTCCTCTTTCCAACCTCATTCACTATCACATAGAGTGATAGAGCTCTCACCTCTGTTTGCTATATCTCCTTTCATCTTTCCAAAACTCAAAGCACTGTCAATATTGGCCTGAAGCTTTGAAGAAAAGCTAAGAAAAATTGATTGGATGGTAAAATAGAAATAATTAGAGGGCGCATTTAAGAAATATAGACCGGATAGAAATAACAGTAACAGCAACAAACACTTGCCCATAATATTCAGCAAAGACTACCATTATGGATACGCAGAAGGTACAATTAAGGGGATTGAATTCTTGTTGGAAACAATCCTCTCACGACTTAAAATCAAGGCTATACCAAGCTGTATGCGAGGAAAAAGGAGATCAAGGATTGAGTCTCGGTTGTTTAATTCTCAGGATGTCCAAACTATTGTTTTGTTGACACAAAAAGAATATTTTTATTCCATCATTAAAAGAGATCGTCGGCTTGGTCCAAGAGACTTGCAAGTTGACTTGGCTCGGCTTGTCCTGCCAACCAACAGGACGCTTGACTAGTGTGAATGTCCCATGGGTTGTCGCCTTCCCTCGTAATAGATTTAAAGTATCTTATCGCCACAGCTGTCGCAGCAATTGTCGCTGAATGCGACTTTATGTCTTGGATCTCCATTGTAGCTGCAACTATCGTAGGGATGAGACCCATACATGAGAGCAGCTCATCTCTCCATGGCCAGAACCCTTCAGATGTCTGCATTGAAAACAAGGCTGTCACACTTCCACCTTGTTGAACTTGAGGATTGGTATGCTGTCGCAATACCACATTGGCTTCCCGGATACTATTCATACTATTCATATTCATGACGGTTCTGTGGTACCATTTATATTTAGATCCGCTGCGCGTGCCTGACAATTCCATATTGTCTTTTGTGGCGCCGCCCTCCTTCACACTTGTTTGTTGTCCCATGTCCAAAAAATTGTCCTGTTCTTCAGTTTTTTTGATCATTACGGCAATTAAGGTCGATATTATCATTGCTGAGAGATCTATTAGCGGCTTTAATTGATGTTACCTCCATTTCTTTTTTTTTTTTTTTTTTTTTTTTTGAGACTTAAAAAGAAAGATGAAAGGGAGGAAAGAAATGAAAGAGAGGATAATAAAACTAAAGAGCATTTTGTTTTTTAACTGCGGTTCTTTTTATTTACATTCAAATTATGAATGGCCTGTCTCTGAGAAAAAGATTGACGCCTCACTTATTGCGACAGAATTCTTACCTCTGCTGGCTACATCTATCGATAGATGTCGAGAAATAACGACAAAAGGTTAGAGTATTTCGTGGCCAAATAATGAGGACAATAACGCACAGACATTGTCCAGAGACAAATGAATAAGGATTCTTTTTCTTCTTTTATATGTGTAGGCCATAAATCGAATAGTTCAAACCTTGTGTTCAATATCAATCAAAACGCACTAAGTCCATGTAGAGGATGCACTTACAGAATGCATGATGCACGCACAAAACACATGTAAAATTTCCTAAATGCAAGTCACTATTATTTTAAATACTCAAGCATAAATGTCTATTATAATGCTGCATGCATAGAATGATAGTAATATTGACACACCTAGAGCTTTTTTTTATGTTCTTTTATGGTGTTTCCTTCTTGTCAAAGGCTCCTCTTCTTCGTTCTCTTCCTCTGTCTCTCGCGCTTCGCTCTCCTGTCTTTTTTTGGACGCTGAAGTGCCTTTCATCTCTTGTATTCTCTGTTTATTCTTTGCACGGATAGAGGCGATAAGATTGCTGACAGATTCGAGAGCTCCACCATGAGTATCTTTCATATTATAAAGGTTTCTGCCTAGTAGAGCGAACTCAGTGGCAATCAGCTTTCTCTGAGAGTATCTAGAAGGATCAGTGGCACGCATTCTTGGAGTCCAGTGGCGAAGCGCCAAGACTAAGCCTTTTTCTGGATCGCCTTCTTCCCATTGCAGAACCGCCTCTCTCCAATGTATGATATCAGGGATCCTAGGAGCTACCGGAGGCTCGGTGTCATCTTGAGGAGGCTGCACCACTGATGGTAGCGGTGCCATATGTCGAATATTGATAGGATTAACTATAGGTGAAGACCTCTGGAAGAGTGATTGGATCTGCTGAGTGATAGCCGCTCCAAGATCGGCTACTTCCTTCTTCATCTCCTGCTGTGTCTTATTTACATCATTAATAATAGCAATCCGTAGGGTATCAAGCGCAGTATCCATTGTTTGCACAGTTACCAATTCTGTGGGGCTGGATTCTCCCATAAACCTAGTGTGTCGACTAGTGTTCTTTACTGGAGAGAGCATGTCACCGTAGCCAGTCTCATAACGCACAAACTCATCTAATAGATACCGCATAACTGTACCAACTCCTTCGCCTTCGGACCAGCCGCCCCACCATTTTACTGCCTTGAGAGACCATTTTTCCTTTGCAAACATGAAGCGATGCTGCGCTCCACCCCGACGGAAACAATGAGTTGTGTACCGGCCATTGCGTTCAGCAAGTAGATTTGCAGCATCAGTAAATTCATCCAACAAAGACTGGATTTTTGGATGTGAAAATGCCTCTTTGAGCTTGACACGACCTTTATTATCCAACGAGGGGAACACAAAGTCCTCAGGATGGAGCGCTCGGCTATTTTTCTCTAGCCATTTGATCCAGGTTTGCAGTTTAGTATAGCAGCAAGCATGAGGTTCTTCGGGAAGTGGATGGATCTCATATATATTGGCTATCAAATTAATTAACAATCGGATCACGACGAATTAAAAGAAATGAATAAAAGAATAAGATCGGGTATGCAGAGATAACGCAGCTTCATAAAGCATACAGGAAACATGATCCAGATAAAAAGAAATGGTAGCCAGGACGATATGAAATACCTTTTTCAGCATTCGCCTGGTTTGTTTTACGAAAAGTCAAAGTGATTTTAAAGTATGATCGCCCACAATCCGTCTTAAGACCAAGATCAAGGTCTTTTCCTTTAAGCCTCAGTAGTTCCTCGTTTCTAGGGAAAGTAGCAATCATCACCGAATGAGATTGGCGAGCAGTAGGATTATAATAACGCAGATTGACGCGAAATATCACCTTGTCCATAAAGCGAAGCCTGTTGCAGCAAATGCTTGAAAAAACAGACACAACCCTTCGCCGTGCTTTGCAATGACATCTGGCTCTTGGAGGTGTTCCATTAGCTTTGTCAAATCCTTGTAGCTCATGGCAAGGCTTTGCTTGCTTTGACCATTTCGCCCATCGCGTTTCTTTAGAGAAACCATGTAGTCCTCAAAGGCCTGATCATAAACAGGATTTCCTGTAGAAAAGCGTAAAGTAAGTTAAATTGCAGTTGATAAAGCATCGCGTTTCCTGCCTTCATTCCTCTCGCCACCCATTATTACACACCTAACCATCGTCCGTTCTCGAATCGCCAAAAGTTGCCCTGGCATTGGAACTGATCTTTGAAGTATTGCTTGAATGAACTTCGGATACCCTCAGCTGTTTTGTATGATAAGCTACTCTGGTCACACTTGAAGGCAACAAAAGCTAGAAGGACAACTGGGGTTGCTCCGCTAAGCTCATCAAATGCAGCTGAATACTCCCCACCCATACTAAGGGCATACTTCTTCCCTCGCTCAAGGTGGCCTGAATAACTAGTCTTTGTCTTCACAGCAAAACGATAACGATGGGCCGTTTTCGTTTTCTTTGCAGCATCCAAGGCATCGCGTAGGTTGATACCAGCCTCGATATTGATGGACAGACTCTCAGAGACAGTGGTGGAGTCCATTGGTGAGAGGGAGCGGGGAGAGAACGGGGAGGGAAGCTGTATGTTTATAAAAAAAAAAAACGATATCTTTCTACATCTTTATATATAATGATTTGATCCATTTTTGATTAATAACAACTTTTAAAAATTCTAAACATTTTTTGCATGAATTTGTTACACAATCTTCGAATATGCAAATTTACCCCCTTTATTTTTTGGGCTCATTCAAAATTTTTCATAGGAAATGACATGCCATCCAGTGTTCTATTGCCTTTGTGCTCACTTTTTTTTTTGAACTATTTTATATACCATGTATAAATATTGTGTTCTATGAGAGCCTGTCGGTTGTTGAACTAGATCGAGGGCGAAGCAATGTCAAATCAAACTCAAATGAATCAGATGTGCTTTCCTCATCCTTCATTCGTCGTTTTCTAGATTCATCACTTTTGCTTTATTAACACAGTAATATTAAAATAGAAGTTTTACATGTCAGGCTCTGAAGAAAACAAACCACTCCACGTAATGATCGTGGGAGCCGGTCTTGGAGGTGTCATGTTGGCAATTCTACTAGAGCGACTCGGTATATCGTACACGATCTTTGAACGATCAAGTGAAATTCAACCCCTTGGTACTACAATGAACAGCTTGACAAAAAAAAAAAAAAAAAAAAAAAAAACCTAGATGTTTATTTGAAGTACTAAAAAAATAATTTATCTCAGGATCTGCCATGGTGTTTGGTGCAAACATCCTCCCGGTCTTTGAGCAATTGGGCTTGCTAGAACAAGTTCAAAAAATCTCGCTCCCTTGCCTGAGAATGGATATTTACAATAGTAAAATAGAAAAGGTTGCTTTTGTTGAAGTAGGGCAATACCGTGAAAGGCAAGTGAACAATCCTAAAAAAATCGCGTTTACACTTGATCCTTTTACTAATCTAATTCTTTTTCTTGTATGTACGTGTATATGTATTTGTGCATGGGTGTATGGGCAAACGATCCCATAAATAAACGTATTTTTCAGGAGCGGTTACGATTTCTTGATGTTTGCTCGACCGGATATGCACCGCCTGCTTTTGTCGCAAGTACCATCCGAAAAAATACTCATGAAGAAACGCGTTCTCTCTATGGAGCAAAATGACATTGGAGTGATGGTTCGTCTTGAAGATGGATCGAGCCATATTGGTAATATCCTTGTGGGCGCCGACGGTGCATACTCTGGAGTCCGGCAGGGATTATTCAAGCTTTTGGAAAGAAAGGATCAACTTCCTGCAGCGGACAAATCGAGTTTGAAAGTCGGTTACTTGTCAATGGTCGGTGTGTCCAACCCACAAGATCCTGGAAAGTACCCGGTCCTAAAGGAACCAACCTCCAATTTCTCTCGTGTCATTGGAGATGGAACCCCACATTCTGTACGCTCTTTTTATTTTTAATAAGTGCTATTTAAAGAAGAAAGAGATGCGGCTAGCGATTGCTGAGACTTTTTTTTTTTTTTTTTTTTTTTTTTTTTCGAGCGCAGTACAATACAGTTACTGTTCCTGGAAACAGAATCTGCTGGGGAATGACAGTTCAGTTGGATACATCCAAATCGATAGAAGGAACCATGTTCAAGAACGAAGAATGGGGCCCTAAAGCGAACGAGAGCATGATCGAGGAGATCCGCAACTTCCCTAGCCATTTTGGAGGCGCGATTGGCGATTTAATTGACGCTACTCCCAGCAATATGATATCAAGAGTCTTTTTGGAAGAGAAGCTGTTTGAAACATGGTATCATGAACGTACTGTGCTTATTGGAGATGGTAGGTGAAGAAAGAAAACATTAGACAGAAGATGGTGCTGCTCTATTCCCATTTTCTCCTACTTATTAGCTACTGTTATTTTATTCACTTATAGCTTGCCACAAGGTAGACCAGCCCGAGTCAAGAGGACATTAAGCAATCGATAATGATCTCATTCATTCAAATAACTTTGTTTTGCTCACTCTTCACTGATTTATAATTGATCTGCTGCTTTAGATGCTTCCTAGTGGCGGACAAGGTAAAGCTAATAGTACTTCATAATAGTTCATTCCCTTTGAAATAACACATTGCAAAATCAGGGATATGTAACTTATATACGCTATTTGATAGGAGCTACAAATGCATTGCAAGACGCTGTGATTCTGGCCAATTGTTTGTATGAGATGGCGTCCAATTCATCCAGTGAGATCACAAAAGCATTCAAGTCCTATAGGGATCAGAGATATCCACATGCGAAATATCAAATGGAGAAGAGCAAAACCATGGGTAAAATCCTCTACGGACAAGTAAGTGCATATTACAGATATAAGTTTATGATAAATATCTTTCTTATTGTTTTTTTCTCTTTTTATTATTGACGGTATTTTTTTTTTTTTTTTTTTTTCTTTAAAAAAAAAAAAAAAAAAAAAAAACGGTACTGTAGACATTATCAGAACGACTGCTACGTTATGTGGCATTTAATATGATTCCTCAAAAAGTCCAAGAGGAGCAGTTTCTAAAAGATACAGTCTACCGTCCTGTTCTGACTTTTATGGATCCACCAGAGAACCGTGGTTCAGGCCCAGTGTTACCGCAGATGCATTCGAAGCGTTACACAGCTGAAAAGCAAGCACGCGAAGCAACAATGACTACAAACTAACAGGACCGTAGCTTTAAGCTTTGTTTCTCTCACTGCTTTATTATCTTTAAGAATACTGTTAATATGATCAATAAAAAAGTTTCTTTTTTTTATGCTGTGAGCTGCACCCATTTGGCCTCCGTGACGGGAATACCATCCAGAACTACAACAAGCATGTAATGGCCAGGAGGCGCCAAGCCATTGCTTGAGGGCGCCTTCACACTTAATAAGCCTGCCCCTGCAACAGACGCGTTTTCGTTTGTCGTTGATACTTCCAAAGGCTCCACTGCGGCACTATCACGCTTGACAATCTCCAGTCCCACATATCTCTGGCTCATGTGTGTGGAGTGGGTGATAAACCCAGGCTGGACAAACGCAACACGAACATCTTTCGGGTATATATTGTACCACTCCAAGGACAGATCAAATATTTCTCCATAATGAACTTTGCTAGGCCAGCCTATGATATCACCCTGGACGACTGTTTCAGCTGGGCCCACACCGACAGTGTCTGTAATGCTCTTGGAGAAGAGATAAGGTGGGCTGAATCGCTCTACACGGTATTCTGTCGGGAAAGGACCGTCGCCATATTCGACTGGCTTTCCATTCGGGTTCGAGCCAGCCACCAAGAGCGATGCATCTGGAAGCATGAAAGCGACTGAATGATACATCCTGGGGATCACGCTAGGACTCCAAACTCGGAACCTGTTGCCACGCTTCTCATTTGGTATGTATTGAACTGGGTGCAATACAGGATCAAAAGCACGATCAAAACCTGCTGTACCCGTGTTAGCCCCGTTTATAATTGCGATCGTCCCATCAGCTAAATGGGCCATATCTGGCATCATCCTTCCAAAAGGCATATCCTCCATTTCCCATGTTGGATTGTCGGCCAACGGTGAAATTCTACCACAGGATGCTACACCTTTTGCCTTTGTTGAGAAATCTGTGGCGCCTCCACAGACCAGGACTTCGGGCTGGAAGTTGTTTTCAGGTGTGAGGGGGAGTAGAACTGACCCAGCAGTCAATGGGTAATTACGAGGGGGCCCTGGAATATCAGGCAGACGCTTAATGATCTTCCAGGTAGATGTGGAGAAGATAATAGCCTTGGTAGAGGCCAATATGAATAGATTCTTGTCTGGAAGCAAGTGTACGATCGGATACAAGTTGTTGGGAAGTGTTTCGATCAAGAATGGGAAATCGATGGTCTTTTGAGGACCTGGAAGGGGTGGAAAGAGCTCAAAGTTGGGTACATTGATATGATCATTGTTGATGGATGCTGCATGGTTGGATCCGCCAAGGATAAACAGCTCCCCGGTTGCCAATGTCTCTTTATGATCATTATAAGTATTATAAGAAAAAATAAAAGTTAGGTAGTTCTTCAATCTTGAAAACAAACCAAAAAAGTGGATAGGCAATAAATCTTACCGACAGTTGGGTACCATCTCTTCTCTTTAAGATGGACATCGAGATCTTGTTGCCAGTCGCATTGTGTTCCATTACAGGGCTTATATAGCCGAATGCCATCATAACCTTGACGCATCGTTTCCGATGGTTGTCCTCCTGCGACCGATACAACAGTCTATAATAACAGTGCCAGGAGAAAAAAAAGGAATGAAAGTCGTTGGCTATGGCATATAGTATAACATACATAAAAAGAGGTAAAAAAAGAAAAAAGAAAAAACTTACTCCATCTGGGAGATACCCTCCAGCACTACAGAACATGTTACTCTTCACATTCAACGAACGCCATTTACCATCCGTTGTCGAAAATTCTGTCGACCAGGCAAATTCACTACCACTATTCCCATTCTCGCTAGAGCCTTGCATCTTGGCGACTGTTGACGCTTGTACTCTTTCAAGAAACAAGACGCTGTCTGAGAAGGGACGCATTATAGCATGCATAGCTGATACACCTGAATGACCAATCAGATCCCATTGCCCACCCAGACTCGCTCCTACGAACTTGTCTCCGAATGCGTTATCTCTATCGGCAAATCTTCCATCATTTCCTCCACTTCCAAAGTCATTCACGGCTGCATCACTCCCCGAGGGGAAATGAGGGAGTAATATGGCAGCGAGAAGAGCTGTTGTTAAGATGACAGTAAGTGAACATCTCTTCAATGAGAAATACTGTGGTGCTTTAAAAGAAGATGTTGACCTAGATACTGATGATGGTGATAAGAGTGGTGACTTGAAAGCGTTGAAAAGTCCAATGGGCGAGGAAGAAGACGAGAGAGAGGAAGGAGACGAGGACGAAGACGGTGAGCAAGACGGTTGAATATTATGACTGCTAGAAGATGAAGATCGTGAATGTACACTGGAACTCGTGGAGATGCTCAACTGTGTACGACGATGAACCCGGGTGTTGGATGATGACGAGGCATGGATAGGGGTGTAGACCCCTTCACTCTCCTCGAAGGATCCTGTTGGTTTCATCTGTTTGCCTGATAGAGGCTAGAAAGTTAGTGCAGTTTCTGCTGTGTTAAAGCTTCCTATAGTAGCTCTGGATATGAGGAAGGTGGAAACAAAGAAAAGCAAAAAAAAAAAAATATGAAATTGAACAAGGAGAGCGCAGCTATTTTCCCCATTAGAGTGCGGTGAAATGTACTTTCTGTAGAATACCCAGTGCATATTAGAATGATGGATCAAAGATAGTGAACAATGTGTTGTCATTCTTGTGCGCACCGAGAGACGTTACAGACCAGTTCTGGGTCGCAGATCAACAACACCTCCTTCTATTCGAAAGCGACTACATTCAGTTCAAAAGGATGGTACTTGTCATTGAGTGATATGATACATTTTAACTATCATTTTCTTGTACAGATAAACTAGAAATAAAGAAGCAAGAGTATATAAACTATTTAAAAGTGCTCAGTATCGAGCTTGTCCTTGGTCCGTTGCATGTCAAGGTCATCATCGCCTTCAGAGTGATCCTTAATACGCAACGCCAAGTAGAGAGCTCCTGGGATGGAGAGACCAAGAAGGGCAAAGCAGATGATAAGCTCAGTAAGGTATGGTGTTCTGATGGCGTTGATGCTAAAAAAAAAAAAAAAAAAAAAAAAGTGTTAGATGGGAGCATCATGGATATTCTCCTTTGAATTGAATATCCAAAGTATGTTTGCAGTAGCATTGAAATACATACCGCCACGAGATAGCAGCACCGCTGGATTGGATACACTTGTAGAACCCAGCGTATCTTGACAAGACAGTAGCATCATTTGACATGGCACCCATTAACCAGTAAATGTATGTCTGCCAAGCAGCGTCATTAAGACCATAAAACATATACAAGAACAGTGGGCCAACATAGGACGCCCCTTCGGTGAAATCATGGTTTGGCTTGGGATCGTCTATTGAGTAAGTACGCTGGAAGAAGATGCCACCAACCCAAGTGGCAATGAAGCCACAACAAATGATAAAAAGCCCCCACAAGGCCCGGGTGCGGCGATTGACGCCTTGGAAATCGAGGACGCGTGCAAATGAGTAAGATCCACCGATTTGAGAGAACCAATAAAAAATGTTGTTAAGGGATTGAGTGCGAAGTGAAAAGTAGCGGCCGTTGACTGTTGAGAATTGGTATGGATAGAACCAGTTGGATGACAGGAACATTGGGATGAGGACTACCATACGCCAATTGAGGAACAGCTTCATGACTTCAATGACTTCACCAGTCCAAGTAGGGAACTTTTGGATCTGAATCTTGTCACCGTTGGCGTGGGTGACAGACGAGGGTGGAGCCAGTGACAATGCAGTAAGGGTACCAACCTATATTACAAGTGTATATTTTAAATCAATAGTTAGGGAAGCGGAATTAACAAAAATAGATGTAGTTGAATTTTTAAAAAAAACTACTTACTCCCATAATTGCCAGGAAAGTTGCATAAACCGCATCACCAAGAGATTTAGTCTCTGTGTGGTAATTCATGGCAAAGGCAATGACGGATCCAAGGACTGCACCCATGTTGAAAATGGCCCAAAAGTAACCTATGTACTTGCCCTTCTCCTGTTCACGTGGATAAGCCATCATCATGGCGCCCTGAGCAGTCCAAAGCATGCCTGCACCAATGCCGAGGATGCCTCCAGAAGTGATAGTGAATGCGCCGGCCCGGGTGTGATTGTAGCTAAGCAGGGAGCCAACATAGAGCATATAGCAAGCACATCCGATGAATATGGTCCACTTGGGTCCCAGTTTGTTGTGGATTGCGCCGGAAAGGAGACCGAAGATGGCAAAGCATGTATACAGGGCAACATTAGCGTTCTGACCGACATTGGATAGGAGCTGACCACCGCCACCCATTGAGTTGAGTGCGTTAAACATTCCTGGACAACAGAAGCAGATAACTCCTACGGCCAGGACCTGAGTCAAGGGGGAGGTCCAACGAAATCGCATGGCTAATATTAATATGGATTTAATTAATGCGTGAAGGGAATGAAGTGGAAGGGGGTGGAAGGGGGTGGAGAGAAGGATGTGGGAGAGTGAAGGGGCGTGAGACAATCTGCCTAAATAGGGGACAGTAACGAGGGGAGATGTGAGATTAGAAAATGAATAAAGATCTGATCTACTACAGGTAAAGAAAGTCCGAATAAAAAAAATTAATAAATAAAAAGTCCTCGAATGAGAGTAGGAGTAAGTGTGAGGGAAAGAGGGGAGGATAGAGGAGATGGGATAGTAGGAAAGAGAAAGTAAACAAAAGGAAAGAGAGAGTAAACAAAAAGGAAGAAATTTTTTCTTTGCGGTTATATAAATATATACACCTTTATATTCTACAAGTCCGCTCATTTTCATGACTCTTGCCTTGCATTTGCATTAGTTCAGTTCCATAAAATAAAACATCCAGTTGCTCAGGTACGGGCCCTGCAGTGGAGTTTTTCTTCTTCTTTTAGTGTCTATACGATGTTGCCGTCATCACTAACACCCCAGACATATTGTACTATTACCCCACAAGGTTTACTCGGCTGATCCACGATGCTTTGAATACGCAATCTAGAAAACTGTACAGCTGTGAAATACTCAACAGACAATGATCACACACCAATATCATTACCCGCCACTATCCTCCTTAAGCCCTGCCATTCTTTAAAAATGATCAACGGATGAAATGAGTTCACAGTCGATGGATATTATATACCAATCAGCTAAAGTTCATCCTATCCATGAACAAGTTGATCAACGAATGGGGGCATAGTAGAATAGTAGAATGATCGACCTCCGATAAAGTAAAAAAAAAAGACAAAAAAACAAAAGCAAGACCCTTCTGAATTGCCATGCATGCACCTTGACAATAGCCGTTTTGAGAAACAGTATTTTTATGTTCCCACAGTTTGAAATACAGGTTTAGATGTAAACGTGTGTTTTTCTTCAAGTTTGGATTTTGTACATGTGCATGGGAAATTAAAAAAAGCGATATATAAAAAAAAAAGAAGGTTTTGATTAGATGGTTTTGTGTGATGCATCTCTCGTCATGTGTAACGCAAGATATCGTATCTCTCTCTATCACTGGAGTTTTATAAATAAAACAGCAAATAATGGCATTCGGTGATCCAGACATGCATCATTTTGTCATGCTCATGTTGGTGTTATTAGCAAATAAATATTATATTTATATATATATATATACATACATATTATACATGTATTTTGTGGGGCCAATAAAGTTTTCCTCCATTGTACTTTATCACAAGAGCCATGGAAAGACCTTCTTCCAGCCTAGTCTAATCTACTGGCGAAACATCGCCAACAAGGATCAGACTGCACGAGAAAAGAAAAGGAAGTAGGGAAGGAAAGGGCATCCATTGATTTACTTGATCGAGTCTTAAACTTTGATCGAGCTGAGTTCGGGTATCTGGCGGACTGGAGCAACCTTTTCTTTCTTTCTTTCTTCTTTCTTTTCTTTCTTTAAACCTCAACAATTGGAAAGAAACAGAGCCATTACGCTTTATTCATTAAAGATTATTCCGAAGGTAGCCGAACATGACCTACTTGCTTTTCATTGGATAGATCCAAAGACATTGGCTTTATACATCCTCCGCTCTCTCTTGTGTACACGAGGATGTTCATGTTCATTAGCACTCAATCCTTCAATGCTTCTTCCCCCACAGGATCTACTTGCTATCGTTGAAGCCATCGAGCCGAGATCCTTAGTTGATAATTGCTAACCAAAATTTTTATTCCTTCCTTTGTGTGTCCCTCCCATAAAACGATTCAGAGCATTTTCACGTGACCAGGCCAGATCGTGGCTTGGGCTGTTGACAATTTTTTTATCAAGAAGAGTGCATTGCCTTCACCAACTCGGATGCCCAGGAATCGGTTATTTTGATATTTCAAACGTTGCATCTTGCCAACAACAATTTAAGCATGTTCGGCACTTTGAAGACTGCATTCCGCACACAAAAGCCTGTCTCGATGGTGATGAGGTACAACACATTTCTATAAAAAGAAACTGGATTAGAAGCTTGATCAATGGGGACATCGGCGGCACTTGTGAACAATAAGTAGATGGAGTTTGTCATTGCCGTCGGATATCAATTACTGAAGCTTTTACTGCATGACGCTAATTTAGTCTCCTGGCTACTGATTACGGGTTTATTATGAATATTTTAGTTTGGCACAGGCGATGCCCCGAGGTTTCCATGCATTGGCGATCCGTATGGCTGACCAAAAATCAACTATGCAACCAGTGAAGCCAGAATTGGGTGCCTCGTCCCTCTTTGGCGATATTGCATCACATGTGAATGAGGTTCCAGTGGAGCAAGGAGGAAAGGCTACTGTGAAGGAGGTAATAATTATTTCATTAATGGAGTATATACAGGAATGACAATCTAAAAAGGAAATCAAGGAAAGAAACCTAGAAACGCATAGCTTGCGGCGGTTTGACTGATCATTCTAGATCCTATGTCATCTTGCCATGCTTCTACCTTGTTTATAATGGAAGAGCATTACTGGGATACAGCCCTCAGCGAATAGACACTCTTTAGAAATTTGAGTTGTATTGTATTGTCACTCAGTACAAAATATCGCATGGCTATGGTTCTTATTATTTTTCTTTTCTTTTATTCTTTTTATTTTTATTTCTATTTACTTTATAATCAAGTATCACTTTTCAACAGCAAATTTCAAAACAAGCACCAAAAAGCTTCGGCTTTTGGCTAATCAGATCAAGGGACTCGACATTCAAAATGCCATTAACCAGATGGAGTTCTCGCAAAAGCGCCCTGGAAAGCGTATTATGAACACATTGGCCTTTGCTAGGAAGAATGCAACGACTCAGGAGAAGTATCAAATGGACGCTAGCAAGCTATATGTTGGTAAGTTAATGAGATGATTGTTTTAAAAGATACAATCATTTTTTTGTATTGATAAACACATACAACTGGTATTAAATTTTTATCTTTTATAACCACTATTAAACTATAGATCGCGCATGGGTTGGAAAAGGGACCTACCAGCGTAGAATCAAGACACATGCACGCGGTAAATTCGGTGTGATGCATCACCCAACTGCTCACTTGAAATTCACGCTCAAGGAGCGCGTTCCTGAGGCGAAAGAAGAAGGTCGTGCTACGAGGAGAAATATCAGGGGATGGAAGCAGACGAAGAAAGTCTGGATGCCATTGGTTGAAGACAAACCTATCTATAACCCACCTCGTCTCTACAATTGGTAGAAAGGAGCAGATGCATCTTATTACTCGCCTTACTTGTATTCACTACCACGTTCTATAGATTTTTTTTTCTCCTGTACTAAATAAATGAAACAAAACAAGAAAAAGAAGCGAATAGAACAAAAAAAATTAGGGCCGACTACCCTTAAGTAACTCTACAAGCAGATCAACAGCAATTAACTTTCGTGTCCATGCGGCCAACATCTTTTACTCACAATACGCATCTCATCCCTCATCTGTATAATCACACAATGTCGCGCGCACAGCAAATGATGGTAATGCCATGTCTTGTTAAGACATAAATGTTTAGTCTTCAATGGATTCTTTTTTATCCCCAACGAATCAAATACAAAATATCCCCAGCGGTCCTCATGTATTTCTACCATGCAAGAAAAGCACATACTATGTCAGTGACGTTTTAGTGTGATGATGGTTGCCGCCACTCTGATTAACTTGGCTGGTCATTCAGGAACAAAAGATTCTAGCCATACATCAACACTACAGTAGATGACTAGGCAGTAGAAATGGATGAAGAGCGCGCTTTTTCAAAACATTTTTTTCGGTTCACAGTACTAGCGGTTCTCAAGTCATGAACTGATCCTGCGATTAACTTCGTAACTTACAGATGAGCACTTAACTGAGATATACCATCACCACAATGCATATGATCCTCGTGGAGATCTTGTATTTAATATTAATGATAGTAATACAATAATACTAACCAAAAAAAAAAAAAAAAAAAAAAAAAAAAGGGCTTCAGGATATCGGATTTCCTCTAACAGTTCAAAATGTATCTGTGCGTCTAATTCAATGATCTAACGCGCTGCTTCCTGTATGATACTCAAATATGGCTCCCTGTAAACCATAGCAACCCCAAATCATCCTTCTCAAGGATGGAACAGACAGCTCTCAGGGAAAGGGTCAACTTCTCTCCAATATCAACGCCTGCTTGGCCGTTGTCGACACTGTTAGGACTACTCTTGGACCTCGTGGCATGGATAAATTAATCGTTGACGAGAAAGGTCAGCTATAGATATTATTATTTTTAAGAGGTATTGATGATTACATTCAATTCTTCTTCTCTTATGCTGATCTGTATGAGATTCAAATTTCCTTCAATGGTTATCCATTACAGGCTCTGTTACAATTTCAAACGATGGTGCCACAATTATGAAGCTTCTCGACATTGTTCATCCTGCTGCCAAGACCCTCGTCGATATTGCTCGCTCTCAGGATGCAGAGGTTGGAGACGGAACAACTTCGGTTGTTCTTTTGGCTGGTGAGCTTTTGAAGGAGGTTCGCTCTTATATTGAAGAAGGTGTAAACCCTCAGGTGATCATCAAAGGCTATAGAAAGGCAGCTCAATTGGCCATCAACAAGGTCAAAGAAATTGCTGTCCGTGTAGAGCGCAAGGATGAGACAGAGTTCCGCTCGTTGTTAGAGAAATGTGCCGCTACCGCTATGTCTTCCAAGCTGATCCATTCTCAGACAGAGTTCTTTACCAAGATGGTTGTCGACGCAGTACTTCACTTGGATCAGGAGGAATTGGATGAAAACCTTATTGGAATGAAGAGAGTTACGGGTGGTGCCATGCAGGATTCACTTTTGATTGATGGTGTTGCCTTCAAAAAGACATTCTCGTATGCTGGATTTGAGCAACAACCCAAGAGCTTCAAGAATCCAAAGGTTTTATGTTTGAATGTCGAGCTGGAGCTTAAAGCTGAGAGGGACAATGCAGAAGTCCGTGTCGAAGCAGTCGATGTAAGCTTTGTTTCATTTGTGTCAAGGATGAAACGATTTTTCGTTTGATTTTAACTAGATCACTCTGCTGCGTATTGTGTACATTTTAAGTAAGATTGAAATGGGATTACTTATTTTATTAACTTTTCTTTTTTTCCCTGGTCTACGACTGCCTATAGGAATACCAAAAAATCGTAGATGCGGAATGGAAGATCATTTATGACAAGTTGGAAGCGATCGTCAACACTGGCGCTAAGGTTGTTCTATCCAAGTTGCCCATTGGTGATCTCGCTACTCAGTACTTTGCTGATCGTGACATTTTCTGTGCCGGCCGTGTCCCCGCTGCTGATTTGAATCGTGTTGTCCAGGCCGTTGGAGGATCGATCCAATCGACTTGCTCTGATATTGAAGCCAAGCATCTAGGAAGCTGTGAGACTTTTGAAGAGAGGCAAATTGGAGGTGAACGCTTCAACTTTTTCCAGGGCTGCCCTCAAGCCAAGACCTGCACATTGATCCTTCGAGGAGGAGCAGAGCAGTTTATTGCAGAAGTCGAACGTTCGTTGCACGATGCCATTATGATTGTACGTCGAGCCATCAAGAACTCATTGGTGGTGGCTGGAGGAGGAGCTACTGAAATGGAGATCTCACGATACCTCCGCGATCACTCCAGGACCATTGCTGGGAAGCAGCAGTTGATTATTGGTGCATTTGCACGTGCATTGGAGATTATCCCCCGCCAACTCTGTGATAATGCAGGTTTTGACGCAACTGATATTTTGAACAAGCTTAGGATGAAGCATGCACAGGGTGAACAGTGGAGTGGAGTCGACATTGAGTCTGAATCGATTGCAGATAACATGAAGGCCTTTGTCTGGGAGCCTGCACTTGTCAAGACAAATGCCATTGCCGCTGCAACTGAGGCTGCATGCTTGCTCCTCTCAGTGGATGAGACTGTTAAGAGCCCTCAAAGCCAGAACCCCGCCGCAAATGCCCGTGGAGCACCCAGGGGCCGTGGACGCGGAGTTCCTCGTCGATAAATGGGCCTTTCAGCGAGGGAAGGCGAAGTCTTTTTTGACATGATAGTTCTTTATGAGTTTGGGAATTGTAGACACCAAAGCAAATAGTAAAAAAAATCCATTTTTTTTGACAAATCACGTGCTTTACAGACGAAAGTTGTTTCCGTTCAGTGATCCCGAAGCCCATTTTCATATCATCACAACTCTAATCAAGTTCACAGTAGAATAGCCATGGGATCATCACAATCAAAGGGAGACAAGCAGCCCATGGTTTTTGTCAGCGAGGAAAACCCTGTTCCTGTCAGGGTAAATGCATTCGCCAAAGTGGTTCATCAACATACACACACGCCATGCCATACATGCGCAATAAAGATCATATTTTTAAGCATCAGGGGACAAATCGTGCAGAGATGAAAAGATCGAGATTCCACATTAATCAAAACCTCCATATTGCTATTTTCTGAAACTGCTGTTACTTTCTGGACATAGGTATCCTCAGCGTTTGTCAATCAGCTTCAACAGTCTCAGGTACAGAATACTGGGCACTATGCATCATAGTCTTATGCTACTTTGCAATATTATATATGTGTATGTACATTTATTCAGTTCCTATCTTTCGGCATGCTAAGGCTCACGCGTCCTTTTTTTTTAAAAAAAAATAAAAAAAATTAATACTCTTTTTCAGCCCAATGCTGGATCACTTCAGGATATCGAGAACCAGGTTCGTCATCGCGTCCAAGCAGAACTTGCCAAGATTCATGCCGAGAAAGATTCATCTATGGACACATCCCATGTTAATTACAAATCGACTACCAACGCCAATGCTGTCGTGACCGAGCAAGAGTTGGATCAATTGGCGAAGAGCGCTCCTACTAAACAAATTAAGGCCCTACCTGAGGAAATCACGAAAGCTCAGGAGTCCCTTGTCCAATGCTACAAGAAAAATCAGGAGAGGTCGTTGGATTGCTGGGCTGAGGTTCAGGAATTCAAAGACCTGGTTCAAAAGGCTCAAAATGTAAGAACCTATCATTTACTTTTTATTTTATTTTTTATTTTAATTCAGAGCTCAATCAATAGTAACTAAGAAACTCTACTAATATACGACATTGTTACATTTCTGCATATGGATTTGATTGTGTTCAGGCCTTTATCGCAGCTGTTTAAGTAATTACGCTCAAAAAAAGGAGACATTTTAGAGACATTTTAACATGAAGAATAAATGATTCAGTACCGCATAGAACTTCGATATTTAATAACAAGCATGCTTTGGGCTGTCGAATTCTGTATATATATAATCACCGTGACATTTATAACTTGGTTGGTTTGTTGATTTATTGGCTAAAACATTTCATCAGTCTCTATCAGTCTTGACTCTTTATCGCTCTATGGTTTCTCTGACACATAGAGAGTATTTTAAAAACTGACAGAGTCCAGCATTGTACCTAATGCGACAACAATGTTGTTGCTCATAACCTGCTCTACATTGCTCTCAAGATGTCTCTTGGGATCTTCCTTGCCGACATGACGCGTCTTGAGCTGCTCAGGTGTCAATGTAAATTCTTCTTGAACAGATTTGTTATATGCTTCCGCTAACGTCAGCATTGACTATAGTAATAGTAATAGTAATAGTAACAGTATTAATAAAAGCATTACATGGATCAGCACTCCATTGCAAAAGAGATGGGTCAATTGATACAGTAAAGGTGTCCATGGATTGCTTAGAATGTTTCAATTACTTTAACAGCCTTTTCGTTTTCCTCCGTATGTTCGTGAAAGTTTGCAAGTGTTAATCCAGATGTCCAGTTTTTCTTGTGCAAGTTGAGCAACATTTTCTGCTCAAGCTCATTCTTGCGGTAGTTAATTGCAATTGAATAATAGTGTCTATTCAGGCCATGAATCAGTGCCTGAATGCTTGGTTTATTCAAGTGACCAATGTTGGATGTTGTCTGACGTGGCTCATGTCCCACAGCAGCAGTCTGGGGGTTGATCAAGCGGAAGGCATCAATCACAACTTTTCCTTTGACAGATTGGATGGGATCGACCACAACAGCCACTGCTCGACTGTTTAACTGCTCGAAACTCTATTATTGTTGTATATAAATGTGTATAAAAAACGGGAAAAAAAAGTTAGGAAGCAGATTCTATCGCAAATGTGACCAAAACCCCATTGTCCCATGTAATCTCAATCCTTGCCTGTTGCGTGTTGACATCGACACTAGAAAGCCAGCATCCAAATCCAGGATGTGAGTGATACCAACCAACGACCATCTCGGGCCTAACGTAGAGAGCAAGGAAAAGAAAAATGATAAATTGGCATAGTATCTTGTTAACTTCCCAGTCGGATCACAAGAGAAAGGATTGTCGATATGATCGGCAGCGTTTACCTTCCAGTTTGCTTCAACATATCCAGCATTTTTGTTTGAAACACAGGATCGACTGCCTCGACTGAGACACCTGTTCCGCTTTGTGGCATTGCGAAGACATCGATAACACGAACAGTATAATCATCCACAAACTCGCCCAGCATCAAACCCATGACTTCCATAGGGACACCAGCACGGCCTAGTCCAACCCCAGAGAACATGAATTTAGTGTAAATGAGCAATCTTGCTGCAAAACATCATAGAAACATAGAGATGAAACCTTTATACAAATCATGATTGGCCAATGAATGTACCATGCTTCAACATCTTTTTGATGTTATCAAAGAAAATAATAAAAAGAAAAAGAAAAGGAGGAAAAAAGGGTAAAAGTCGTTAGTGACAAAGATATTAAAAGAAGAAAAGCTTCAGTCCATTGATTGTTGAAGTAAAGCCTTGAGTGTATTTGCCCTTAAACCGATGTTCATTTTTTTACCTTTAAGAGTGAGAGAGATGAGATATAAACCATCTCTGAATTATCTGCAGTAGGGTTATCTTGTCCGGGCTCAGGACCCATACCCTGTGCTGCTTGGAACATGCGTTGAAGTCGCTCCATATTTTCTATATCAGAACTGCGCTTTTAAAGGTGAGCTGTAAGTTGTGATGGTGGAGACTGATAGTATGGTTGCTGTAGTAGGATTTTTTATTTTCCTCAGTTGGTCGATGAATGAAGAACCAAAAAAGATTACCAAACTTGCATGCTTTCAAGACGACGCGCAACTCGTTGGGCGCGTGTGCACGTGGCAATGATGACGTAGACTGGGACAGGAAGGATCACGTGAATGGAAGTGTCTTTTTTATTTCACCACGTTGGCGCAGAGCTCACAACTGTTGCCACTTATTCATTTATATGCTTTCATTCGTTTGCTTCCATTAACTCCTAGCTTTTATTCTCCTTAGCAGCCATGTTCAACCCTACACGTGCCAAGGTGCAACTGAAGCTCTCGGTCAACCGGTTGCAAATGTTACAGAATAAGAGGAACATGCTCGCTCAGCAACAACGCAAGGAAATAGCCCGTCTGTTGGAGATTGGCAAAGAAGAAAGTGCACGTATTAGGGTACTTAACGAAAAAAAAAAAAAAAAAAAAAAAAAAAAAAGACTTGCTCCTATAATGTGATATTCGGTACTATTTATATATCAAATCAAATCCATATTTATGAAGTTGATAACATTTTGGTTCCTGCCTAGGTTGAGCATATCATTCGCGAGGATTTTAATACAGAGGCATTGGAGATCATTGAACTATATTGCGAACTATTATTAGCTCGTTTTGGATTGCTGGAGCAAATGAAGTAATGTCTCATTGATGTCTAGCCCCACGTTTTACGAGTATCACAATAAAACAGCACTAATTTCGAACCATTCACTAGAACCTGTGATCCAGCCATCTTGGAAGCTGTCAACACCATTATCTATGCAGCTCCTCGTTCAGAAGTCAAAGAACTATTACAAGTACGAGATCAATTAACAGCAAAATTCGGTCGCGATTTTGTCGCAAATGCTATGGAGAACAAAGACGAATCTGTGAATCCCAGAGTACGTGATCTTTATTTTTATTTTTTTTCGAGCCTCAAGCTTAATGAGAGACCCAGCTGCTAACAACTGTGGAAAACAAATATCTGGCTTTATCGCTTTAGATCATTCAAAAACTAAAGGTCCAAACGCCCGATCCCTATCTCGTCAATCGGTATTTGGAAGAAATTGCAAGGGCTTTCAAGATCAACTGGACAGCAGATCCACAAATGGACCACCAACTCATAGGAGTAATTTTTTTTTTCTACAATGCTATTATACAAGGGATATGCGTCAACCGTTTAAAATGACCAACTTTTTTTTTTTTTTTTTTTTTTTTTTTGGAATCTAAAAGACCATCGACGGAGGATTTATTGATCCGATCAACCATTCTATTGAACAACCTATGCGTCCTCGTCTTCCAGAACCCACTAAGGTTTGTATTTTATATGTATTGGGATTCACGCTTGAATTGTAACCTGAGCTTTGTTCTCACGCGTGCTTTCATCTCTAGACTCAATCGACAACTATGGACGTGGATCGATTGGATTTGTTAGGAGACTTATCAAGCCACCAGGAGACGTCTCAGAAGGCGGCACTCAAGCCAGCAGCACCTTCAATACCACCTAACAAATCCAACAGTAATACTTCCAATAGGGCTACAGCATCGCCGGCAAAAGTTGACGACGGACTTCCAGATTTGGAAGCATTAACTAGACGATTCGAGGCGCTAAAAGAAAGACGATAACTATTTACACATACAAATAAAACAACATGTGTATACTATAGTTAATACCTAATACGCATTTTCTTTCCAGTTGTTTTAATCTCCAATCAGATTGATGTTTAAAAGTGTAATATTGTGAGAATATTCGAATGTTAGCGTGCAAAAGATCCTTTTGTTCATTTTTTGGCCGCGCTGGGATGTTTCTGATGTAATTGCAATTGCTGGAAAATTCTACAAGCCACTTGATGCATCCAGTAGGAACAAGTAAAAAAAAGTGTCTCAGTTTTACACAATCCCATGCAAATATATATAAAAGCACACGCACCCCACCCCAAGTCAGCAATTACACTCAAAAATATTCTTCACACTCACATTCACACTCACACGTCTCTTGTACATATCAATCATCACTCTCACTTTTATCTTTAATCAAGTAATACTACATCCCTCTTTATTATCAAACATATCACATCATGAACAACTTCCAGTTCACAGAAAAGACCGAGAAGACTCTCGCACAAGCCCAAGAGCTGGCTAGAGAGTTTGCCAACTCACAAATCACACCCATACATATCGCCTCTGCTATGATGGACGAAACTGACGAAGGCCCTGGTTCTTCCCTACTCAAATCTATCATTAACAAAGCTGGTGGTATGCCCGATGAGATCGAACGCGCCTTCAAAAAACTCCTCGTCCGTCTGCCAACTCAGAACCCTGCACCGCTTGAGGTCTCGCTCTCACCGCAGACAGCACAGCTTCTACGCAAGGCTCAAGAACATCAAAAGAAACAAAAGGACTCGTACATCTCAATCGATCATCTCATTCTAGCATTGATGGACGATGCTACCTGCTGGAAAGCCTTGAGTGAACACGGGATTTCAAAGACTGCTTTCGAGAATGCTATCTCACAGACCAGAGGCAACCGTCGTGTTGAGAGCAAGAGCGCCGAATCACAGTACGAGGCTCTGTCCAAGTATGCCATTGACATGATTGCCCTCGCCGAGCAGGATAAACTTGATCCTGTTATTGGTCGTGATGACGAGATCCGTCGAGTGATCCGCGTCCTTTCGAGAAGGACCAAGAACAACCCTGTATTGATTGGGTAAGTTATCTCTTCCCTCACATAATATTTTTTTCCAGTCCTTATTTATTTTATGTTGCACAACGCCTAATCTACTTGTCCTAACCTTATTTCATCTGCATCCTCATCTTCATCTTCATCTTCATCTATTCAATAGAGAACCTGGTGTCGGAAAAACTGCTGTAGTCGAGGGTCTCGCCCAACGCATTGTCCGAAAAGATGTCCCTGTCAGTTTGCAGTGTCGACTCTTTTCCCTCGATATGGGTGCTTTGATCGCCGGTGCAAAGTACCGCGGCGAATTCGAGGAACGTCTCAAGGCTGTTCTCAAAGAAATTAAAGACTCGGATCAAGGCATCATCCTCTTCATTGATGAAATCCATCTCGTCCTTGGTGCAGGTAAAACCGATGGTGCAATGGATGCCGCCAACTTGCTCAAGCCCATGCTCGCTCGTGGTGAGCTTCGCTGCATCGGTGCCACCACTTTGGATGAATACCGTCAACACGTGGAGAAGGACCCTGCCTTTGAGCGTCGTTTCCAACAAGTTTATGTTGGCGAACCATCGTTGACGGACACCATCAGTATCCTGCGTGGTCTCAAGGATCGGTATGAAGTTCATCACGGTGTCAAGGTGGCTGATTCTGCACTAGTCACGGCGGCTACGCTTGCTCATCGCTACATCTCGAATCGCTTCTTGCCAGATAAAGCAATTGATCTCATGGATGAAGCCTGCGCTAACACCCGAGTACAATTGGATTCACAGCCCGAGATCATTGATCAATTAGAGCGTCGCCATCTACAGTTGGAAGTCGAGGCCACTGCGTTAGGAAAGGAAAAAGACCCTGCATCACAGCAACGTCTCGTCAAGGTCCGTGAAGAGATGTCTAGGATCTCGGAAGAACTCAAGCCCTTGAAACTCAAATACGAACTCGATAAGGGTCGCATCAATGAAGTCCGCGACTTGAACCAAAAACTCCAGGATCTTAAGAACAAAGCTGAGGAGGCTGAGCGTCGTTACGATCTAGCCAAAGCTGCCGATATTCGTTACTATGCCATTCCCGATCTTGAGAAGAAGATTGCCACTGTCACTGCAGAGCGCGCGAAACAAGAAGCCGATCAGCTTTTGGCAGCTGCCAGTGGATCCAAGATGGAGACCGGTGACTTAGTGACTGAGATCGTTGGACCTGAGCAGATCACTGAGGTGGTGTCTCGCTGGACTGGTATTCCTGTCCAGAGACTTAACAAATCACAAGTTGAACGGCTGTTGCAATTGGGAGATCGTCTGAGCGAACGTGTTGTTGGCCAAGATGAAGCTGTCGAGGCTGTAGCTGAGGCTGTTCTTCGTTCCCGTGCCGGAATGTCAAAGGAACATTCGCCGATGGGTTCCTTCATGTTCCTTGGTCCAACTGGTGTAGGAAAGACAGAGCTTGCCAAGGCCCTCGCCCATGAACTCTTTGATGACGAGAACATGATGGTCCGTATCGATATGTCAGAATACATGGAGTCACATTCTGTTGCTCGCCTCATTGGAGCTCCTCCTGGCTATATTGGACATGATGAAGGTGGTCAGCTGACTGAAGCAATCCGTCGCCGACCCTACAGCGTGGTCCTCTTTGACGAAATTGAAAAGGCAGACATCAAAGTCCTCAATGTCCTTCTTCAAGTTCTAGATGATGGCCGCTTGACGGACTCGAAAGGCCGTGTTGTTGACTTTTCCAACACTGTCATCATCATGACCTCAAACGTTGGCTACATTCATCTTCAAGATCTTGGAAAGACAGGAATTACGGAAGAAGCCCGTGAACTTGTGATGCGTGACGTACGAGCACACTTCAGGCCCGAGTTCCTTAACCGTCTGGATGATCTTATTTTGTTCAGGCCTCTTGGAACTGAGCACTTGGCAAAGATCGTCAGGAATCAGCTCGCTGTTATTGGAAAGCGACTCGAGTCCAAGAACATTAAGCTTCACATTACAGATGGCGCAATTCAGAAAGTTCTCAACGATGCTTTCGATCCACGCTATGGTGGTCGTCCATTGAAGAGATATCTTGAGAAACAAGTCGTGACAAGAGTTTCAAAGATGTTGTTGACAGGTGAATTGACAGAGTATCAGAATGTCGTGGTGGATTTGAGCAATCAGGGCGAATTGGTCTTCAATGTTCAGAAAGCAGGGACGATTGACAGCACAGATGCTATGAATCTCGATTGACTTGCAGAAAATGGTCTTGAGGAGAACAACGATGATATTGAAGTAATGGATGGCGACAGAGTAGATCATGGTGTAAAACGTCGAGTACACACACAAAGAAGTAGTAGGACAAAACTCCCAAGACAAAAAACTTGACCAATTTTGCAACTTATTAGTTCATTGTACAATAAAAGAATAAAATAAAAATAAGCATTATATACAAATGAGTGGTGTAATTGCGCACGAGCCCCACCCCCTTTGTCCAAAGATACACAGACATTAGTCAAGTGTGAGTCTCTCAGATGATAGATCAGAAAGCTTCCAAAGTATCACAGTAGAAAGTTTTTACATCATTTCTTCCACATCAACTTTTTTAGCTGCCTCATTTAGAATGTCATGTCGACGTGAAACAGACGAGGCAGCTTCGCATCTATTCTATGACTATATTGATGACCATAAGGAGCTGCTGGCTATTAAAAGTAAGATGTTATGATAACAATAATGTGTTCTCTACGTTCTTTGACGCATGTCAATCATAGTCAAAAAAAAAAAAAAAAGTAATATAATATAAAATAAATGAAATCAGGTCTATTAATATTCATTCTAATACCGCCATCATTATCCACTCGCATAGTGAACGACAGCAAAAAATCAAGCCAATTTATCGAAAAGGACAAACCAAGTTTCCATACCTCACGTCCGCACAACAGATTAAGGAGCATTACCAAAGGATTTCACTATTTGGAGCGGCTATTCAATCTCCTTATATTCTCATTGACGGTCCTGTTCCTCATCGCAGCCCTGAATTTACTATTCTTTTCGAATTGGCCGTCCACGGAGCAGAATGTAACTCCTGTTATCTCGACAGAGCAGAAAACGAAATGGTCTCCTCATAGTAAGTACAAAATACCTACAGCAGGTATTTTACGCAAGTCAAGTTACTCTATCATATTTTTCTTTATACTAGGAATATAAAATCTACTTTAATCCACTACTTTTAATATAAGTATATTCTTTAATACAATAATCCATTTCTCAAGATGCTGCACTAAACTGTACAGTGTCGCCAGATAGTGTCGATCCTTGTTGTGGGTCCATATCTAATAGTGATAGCGGCTTCAATGGCAAGAATGACAATACTAGTCACGATTTTGGTACCAACAATCAGTCAACTCCAAATAACGGACGACCCAAAAATGTAAAGCCTCAAAAAGGTCCTTTAAAGCCTCCACAGGCCAAGAGAATCCCTCGGCCGTTTACACTTCATAACGAGACATTCGTTGACAATTATCGATGGATGCATCAAATCAAACGAGATCCTGATGTGAAGACATATATTGATGCAGAATCTGAATACACTGCTGCATGGGTTGAGCGATCAGGGGTTCAGGAACTGCAGATGCAACTTGAAAATGAGATGAAGCAGATCAAGCAGGCTATTCGAAGGCAAGGGAAACAAAGAAGGGGGAAGTTACCACAGGGTGAGCGTCTCGAAGGAACTCAATTCTGGGATGTGGACCAATGGCGGTACTGCCTGGATGATTCTATTGGGGACTTTGGCATTTACAAGAGAAGACGTATCCATAAAGACGAGCATATCCAGGCTATGGATAAAAAGAGAATATCCTATACGAGTTCGTCTGCTTTTAATTGTTTAAAGAGTCAAAATCAACAACCTCAACATCCTCAACAATCACAGCGAGTTATCTCAAAACCCTCTTTTGTGGATATGGCTAATAAGGCGGGCACAAACAGTCCTATCGGGGAATTGTCTGGTATTGAGCCAGAAGTAGTCCTTGATGTTAACCAGATCGCCAAAGAAAAGGGACACCAAGGAGGCAATGGTCAGTTTTCATTTGGCACTCTGGAGATCCAACCCCAAAATACGCTTTTAAAATGCGATTCAGATTATTCAGCTACAGAAAAAGGCAGCCCGACTAGTAAGTCAAATGTGAAAGCTTTGTATATGGCTTACACCTACGACACATCTGGAGATGAGAGGTATCGTATCAGTGTCATTCATTTACCCTTCAATAACCAGAAATCTGAGTCTTGTGCAGCACGCAGTTCTGCGCAGAGAAGAGATGAAATGTCAGACGGCTTTGAAATTCAGTTAAACGGCGCAGTTTTTAAGGATGCTGGACCCGACACACGATTCGTCAAATTGGGCAAGTCGCTCTACTTGTATTTCACGAAACTCGACCGCAAAGGTCTACAGCGCGAAGTGTGGAGGCTTCAAATCGATACAATGAATGATGATATTAAGGCTCCCAGGAAAGCAGATAGTAAGGCTCGTCTGCATATGAGCTCGAGCAGCACTCGAGGCGCGAAGCAACTATATGAGCCAGAGATTGTGATGCAAGAGAAAGAAGAACGAAATATTCTATCTGTATCCATGACAAATGATCAACGTTTCTTGCTCATTGAGGTAAACATATGAGTATAAAGCGAATTTGTTTCATCCACTTCAATCACACCCACGCTGACATCTTTGATTTTTTAACATGCTACATAATACAGAGCTCAGGACAAACCAACAGCCATTCGTACTTTCTAAGCATCGATGATCCCGACAGAGGATGGAGCATTATCCGTCCGCCAGAAAAAGACGTAATATACAAAGTCGAACATCATTCTGGGTTTTTCTACATCCGTTCTAACCACGGAGATGCCATCAATTTCAAAGTTCTCCGTATACCTGTCTCGGAATATATTGAAAACAATACTTCTTGCTTCAGAAAAAGGCCGGTTCGAGTGAGGTCCTCTGCTTCTTTCATTGAAACAGCCAATGACCAAGTAGTGATTGAGCATGACTCGGCAAACTTTCTTGAGCGTTTTGAGGTCTTTGTGGAGCACTTCGTCGCTTGGGTTTGGAGAGATGGGCTTCCAGAAATCCGCATCTTTTTGGCACCTCGGCCTGACGACATTAATATAACACTACCTTTGCATGAGAAAGTAAGAATTCGGCCTTACCATAAAGAGCTCAATGTAACAACACTTATGCCCGGTAATATTCGATACGAGGAGCAGCGACTCTTTAGGGACTTTTTTTCAGCCAAGTTGGTGTATTCCAACTGTTCATTTATCCGTCCATGGGCTCTCTACGAATATGATATGCATTCGATCTCTAACGATTCGCTGGACAGTGGAATCTTCCAAGGTGATGAGGATGAGCGGCAAAGGAACGCTACTCGCTTGATCCGCCAAGATCCATTTCCATTGGACGTGAAGTACGGTCAAGCTCTCGCAAACGTTTCAGAGCTATGCACACATGAACAATCTAGCCCTGATTCAAAAGAAAGAGAAGAGGCTGAGATGGCAAAGTTCAAAGAAGTTCGCTTCATGGTCCCCTCAAAACATAGATTGAGGCGTAACAAGGCCCTGAATGATACACATCAAAATAGTGATGAAGAAACCTTGATACCTGTTTCTGTGGTCTACTATACCTTCCCAGATGGTAAACAATTCCCACGTCGGGCTGCGTTGGTCAATGCCTATGGTGCGTATGGGACCCTTACATCGCCTATTTTCGATCCAGAGGCGTTGCTACCGCTCCTCCACCGTGGGCTTATTTACGTTCAAGTACACCCTCGAGGTGATGGAGTCTTAGGACCGAAGTGGTACAGAGATGGCAAGTTTGAGAAGAAGGTGAACACGTTTTTGGACGTTGAAGACGCTTTGCTATATCTAAGTGATTTAGAGATGGTGAAAAAAGAAGGATGTGCGATCCAAGGGCGTAGCGCAGGAGGCTTGGTTGCGGGTTGGATAGCCAATCGATGGGGTGACATGTCCTATCCATCCATAAATGGCAAAGATAAAGGTGATGTAAGATCTGAATCCCGGAACATTGTCAAAGAGATGGTGAGAGTGGTTGTAACTCAGGTTCCTTTTGTTGATGTCATTTCAGGTATGTCAGATGCAGAAATTCCTTGGGTAGAGTATGAGCGGGATGAATGGGGTAATCCTGTGGCGAGTCAAGAGATTTTCGAGGCAATGAAAGGTTATTCTCCATACGATCGGATTCGAAGTCAGCGGTATCCGGATATGATGGTCATGGGCGGACTCAACGATGCTCGAGTTAGTTTTGCAGAGCCCCTAAAATTTGTTGCCAAGCTAAGAAGTATTGATGGCAAGACGAATGACTGCCAACCAATGGAGTCGGACGAAGATCAGGAAGCCAAGTCTAAGCATGAAAAGAATTACAAGGTCAAGATGTGTGTAGGCAAGAAAGATACCTCGTTATTATTGCAAATGGAAGATGGAGGCCATTTCAGTGGGAAAGAGTCGTTATGGATGGCATTTGCACTCTATACTTTAGACGCAGAGAAGGTTGTATCGACACCGTCAATAATACAGTGGTCATCAAAAGTCATTCAATGATTTTGAATTTTTAACATTCTCATTCCTTTTCTTCATTCTCATCTAGCATGTGGCTAGTATATTTGGGGTAGTGCATTTGTTCCCCACACCTCATGATTACTTTGATGTCTCATTCCTAATTATGACTTCATTGTGAAATAAAACCAATTTCAATTTGACCTGCCTATTGAATGACTTCTGCTGAATTTCAATGTTGATTGCAAAAAAAACTTTTTCACTTCTCTTTTTTCTACCAAGATTACCTTCAGCTATATCTTCATACACCTCTACTTACAATTAACATTCCACATCGTTTAGTATTTATTATGAGGAGGCTTTCTATGGAAAAGGTACAAAATGCTCAGGCCTTACTTCGACAAGGGAAGTCTACAAGCGAAGTGGCAAGGCAACTTGGTATCTCTATTTCATCGGCAATAAGGATCAGGAGTGACGTCAAGGACAATATTCCTAAACCCAGAATGGGCAGACCCTCATTGGTTTCCCCTGCTACCAAGAGGGTTATTGCACGCGAGGTTGATACGGGGAAACTTAGATCCATTCTGGCAGTTCAAGAATACATCAGATCGAGCCATGGAGTGCATGTCAGTGTAGAGACTGCCCGACGCTATGTAAAATCAGAGGGTTTGAAAAACTATGTCCGCCCATTCAAGCCTAGGCTGACAAAAATGCAGATTGCGAAAAGGAAGAATTTTGCCCTCAACCACCTTGACTGGACTGTTGATGACTGGAAGCGAGTGATGTTCTCGGACGAAAAGCTTTTTGAAAGGCTAGGGTCCTTAGGAGGAAGAACACAATATAGGCGACCCGGCCACAGGACTTTAGAAGATCGAGATGTTAGAGAGAGATCAAGGGGAGCACATAACAAACTTATGTGGTGGGGCTGTATCACTTATCATGGTGTAGGCGATGGTTGCAGGATCCCTGTCACAGTTGATTCCTCTTTATATGTTGATGTTCTACAAGATTATGTCCTCGGCTCATGGAAGTGGCATGGCCAGGACCCTGAAAAGTTAATTTTTCAGCAGGACAATGCAAGTGTTCATACGAGTAGGATGGTTAAAGAGTTCTTAATTAAGTCACACATTACCACTTTGGAGTGGCCTCCAAATTCTCCTGACCTCAACCCTATCGAGAATGTATGGGCCTACATGGATCATCGGCTCAAGGGATATGAGAAGGTACCAAAGGATCTGGATGAACTATGGGAAAGACTACAGGATATCTGGACATCTATTCCACCTGACTTCCTTGATGAGCTATATGAAAGTATGCCACGAAGGGTAGAGGAGCTACATCGCATGAAAGGATCTCGTACACATTGCTGAAGAACAGAAAAAAAAAACAAATAAAGCAAAGCTGCTGATTTTCTTCAAATGTCATTCAATGAGATGCCAATAATTGGCATTCATCTAAATTTTCAATTAGCAACAGGAGCTCATTGACATTGTAGTAGGAGTGACGTTGTCGATGGTCAAACTCGCTACGTAAGTTTCATTAGCGACAAGCAAGATCAAATTGGAGAAAGGAATGAGAATGTCGAAATTCCTAATTCATTGAATGACTTTTGATGACCACTGTAGATGGTTTATAAAAATTTTATATTTTATTCTAAATTGCTTGATGTAAAAGTCATCCGAAGGATTTTTTTCTTCATGAAAGTACTTTGCCCATGCGGATACCCATCATGATGCGCTCGGCTAGATTACGATCCTTGCGCCCCACAAGGCTTGTCGCACGCCCACCACGACCCCCACGCGCTGTGCGACCTACGCGATGCAAATAGTCAACAATGGTTACAGGAAAGTCGTACAGAACCACGTGGTTGACAGCTGTAGTATCAATCCCTCGTGATGCAATATCTGTTGAGATCAGCACCTTTCCTCCAGTATAGCTAGGCTTTGCGGCAGATCCTTTAGACATTGTGTTCAACCCGGGTGGGGGCGGAATATAATCATCGTCCATGAACTGTTCAAGGATCTCATTGCGATTTGAAGCGTCCCCATGCAAAACACCTAACAGTCCTGGAACCTTGTTTGTCTTCAAGTGCTCGTACAGGATCTCACAAGAATGCTTGGTGTTGCAAAAGATTAGTGTGTTCTCTTTGCGTTTACTTCCTGCAATCTGTTGTTGTTTTGCTAGAATATCCAGGATGGCTTTAGGTCGATTTCCAAAGTAAGGTTTTAGATCTAGGAATGTTTGATGCAATCCTGGTAGCGATTTATGCAAGGAAGGCGTCGTGATCTTGAGTATACCGGGCAAAGTTTCGTCTAGAGTGTCTGATACCTTCTTGGGCAGCGTGGCCGATACAACAGTGATATTGGTCGGATACCTAGTATTGGAGGCAGCGACTCTGGCCTGCTTAACAATTATAGAAACCTCGTCTCCGAATCCACGATCAAACATTGAATCGGCTTCATCAATCACCAGATGTATCAATGAGTCTAAACAAATCTTGTTGTCTTCAAGTAGACCAGCACTACCTCGAATTTTGCGGTCATTCTCGCCCTTGTGATTAGATCTATACGCCTCTTTTGGTAGATAGTCTAGCAAGCTGGATGGTGTAGCAACAATAATATCAACAGGTCCAGATTCCAGGCGCTGGATAATACTCTTGGGTGCCATCGCATGCGATATTGCTAAGGCTCTGACTTTGATCGAATGTGAGAGATCTTTCAAAATAGAGGACACTTGAGCTACAAGCTCACGTGAGGGTAACAGCACAATAGCTCTGGGCTGATTGAAATGTCGGATTGTGTTTAATGCACGGACCTTACTCCCTTCAGCGTCAATCCCTCCCTCACTCTGATAACGACTGATGGCCTCATCTTCCTGCACTTTGAGTTGATGAAGTACAGGAATCAGGTATGCTAGAGTCTTTCCAGATCCTGTTTCTGCAGCACAAAGTGTATAGGGCGATTTTTTTTTAGGATCGATTGCTGCTGGGATAGTTAAGGCCTGAATCTCTGTTGGCCTGATGCTTTCCAGTGATTCATTTGATACTATAGCGGAGGATTTGGACACCCTTACAGATTTGGACAGCAATTCCATGACGCCCTTCTCTACATCCGGATGTATCCCCATATCCTGAAATCTGCTACTGGCAACTTTATCCATCATCTCCTGCACATCGCCCAATTCCTTCGCAAAGACTTCTTCATTTGACGTTTTGTCAAGACCAGTCTGAGCATTCATTTTGTATTTGGAAATAGGTATGTTTCTATTCGAGATCAAATTCAAACTCACATCCGAGGCAATGGGTTTTAGCGCGAATCGAACAGGAACAAATCCGCGTACTTTTGGTCCTAATTTTCTCTTGGCACCAGCCTTAATCAGCGCCCGTTCTGCCGCCGCCGCTTTGTCTCTTCCAGCATTACCAGTTTTGAGGGACAGGTCATTGTGAGATCCCTTGGACTTGTAGAATGACGCGAATCCTGGTGCAAACGAATGTTCAAGCTGTGGGTTCCTTGATCCTCTTTCGAGCGAAGTAACAGATACAGAGGTTGAGATGATACGTTTTCGCGGAGAAGAGACTTTGGCTTGCATTCCCGATGATTCCGAAGTATCCAAAGTTAGTTTCTTCCATTGATGACTCTTAGGCTTTGCATCATGCGGAAGTGTCGTGCTCTTATAGTTGGTCGTATGTTTTGATGACCGGGTGGCTTTCAATTTCTGTTCCTTGATGATTCGCTGTTTAGGGCGAGGTGCTCTCTTTGCGTAAACAACAACAGCAGAGCTTGTTGAGAAGTATTGTTGGCCAGTAGATATAATATTGTTTATACATGATATACTGGAGCTGAATGGCCAACTTATGGCTTGACAGCGTCTAAAAGTCTGGTATGACAAGACTGGAACAATCCGATCTGATCTCTTTAAAAGAAAATGCAAAGCTAATTTATTTCAAATCAATTACCAAGAAGCCAGGAGAGCATCTATTATGATTAGCTTTGTTGAATGGAATACTAGAAGGATTCATAATTATTGGAATGGCCGTACCTGACATGACGAAAAGGAAGGCTACGAGCTGTTTCAACTTTTTTTTTTTTTTTTTTTTTTTTTTGAGAACAAAAAATAGTGACTGCTGTAATGGATGTCACCAAAAGAGGAATAGTTATACAAGTGTACCGATATAGTGGGACCGAGGATATCGCTCTTTGAGTTTTGGCCATTGTACTAGAAAAACATCAGACAGCGGATAAAGGAGCTTGCCAGCGAGGCTGAGCGTCTGAACTCTCGCAAAACTCTCGACAAACACCAGATCAGGCGTCAACTCATCAGAAATACCTATCATTCTTGCGCCAATGACAGCTAGGGCCAGAGCTAAGCATGTCCCAGGGCCATTCATGAGCAAAATACTCCGACGTCCTGAACACTGTAGATCCTGCGATGGTGATGATGATGATGATAATGATGAACGCTCTAGACTAGTTTGTTCTGATGGCTGAGACGGTACTGATGCACAATGATGGTTGATTTTCTGTATTGACAAAAAGGTGAGATGCTTGATCAATGGTATGGCTACTATTAATGACTTGACCAGAGTCAATGGTGTTGTTAATAAGGACTGGTGTACGTGTCGACTACGGGGGATGCGATGAATAGTGTATCCATTTAAATGACCAGCATCTTCAGCAATTTGTCTTTGATGAGCTGTGGTAAGGCTTTTGAACAGAGTAGTAACATCTCTCTGGTGACGCGAAGATTCGAATCGATGAACCTTTTCGACACTAGCATGATCATCAATGCCAACTACATAGTGTCTAGGTGAGTATTTGCTGATATCCAGTCCAGATATTAGCTGTAACATCTCAGCAGTGTGTCCTCCAGAGCCAAGAAAAATGGTTGTCGTGCATCTGTGAGTATGAGCTACGAACGAGTTTTCCTTAATGGCATTGAGAGTATTCCCTCTGGTGTTGATAATCACTTTCTTATCACTGGACAATGAAAATGATGATGATGACGATGTTGAAGTTACTTCGTTGGGGAGCGTCACAGATGTGTCCCTCAATAACTTTTTACTTGGACGATATTGGGGTAGAGCGGAACGTAGCCGAAGAGCAACGGCAAGCGCTATGGGGACTGAGACTATGATTGAAGTCAAAAGGGCTGCGAGAGCAACATTATAGACATTCGAATCAAATTCCATTACAAGTTTCCAACCAGCCAGGACAGGATTCTCAACGTAATGAAACAGAGGATTTTAGTTTTTCAAAAAAAAAAAAAAAAGTTGGGACGTTTGTAGTGGTCCTTTATCACGTGTATGGTTTAAATATATACCACTTTATTGAGTCAGAGCAGATGACCCTTCATTTTAAAAAAAGAATGACACTGTTTGTGTAACTGGTCGATTAATGCTAGGTCGATATCATACATACATACTACGAAGGAAAAACTTTTTCCATTTTTTAGCGTGGAGGATTATGGGAGGAAGCCTCCCCTTGAGGGATTGGGTAGGCAGTACCCTGTGGTTGACCAGATGGTGGACCGTATGGAGCAGTGTAGGCTGTTGCCGGGGCAGCTGGGGGAGGATAGGTTGTTGTTGAAGAAGCTGGAGGGGGGTATGCGGGGGGTGCTCCTGAGTATGCTGAATCAGTAGGAGGATACCCACCCGTGCCAGGTGGATACGCTGCGTAAGTGCCTGTGGCCTCAGGGGGCTTTTCCGAATAAGGTGAGGAGGCTGGAGGGGGATAGCCAAAACCGGATTGTCCCTGAGGAGCATCAGCAGGGGGATATGAGGAGTTCTGGTAAGCTAAGTTAGGATCGCCTGGAGGGGGAGCATACGTTTGTTGCGGGAAGGCATATTGTTGCTGCTGGTCGGGTAAAGGTGTAACAGCGGCTTGCTGTGTGGGTACAGCCCTTGCGGCGCGGCGTCTGCGAAGGCAAAAAAGAATGATGATAAGAAGAAGCAGCACACCAAAAACAGCGGTCCAGGCATAGTTTCTGTTTTTTCTGCACTGGTACGAATTTATACAGTGATATCCATTTGGACACCAGCGACGGGGATATTCTGAACAAATTTCTTCACGCTTCTCAAAGCGCATCACAGAACGTTTGACCAAGGGTGAGATTGGGGAGGTAAGCGCTGGGATCAGGTCAGCGCCGCCCAGAGTGTCGGCACGGACCATATTCAACGAGGAGGGCATAAGGAGAGGAATAGATGAATTTGAGTATTATGTGAAGAAAATGAAGGAGAAGAAAAAAGAAAGAGTAGCGCGTTTGATCTTTATTATTTATTCTATTATTACCCTTAACTGACATCATCATGTAAAAATTAACTTTATTTTCAACCCATGCTTGATAAACTATCCAATAGTCTCGATCTTCACATTACGAAGCGAATTAGCAGACGAAACCATATCAAGATATTCGTTCACACTTGTCGCACACTCTAGGTCATCGACATGACTTGCAAACATTCGATCGTAGATGATTTCTGACTCTAAAGACTTTTTTTTTTTTTTTTTTTTTTTTTTAAATTTCGTCAGACGTCAGTCGTCAGTCAAAATGAAAATAAAGTACTTGATAGCTTCTTTTTCCAACAAAAAATTCTTACTTCAATATCAAAGTAGTCCAGTTTGGTCCAGCTTTCTTCATCTGCAAGACGTGCTTTATTAGGTCCACTGGCCTTCCGTGCCTCTGAATCTGTCGCACTTCGTACCTGAACCTAAAGTATTAAAATTTTTTTATACGTATGGGATGGTAAAGGAGCTGTCAAGACACAACAAATAACATCCCAATAGTAACAATAAGAAAAATATATATTCAAGTAGTACCTGCAAAGCTTTCGCTTTCTGATCCTGTTCCACCTTCTGCTTTGCTAGCAGCTCCTTATTCTCCTCATCACTGACTTTCTTGTTGGCTTGCTTATGTTTCTCATCAATTTTATCCAGGTATTTAAAGCTAGGGCGGAGCTGTACTGCGCCATGGAATGGCGTTAAATGCATCTCATCTAATATCCACAAGAACGTAACCATTAGATATTATGGTTATACAATGGCATATTCATTCTGTCTCATTGTAGTAGGGAGTAACTCAATAAGTAATCTTACCGTTTCTCAGAACACCTGCGAGGTAGTTAGTAGCATTAGGGATGAGTGAAGAGACTAACGTCTGTTTATCTAATAACTCCTTGTCTTCATCATCATCAGGCTCTTCATCTAATGCCGTCCTGAGAGCCTTGTCATTCATGCCCAAGGCTAGTTCCTCTCCTCTTTCCCGGTTGTACTGGCTCGCATTGGTGTCCAGAGGTATTTCCAGCTCAATCAACTGTGAAATAGGTTTAATCCTAGCCTTGCTAGGGCTTGATTCTCGAGTATATGTAAAAGCTGCAGCCCGTACTGGATACTGAAACAAATAAAGATACTTGGCTAGCCGTTGCGAGAGATAAACAGGTATTTCTTTAACGAGTTCATCTCCTTCATCTGCAAAGTCTGGTAGCTTGTTGCTTCCAGTATCCATTGTCGCATCTGTATCCTGATCATAGTTGTCACCATCAACATCCATCGACGCACTTTCAAAGGTGGGTGGTGAAGATTCATCATGGAGCGATAATTCGTCCATCCTTGGTTGCTCAATCACTGAATTAACTCTTTCTTTTTTCTGCTCACTTTCGCTCAAGTCTTTATGAGGTGTAACAATAGTACTGACGCTGGGTAGGACAGTGTGATTTTCATCATTGGTCGATTTCCTTTTCAGAAGGCGCTCTTCTTCCAAGCGCTCCTGTAACTGCATTTCATCCTCAATAATCCCACCTTCATCTGTGGGACTTATTGAGTTGTCATCGGCCATTTGTGCATCGTTATCAGAGCCCTCGCCTTCAGCTGGTACTACAACTTTCTTGCGAGATCGTGCAGAGCCTGAAAAACTAGGCTTGAAGCTCATTTTAGGTGGCATGTTTGAAAGAGATGTGAGAAAATTGGTCAAATCGTCTGATTTATTGCTATTGAAGGCACAGCTTGATCCTTATGTTTCTCCAGTGGAATGTAATTGCCGCTGTTGTTGCTGCTGGTTTGTATGACCTTTGTATAGGCGACTTTTTTTTTTTTTTTTTTTTTTTGCAATGCGTAATGTTTCAAAATGGCAAGCCACATTCAAAATAGGCATCGTTTTTTATTGTGGTCCCTGCTCTCTTTCTGTCACCAAAGTAAATACAGTGCTGAATAAACAAGACATCAGCAAGGCATCATGGACCCCTACAATGGTGAGTTTTGAGCCCTAGCCTCTCATCTTATGTATCATGGTCGCCACATTTGATATGCCCTTGAGGCGCTCGTACACTGTCAGCTGCAATGTTTCCTGCACCATTCCTATTTTCCTGACTCTAGCATCCGCGTGTAGATAGCGATCCGGTTTTTCATGCCACGCCCCTCGAATCACCTATTGAAATCCCTACACTTCAGAACTGCCCACGGGTCCGTTTCCAGCCTACAGGAGGGAGCCGTGGAGGGCATGGACGTGGATGCTATTCAGATAATCGCCAAAGGGCACCGTTTCAATACGGTGCATCCCAGCAAGGCGCCTTGCGCTATGATCCACAATTAGGCCTGCAGCCTCAAGGATACCAGCAATATGGACAAGGACATCTCGCCACTAATTCATACCAACAGCAGCAGCAGCAGCCTCAATTAATGCGACCTTTAATTCCCCCTATCCAGTTTCTTGATCAACATTTGGATGTTTTTCAGGCCACATCGTATGAAGTACCTCAAGACTGCCTCAAAATTGAATATGGGCCGCCTGAAAATGTAAATTTGGATCTATTTTGCATTCAAGGGGTGGTCACTAACCTGTTAGAGAGCAAGGTATGTAAATCCCAACGGTTGCTAGCCATACTTGGAATGAGATTGGGTCACTACTGACAATCGTGAGTGTGACTTGACCTAAATGCACTTTGTAACAGAGAAAGCTTCGCGATATCCCCTCGGAAACATTTAGTCGCGCTCGCCAGCGCTGCAACCCTTATGAACTTGTGGGCTCATCCATCTTCATGAACCGTGCATCTGTCAAGTTGGCTAGCATCGATTCGCAACTTGCTTTGACTGCAACCAAAGAGGACCCAACAGCCGGGCAGGGTCGGGAAGATGATCGAAAGACTTTCCGCTTTGCCGACTTATGTTCTGGCCCTGGGGGCTTTTCTGAGTATCTTCTTTGGCGCAAGCACACTTGGGGTGAACGTGCGCGAGGATGGGCTATAACTCTCAAAGGGGACCTCGATTTTCAATTAGAACGATTCCATAAGGATGCTGTGGTTTATGAGGCCTTAAAGACGTACTATGGCAAAGATGACACGGGAAATATTCTCAAACAGGAAAATATCGATGCTTTTGCAGACATGGTGAACAAGGATACGAATGAACTCGGTGTAGGACTGGTCTCTGCGGATGGAGGCATTTCAGTTGATGGTGATGAGGCCGTACAGGAGACCCGTCTACAGCGCCTTATCCTTTGTCAAATCTTGACAATGTTCATGATCCTTCAGAAAGGTAGCTATCTTCATTTAATTTGAATTTTTGGTAATTTCCTTGTGAGTTCACTAAACGTTCTGTTGCTCACATCTGCCTTAGGTGGGGATTTTGTGGTCAAAGTGTTTGATATCTTTACACCTGTCACTGCGGGACTAGTCTGGCTTCTGTCTCGCCACTTTGAAAAGATCTGTGTTATGAAGCCATTGACAAGTCGGCCTATGAATTCTGAGCGTTATGTTGTTTGTCGACACTTGCTCAGACGTAAACCGGAGCAAGTGATTGAACATCTCAAAAAGGTGAACGCGCAATATCAGGACATAGAAGAGAGGATAGGTGTGGAGGATCCGGCAGCTTCTACTCCAGTAACCGAAGATTCTCTTAGGAAAGAGGATGTCAACCACATCATAGATCTCAACACTTTGTTAGCAGATGTTCATTTCGTGGAGTATATCAAGCGGAACAATATCAAGACAGCTATACGACAGACTGAAGCACTAGATGTTTTTTTGAAGTACGTTAATGAAGGACTTCGTCCAGCTTTTGATCAGGAGGCTATAAAGAAGCTGTGTTTACAGGAGTGGCGTATTCCTCCGCGTCCACAGCCAAATCACTCTCACCATCAACATATAAAACAACAGCAGCGCTATCCCACACATGGGCCACACCATCAGCATGGCAATGCACGACATCATCCTTATCAGCCTTCGAGATCTCAGCAATACCCCCAACAGCATCAACAGCATGGATCCTCTTCGAGAGGCAGGTTACACTCTAGTACACAGCCAGGATCAGGTCGATCTTCTAACGAGCACCGCGGACAACCCGGTGTTCTTGACTCTTTATTGAACAACATGCAGCAACCTTCTCCCGGCCCTCCTAGGTATTAACCAATGTATACACAGCCAATAAAGTTTGAAGTTACACGTAAAGGTTTTCGACCTGTCGCCCGATGCTAAGCCACTTTGGCGAAAGCACATAAAAATGCGTCGTTTTCCTTTGTTTGCCAGGTACTCCACACTTTTCCAGATAATGGCTGACCAGCGCAAGGACAAGCGCATCAAGCTCTTTCTCGAAAGGAGCATTGAGCGACTACCTTTTGACATCACTCAAAAGGCTGAAGAGATCTATCTTCCGTAAATATCACGTACTCCAGACAAACATGTACTCAAATGCCTACATTAAGAAGCAAGGTTTTATTCGTTCCGAAATGTACTCAAGTAATTATTGGATGAATTTGGATGATTCAAATTGATGTTTAGAGATGGCGATCCCACGGAAAAGCTGAAACGGAAAGTCAAAGTCATTACAGAGATTGCAGGAGATAAGTACGATAGGTTCACAGATAAAGTCGTAACAAAGGATGATATACATCCGGATAAGCAGCCTTCTATCATAACCACGGCAGAACAAGGAACCACGACAGAACAAAATGCTGAGCCGGATCCAGGAATGGTAGGAGCCTCTTCAACGTCGTCAGCCGTAGCAGTACGTGCGACTTCACCACAAGGAATATACGCAAAACTTTGGTAGGATGCCGAAAGTCGCGTAAAAATGCTGGCTTGCTTAAGTCGATAACGCATATCGCATAAAGCCTAACACACTCCTAACGGTACCGAAAATTTGTATATTCGCAATGTAGGCATGCACAAAGTGAAATAGGACTTGCCTTGGATGTTCTCAACATTATTATCTCTTCTTATCAAATAAACCCTGGAACTACAGGAGGTATTGGAAGTACCAATAATGGAGCCATGCCAAACTCTGCACTTCCCCCAGGATCACTGAAATGCGACTATGTACCCCGAGCGCCTCTGTCATTGCAAACTATGATTTCAAATGAAAAAATGGCATTGGGTAGCAAGAAACACCAACTACGCAGTGCCGCTGCTATTTTGATGCAAGGCGCTCAAAAGTTAAAGAAAGTCATGGCAGATGAGAGTCAGTTTTGGGGCGGAGCCCTTCGGCTACGGAAAAATAACTGGTGTATTGTTTCTGCTAAGACTGGGCACCACTCGACCAATCGAATTACAGGAGGATCGCAGCTTTATGTTCATTATGGATTTCAAGACGGTAAGGATTACTGTGGGTGCTTTGCACTCTAACTCTGACATTTAGAGGGCCATTATACCTGATATTAAGGGAGCCGAGATCTTATTTCCATTTTTTATTTTATATTAATGCATTCCCCATGTTGTGATAGTTGGATCGCTCTTCGGTAGTCGATCTTATGCAGAGCTAGTTCGTAATCAATCATTTTCGGGACCAAAAAAGGCAACAAGTATCGAACTCAACTTCCCAAACAAGACCGGAAAGGTTATCGTTGTGAGCCTCGTACAGCAAGGTGCTTCACATACCTTCAGTAGGTTATTCTGCATATCATGGATTTTTTTTTTTTTTTTTTTTTTTTGAGCTACATTGGTATGTGTTAATAGCTAATCCTGAATTATCGCCTTAATATCATTATGCTAACAGAGATGCCAACGTCTAGAACCAAGAGCACTCTACATAATCAACTCTTGGATGCTCAAAACACGCTCTTCGATGGCGAATTATATCACGAGGTTTGTCCCTGTCATAAATATCCTTGTATGTGTCACATGATATGTTTATCGATCATAAAAATTTACCTTTTTTTTTTTCTCAGTTGACAAACGAGGCACGCTCAATGAACAACAGTGTATCCATTGTAGACAATGAAATATTTATGCCTATTAGTGACGAATTAGAGCTCAAAATTGCTTACAGGATGCCTACGTCAGAAAACATTCCGAATCTCTCATTATCTTCGTCTGAGGATATGGTGATGGGAGAAAGTCATGATGGCATAGAAAATCCTAACATGACAAATAGTCTTAATCGTACAGCGAATATACTACGATGCGCTATGCAGCTGATGCAACACCGACGATATCGACAAAATATCAAGGAGCGGACAGACAGTTTTTTTAAGAGCTCTCGTCCAGGTGGGGGGAGAACTGCAGGCTCATTTGGACATATACAACAGACACTTCAACAGCGCCCTACAGCTGTACTTAGTATGACTCTCCAAGCACTGCAATACTATTCTTTTTCAAAACGGATCCGGGACGTGATTGGCAGAGCCACTAGAAATATAAAGCAAAACTGGTGGGAGCCTGTTGATGTGTACTCGATCGATGTTAAAGCATCAACTCCAATACAAAGCAATTCAGAATTATTGATTCCAGGGACATCTAACTTTTCATCGCGGGGAACGACAACCAACCATGGCATGGGATCTGTAGTTTCGATCAATCTTGGCGATAAAGCGCCTGCGGTACGGTTCGTCATACGGTCTCATCCTGCACCTTGCGTCATCCTCCAGCTGACAGATCGACCTTCAGCACCAATTATGCATGTCACAGAGTTTGAGAGAGTGCTAGAGCAAGAATTGACCACGCGTGCAATTGGGCGTATTTGCGAGATTCTCAATTCGATTAAATCTTGGAACGACTCCTTGCCGACACTGCAGAGCCCCAAGTTTGTGATCGACATTGACAAACGCTGCGTTGGTGTATTTCATATGTTGCGAAGAGATAACTCAACTGCTCTTAGTACATCCACAGTGTACGAACTCATTATGTGGATTACGTTCATGTTGTCCTTTAACAAATCTTCCGATAATGTTAATTTTTTTATTTTTTATTTTTATTTTTATATATATATATGTAGAATACTTCAACTTGATATTAGCGCAGAGAGAGCCATAAGTATCTCTATTAATACTAAGCATGGTAGCATTAATCGATACAAAATTGTTTACTTGGAGGATCAGCAACTTCAACTACCTCAGAGTGAAGATGCAGGCACAAACAATTCCCATCCATATGACACAGCGAATTCCTCTATGACTCTGCATCAGACTGCAGGAAGGACAATGGAGGGCTTTAGAGAGTGGCTAAGACAGAGCATCATCGCAGAGCTTTAACTTACAAAATACACTATGTAATAACGGACTTTGCGGCTTGGCAGTATAGTCTGCCATACTTGCAAACACAATTGATCAGCAATCTGAAGCAATCATGTGTGTGTGTGCATTTTTTTTTTTTTTTTTTTTTTTTTTTCAACTAAAGTTATGTGTTTAATTATCTACTATCATTTAACTACACATTTGTTTAACTTCGAAGCAATGGCATTGGGTGGCCTTTTTCGATCTCTTCCAGATTGCGTTGACGAAGAGGTGTGTCGGCAAATAATGCACACAAAAGGTTCGACAATTCACGCACTTGAAACATATAGAGTTGTCCAGCTCTAAAGCGGGTCATGATCTCAGCAAATGACAATTCAAGAATATCAGCTAAGAGCTGAAACTTTTTCCAAGACAGCACAAAATGATAAATCGGGTCCTATTCAGTCCAAAAGATTGGAGCTCCATATCAATAAACATGAATCAATCCAGTTCGAGCACTGCAGCAATGCATTCATTGTCTACCATACTGACCTCATCCTCATATGCATCGCCTCTTATAAGCTCTACAAGGGGACTAGCATGGTCGAATTGATCTTCGCATTCAAACAAAACCCCACATAAAGCTGCAAGCTTATGTGATTCTTGTTCAGAAATATCTGTCAAACCTTCAAGCTCACGGATTACTCGCATGATTGTATCATCAAGTAGTTTGCCTAGAACCTTATAAAACGACATAGGTGACATGATCGGCTAGGACATTTCATGATGCCACAAAAAAAAAAAAAAAAAAAAAAAAATCAGACTATGTATTATAAGAGGCCATTGCAGTATCTCTGTTAATATTCTTATAATCATTTCTAGCCATTTACCTTCCAAGCTTTGCCTAGATGCTTGAAGACAAGAACAACCTGCTTCATAGATCTCTCATAAGCAGCAAAATTACTTTCAACACTGGAGTCTCTGAAACCCCGTGCCTCGTCTACACTCTGCATTAGTTCATCCAATTGTTTTTGCTGTGATTGGGCACCAGAGAACGACAAGAAAAGTCAGTAGCCATTCATTAAGAATGAGAACGGAACGTTGATGTGTACATTCAAGTTCAAGCTCCCGTACCACTTGAATATCAAGCCATTTTTTAGCCAAATCCTTTAGCCCAGGGATAACATCATCATATTGAACCTCATCCAATCCGGGAATTCCACTTTCCAGTCTTGCAGGCACCTTCTCCAGTTCGCGCGCAATATACATACAATCATTAAAGAAAAGGATTGCCAGAGCTGGCACATTCCCCAAAGTCCTTGCATGATGAACTGGCATTAAGGCTCGGTAAAGATCGATTAATGACCGTGTGGCTTGATAGAGATGCCTAGAACTATACAACGAGCATCATTTTCCTATTTAGCCATCAACATACATTTGTAAACTGATAAGCTGCCTCCGCACAACATTGAGAGTTACATGGCACTTACGCCTCTTCGTTGAGCGACATGGCTTCGCCAAGAGTGCTCGTGATCATATCAACGATCTGCTTAGACTTCATACTGATTGATGAATCTTTCAGGTCCATTTCAGGGTCTTTAATACTATCCCAACTATGGATATCTTTCTCGAGTTCGTCTATCGCAAAATGCAGAGAAAGAAAGTCAAGATACTATTGGAAGACGACGAGGGAAAAGAAAAGGCTGAATACAAAACTTTTCTGACTTCAAATTACCTTGCCTATCCAACTCCCTTACATGAATGGTTTTGAAATCATCGCTCATGATTACAGCACGCCCAATCTTCAAGAGCGCATCCCTCTTATGATTAGTGTAGTGAACATCAATATGTTCAACAAAGTCGCGGAGGACTCTATCGTCAGCAGTCAGATAGCCTATTAACAGAGGGATTAGTCACGATGAGGTACTCGAATAGTGAAAGAGTGAAAATGTAGGACGCGTATCATGCATAACATGAGACATACCCATGGCAATAAGCTTCTCTTCGAATTGAATAGCAGCCGTTGCGATGGGCCCAAATTGGTTCAATTCCTCAACGTTGGTTGGCACAAGTTTCGAGAGATGGTCAACTGAAACCATGGCACATGTCTTCTTTGCAATATTGCGCCCAATAAAGTGTACCAGTTTTTCGGTATCGGAAGGATCCTTTCTATTGTTGAACTCCGCTATTGAGTAGTCACTCAAAAAGACATCGCGATATAGGAATTGAAACACGCTAAAGATTTGATTAAATAAAGTGTCTGCAGGATAATTTAGCTGAAAGATATAATGCGAAGTACTAATAAAGCATTAGCTGCAACAATGTGTATTCGGGGGTTGACACTCCATTACCTGCTCCGTTACTATTTTCTGGAATAAGTGCGATAGTTGAATGGTGTGCGGAGGCATAATCTCCAGAATTCTCGATGGCCAACCGTACATTTCCGTGATCTCGAATAAGCGGTTGCAGCAAATGACGAATAAGGGTATTTTGTACAACCTTGAGTTTATCGTTGATGACATCCAGGAGCATTAGTGTTCGTATGAGCTCGTGCCATCTTACAGTTCCCGGTGCTGATCTTGAGCTGGAGCGATAGTGCGTAAGTGTTGGGACTTTAACATCATAGGATAAATTGAGTTTAAAAATGCCGCCGTTCTGTTCCGTTGGAAGTTCGAGATATATAGCACCAGCGACTAGCTCATCCAACATTTGATCTATGGCCTCGGTCATCTTGGAGCACTGATCCTAGGATGGTATGGATATCGAGAGTGTTTAATGTTTAAAAAATATCTTATGCATATGTTAATATAGTATCTATTTTAGAAGAATAGTAAATTGTAGCTTACAGTCAGAGACTTAGTAATTTGTGAAGCGGCAACTCCTGGACTAGGAGGCTGCGCAAGGAGTTTGGCCTAAAGTAATAGGAGTAATAATAATATCTAATTAAGTCCTCATATTATTATCCTACAGTCCCAAGTATTATAAGAGTTATCATTGATGACAAGATGTATTAAAGCGTATCTCTACGTACTGCTTGCTGGATACAATGTCCTGCCTGAAGAATCTTCCCTGCGTCCATATAGCCTTCGTACTCGGAAAGGATATCATTAATCTAGATATAATGGAGAGCATGAAGCTTGTGATTAAAAGAGACTGAAAGTCAAACATAAAGCTAATGGCTCGTTGTAGAAATTGGCATGCATGTGCATCAAGATTTACCCTTGAAAAATGGTTCAAGCCGTCCAGGATGGCGTTGCTCTCCTGCACCTTGTATGAAATTTCATGGTGATCCACTAATGCAGACATGACCTGTTGTCTCAAACCTGTCTATTAAATTTTGATAGAGTTTGAACACTGGTTATTGAACCAGAGAACAAGAAAGAGTTGGAGGAATGAGCCACAGATATGTAGATGTCATGAACGTGCCTCAGAGTCCATAGTTTGCGTCGCAATACTGTCTACTTGCTGAAGTAGGTCATCTATCTTGTCCTTAAGCTCCAATGAGTATTCAAACGACTCTGAGAAAGCATTGTAGTTGGCGAGTAGCTTTTTGTAAACTTGCGCCTATCATTAACGTCAGATACAATAAAAGAAATGGAGTAAGCAAATTGCTTTTTAGTAAACTAGTACTCTGATGCTTCATCGCAATAACCAGATAATGCAGCCTGTGCTCACCTTGATAGCCTGTATCTCCACGTCGACACTCGCAATTGCTTGCGCAAGTTCGTCGGTTGTTACAGGCGCGCCATTATGACCGTTAGTTGCAGGCAGCGAGGTAGATGTGCAAACGTTGGCAGGAGAAGAGATGCTATGCGATTGTTCGTCCAGGTGTGACGCGACAAAACGCGCAAATGAGTGTCCAGTGACGACGGATGTGGCCATGGTATATTAGGGTGATGATTCAATGGAAGGTTTGTGCATGGGAGATCTCACATTTTTGAACTTTTGGGCGAATGGCACGTGCTCTAATCATCTCATTATAGCCGTTGAATTCTGGCCAAAAAAAAAAAAAAAAAAAAAAAATTCTGGCCTTCCAGCCTTCTCTCCTCTTCTCATGTCGTCTTACATCAACTCGCCCTTAGAATGGACGTGGTTCTCACAAGTCTTTGCTACACACTGTTTGCAGTGTTCCTCAAATCATACATCTAAAATCAATTCCTCACGACGCAGAAAGACCAACGACGATGAAGATATCAATGACTTCTCTTCACCACCATCGAAAATAAGGCAACTTGAGAATGATATTGTCATAGCGGTAGCAGGAACACGTAGAATGTCTTTGGATAAACAATATCAAGTAAGACTGCCTATACCGCAGCAGAATTGCGCAGCAAATCTGGCAAAGCAACCGGTTGATAGTTGGATTCTTGCACGGCGTTGGTATGAACCACTTGGAGTCCTGTTAGAGCCTGACTTGCCATGTGGCCATGTGGTTGATCTGCAGAGCATACCCACTCTTTCAGTATCATATCGTGATGGTGTTGTCAACGTTATGCTTGATGACGATATCCTCGCCATGAGGGGAGATGACCAGCAAGATTTGACTTGGGCAGAACTGACGTCTCGAATTCTTCCGCGCAGCACTTCCGTATTTTCGGCTACCTCTATTTTCCAGTCCTTAAATCAGGTCCAGGTGGAGGCTACAATTGTTTACGGAAATAGCTCCACCCGCCATCTATCATTTAAATTTGATGTTCTGCTTCATCAAAACCTTTGTTGTGAATCACTTGTCTGCGCAGCACCTATCAATACTGCGATGCAGGACTTGGTCCATTTTTTATTTCCACCACCAGCTAGCCCATCCCTTCCATTCACCTCAGATCCAATCAAAGATTTGTATGCTCATCTCAAACCAGACTTCACTCCAGAACCACCATCCAGCATACAACCTGAATTGTTGAATCCACAGCTGCTTCCATTTCAAAAGCGATCTGTCGCCTGGTGTCTCGAACGGGAATGCTATACTATCAAAGCTGCAGGACAAGTAGAATATCGGGAACCATCAGCTGAAGAGAAATTGCCACTTTCTTGGGAATGCATACCTATACCTGATAGCCGCAAGATGTATATTAACCGGCCGTACGGATTGATGTGTCTAGCAGATTCGGACTTGGTCAGCAAGGCACCAGGGCCTAGAGGGGGGATTTTGGCCGAGGAAATGGGGCTAGGGAAGACAGTAGAAATGCTTGCTTTGATCCTTCTCAACCGTCGTAAACTAATGATGCCCGTGGATCCCAATACGACACCAGAAGAAAAAGTTGGTTCAGTGCTAGGGAACATTCCATCTACTATGCATTTAGACGACTCGTTTTCAGTACCGTCCGATTCAGATATACCTTCAGAGCCAGCACTAATAAAAAGTGCTGCAACTCTTATAATCACTCCGCAATCTATTCTTCACCAATGGGAAAGCGAGATTGAATTCCATGCTCCATCCCTAAAAGTCTTCATCTATACAGAAATCGCTCATAAACAAATCACTCCTACTGAACTTGCAAAATATGACATCGTCCTTACAACGTACTCCGTATTGTCCAAGGAAGTCAACTATACCAATCAATATGATCGCCCACGTCGATACGAACGCCTATATCGTCCACGGACAAGCCCTTTCATATCTATTGAGTGGTGGCGTGTGTGTCTCGATGAGGTAAGATTCCTTTCTATCCCACTCAAAGTATGTTTTATAGTAGAGAGACTCTGTCTAATTTACCCATCATCCTGTTTATCACAGGCACAAATGATTGAAGGGGGTGCGGTCTCGCAGGCAACAGCGATGGCTCTCAAGATACCTCGTGTCATGTCCTGGGCTATCAGTGGCACTCCTATTCGAAGACATGTGGAGGATCTTCGGTCTCTTCTCGTATTTTTGAAAGAAGAGCCTCTTGCCTCCAATAAGCGCCTCTGGGCGTTAATCACCAATCGGAATTTCCGGTCAACATTTATCTCGAGTTATCGAAGAATCATGCATAGATATGCTAAAAGAGATGTTGTTAAAGAACTTTCACTTCCCCCTCAGACTAGGCTTGTCTATGGTATTCAATTTACGGAGATCGAGCGGACCAACTACATTGAAAAGTGGGAGCAATGTCTAATGGAATGCGATATTGAAGGCGCCTCCGAGAATAGCGCAGAAGCCGAGAAGCTTCAATCTTGGTTCATGCGTCTCCGTCAAATTTGGTATGTACGGCTTTGCAGAAGTAAGGATGTTCAGTCGAGTAGTTTTAGCACCCCAGTGCCTCATTATGTGTATTTGTCACTGCATGTACACCTTCCGCTCCTCTCTTAGTTGTCATCCACAAATTGGTTCACGAAACAAAGACTCGCTTGGGAGGACAAATCTTAAAACAATCGATGAGGTGCTGGATGTCATGATTCAGCAAAATAATGCGCAGCTTTACATGAAAGAGAGAGCCCTCTTTGCTACCAAGCTCAAGCGAGCTATCCTCAGCGCTAGTCTAAATAAAGATGTCACAGAAATGGAGCTCTTCACGCAGCTTGAAGCAGAAGCGAATCGTCAGGTGGAGGTTTGGAAACTAAAATATGAGGAGCAGGTAACTAAGAACCAAGAACGCAAATCTGCGCTTATGAATGGAAAAGGCAAAGGATTGAAGCGTGAAAGCGAAGAAATCGAAGCAGAAGAAATCTTTTTAGATATCTTGGATAAGGCAAAATCATCTGCTGGCGATGCATTTGGAACAGCAATTATACGTCATAGGGACTGGCAAGAGTTATATCATAAAGTGCTATTCTTCATCGCCGGATTTTACCATGAACTGGAAATCGAGACGAAGGAGACTGAATACTATGAACGAGCAGAAGATGTGCGCCAACGTATTCTAGGGCTTCAAGAACAATCATTTAACAAACGAAAAACATCGGTAATGACTGGTGTGGAAAGTATACCTCTGGATGCAAGTTGGGAAGTCGCGGCATCTGAATTCACTGGAGGCATTATCATGCGGCGGTTCCTTGAGCAGTTAGAATTAGTGACAACAAAGCTGAACCAACAGCTGAGAATTTTAATACAATGGAGGAATGACTTGGTCAGCCGATTAACGCAACCGCTGATGCAGGACGGAGAGGAAGGAGAGCAATACCAACACTCTATCGATCTGCAACACACCTTGGAATCCTATTTGCATCATTATGAACGTATGCTATTTCTCAGGAGAGACCTGCTTTTGGGTTCACAGGAAGTAATGGCTCATCATGTGAAAGCAATTGAAAAGCAAAGAGAACATGTGGAGATGGCAAAGCGACGCGATAACAGGGTCCGCTTGTTCAAAAGGAAATCTGGCACTAACGAGGAACCAAAAAAGGATGAGGATTTAGATATGCGACTGGGGAATGAGATGAATGCCCTGATTACGCCTGATTTGGTGCTGACTTTGCGAAGCGTTCGTGCCAATATCAAATCTGTGGCAAGCGACATTACGAGACCACAAATCGAGCGAGAAATGGCAGAGATAGAGGATTTACGCTTAAAAAATGAAGAGAGTCGGCAGATCAAATTAGTACTTAATCTGGAGAGGTACGATCAATACTTGTGACTTAGTATCGTTGGTAATAGCGCAAGGGTTTCTTTATTTTGTTAATATCAATCACTATACTTATTGCTTTCTTAAGGGAAATCACCGAATTCCGGGCATTGACCGCGCTACGAACAGCATACTACCGCCAACTTCAAACGATCTCGGACTCGGTCCGAGACCTCGAGCCATCTGATTTAGAAACCGATATTGCTGACTGTCTCGACGAAGAAAAAGAGCTGCAAACAGACATTATCCGGGTGATTTCGAAACAGCGTTATCTGGACCATCTGGCTCATATGAATAAGAAGGAAAGACACACTGAATCTCAGAGGCTCTGCTTGATTTGTCGCAGCGAATACAGTCTTGGATTGATTACAGAATGTGGACATGTGTTTTGTGAGTATTGCCTGGTAGAATGGACTAAGAATCACTTCAAGTGCCCATCTTGTAACAGCCAAATTTCAAGGAGGAAGCTCGCCCGAGTTACGATGAATGGAGCCACGCCTATTGATGTGAATCTCGATATCGAGGCAGAGGCAAATGCTTCCGAAGGTTCGAACCCTAATTCACTTCATGAAAATCTGCCTCGTGCCTCACAATTACAAATAGTCCCAGATGCGATTAGACACCTATCGGTCGAGGATGGGTATGGTAGTAAGATTGACAGTATAGTACGTCATATCGCATACTTGGTACGTGAAGATCCAGGGACCAAGTGCCTCGTCTTTTCGCAATGGAAGAATCTTCTCGACATTATTGGCGAGAGCTTGGATAGGAATCGTATCGGCTATGTCAGATTGGATGGCCCATCAATGAAGACTGCTGTCAAACAATTTAAAGAATCTATGGATAACCATGTCTTCATGCTCCATGCAAAGTCACAATCTGCGTAAGTATTATGATATAATTCTATCCCAATTGGGACAGTTTTGTTGTTATCTCTATCATTACTTTCTTGATATCTTACGACGGCTTTTGCAGTGGTTTGACCTTATTATCAGCAACGCATGTTTTTATCTGTGAGCCACTGGTAAACCCTGTCCTTCAAGCGCAGGCTGTAAGTCGTGTTCATCGGATCGGCCAATTGAAGGAGGTACGTTAATTTATTTGCTTTCAAATGGCTCACTTGAAGGCTCTATTATTATTATTGATGTTGACAGCAGGCCATTCACATAGACATTTGTATACTATTATCTGGTCAAGAATACAGTCGAGGTTCCATGCTTTGACCTATTTGAGCACAAACATGCTGGCACGTCAGGAGCATCTACATCTAATCAATTAAACGACCAAAATTATCTACATCCAGACTCAGATATCGCCAAGACATCCTCTGAGTTGGCTAGAGCTCAAAATAAGAATGGTGAATTGGTCAAGCTAGAGGATTTAAAGTATTGTTTACGTGTACAAAAACAGATGCATTTTTAAGACGGTCTGAAAGTTTTTTTTTCCCCATCTATCATTGATTAGTGACTAGAAATGCTATTTTTACTCTAAAATACCAAATTAGTGGAAATTGAATTGCTACAAAATGGTGATGATTAAAGTGTCCTATATGACATGAAGAATTTGACTTCAATATTATTAGCGAAAGAGGCGATCACTTCGGTGCCTCGCTCTCCATAAGGGATAACAGTGTGTAGCTGTAATTGCGTGCTACCCATAAGAGCTTTTTTTTATAAAAATAAAAATAGAAAAGGTCAAAAATCCATTACCAGAAGTAGCAAATAGTCTAATCATTCCAATTTTTTCAACATACCATCGGGAGCGAAGGGGGTGCTTGAAGTAACTCTAATGTGGAGAACTTGATTCATATCGGTCAAAGCGAATATGACACTTTCTCTCCAAAGGATCGAAAAGACACCAGAGTATGCATTATCGGTCGCTACAGGTCGGGTTGTGAACAACTGCTCACCAAGCGAGATACTGCAAATAAAAGATTTTGATTTTGCTAACCAACAAACAGAAAGGAACCGTCAAAGGGCATTTGTATATATAGGGTGTTATTAAAAATGATACGCTTACAAGTTATATAAGAAATGAAGCCAAACGACTAACCAAACTCACGACTTGGAATAACGCCTTCGTTAACTCTTATGGTCATGGTACCAACGGTTTCAGACAATGGAGGACGAATCGATGTCCTCGTGATATAATCTCTAGGGGCTTTCGCCAGAGCCTTGATAGCTTTTTCAAGGGTTTTGATCCAAACGTTTCTATCTTTTGCAGATCCTGCTTTCAACTGGATCAAAGACCCGGAACTTTGTCGTTGTTGTTGTGCACTTTGTAGATGTAGAGGCACGAAGCTTTGCTGTGCGATCAAAGAGTCGGACAGAGATGCCGATACGACTATAGTAAATCGGATATTGTCGCTTGGCTCTGTATGCACCCTGACTCTCTCCAAGGAAATAGGTGGTTGGTAAAGACTCCAGCCATGATAGTGAATAGCACTATGAATTCCCGATACGCGGTCAGAAAGCCCATATGAAGTCGAACTATTTGAGCGTGTAAGCGCTGAATGTGGGCTAGACTTCACTAGTGCCCCTGGATATCGTCCAGGAATGAAAAGAAGCAAGAGATCATTGCATAGATACGCGTAAAGCTTGCGGCCTGACTTGGCCTTCCGAAGTTGACCCTCATGCAAAATAACACGTGGGCCCAGGTATTTCGTATCTGATGTTAAAGTCAAACCCTATCGATCGTTAGAAAATAATAAAAAAGAGAAAGAGTTAAGAATCGTTAACAATAATGATAATAATATTAATATTAATAAAATTACCAGCAATAGTAGAGAAAACACAACTTACCGCGGACATCTCGACATTTGTCATTTTGCACTGGATGTCCTCGAGTCGCTCTTTGGTCTCTCCGCTACGAATGGCTTCGTTAATACGATCCAAGAACTTTTCAGCTGACATTAACGCCTCCATTAGAAGGAGGTGATCAATGTGATCCTCGTCCGTGGATGCAAGGATCTATAAATGTATCAGAAGTATTTACATTAGAGTTCTTCTGATTCTCCTTTTCCAAAAATACCTGGTTTTGGATCAATTCTTGCCTTTTTGATCAACAGAGGATATCTTGTTATACGTTGAAGAGGCTGGAGTAAGAAGCTGAAAATATCGAGCCCACGACATGCTGGCTTCGACTTTGCTTGCTGATGTTGCAATATAGGAAGTAAAAATATATATTTATATACGTAAAAATGTCATTCATTTCAAAAGGTAGTGATCCGATGTAAAGAAAAGAGTGGTGTATATTAATAAATTGACAAGCATATAGAATAAGATTGCATGATGGAAGATTAGCTTACCGTCAAGAAGTTGAGCAAGGGTTTGCTCTCTGTCATTCGCTGCGTCAGTAGCTTGGTGGCCAAACGGTGGTTTGCACAGTATCGCATAAAGCAATTTGCTTTTTCGACAATGTGGCTGTTGATCACATCTCCAACAGCAAGGACTACGCCTTCACCATTCGTTTGCCGCTCTACAAGTTCGGCCACGATGCTTTTTGATAAATCCAATAGCTCTGTCCAATCCATAAAAATAGACTGGCTCTCTGCTGAACTGATCAACCCTTGATCCAACAGTGGACTCTGGAAGTCATCTTTCACAAATAATAAATTAGACAAGTACACCTGCTCTGTTACTATAAGCTCATGGATCGCTTCCTGGCGCTTCTTCTCTTTTTCAGGTAGAGAGTGTAAGATATTTGCTGCTATAGACGAACTCCAGGACGCTGAATTTAATAGTATAGGGCTGGATGGGCCACTAGAAGAATCCACGTTTTTGTGGCCCGTATACTGCGACAAAGGTTTGACTAGCACATCGGAATAGCTACCAGATCGTGGGCGGGCCTCTTTTCCAGTGCTTGACGGAACACTTAGGTGGGACGACAGTGATCCTTCAGAGTGTTTTCTCGATAATCCCTCAGCTCTTGTAGGGGTGCTCACGGCAATCGCGTGAGATAATGAAGGTTTTGGGCGCCGATGCATTTCAATTGGCCGTGCGGGTGGCGCTCGACGCCTTGGAGTATGGGCTATTGATATGACTGGTGTTGCTTCTGCAGTGGTAGCATAGGTGTTGGGCTTCATTAAGCTGACGCTCTGTGGTATAGTTACATCAATTTCATCCTCTGAACTGTTGCTCGATGTCTCCGTGTCTGAATCGGACTCTTCAGATACTGTGTCAGTCTTGTCGTCAATATGTATATCCTCCTCGGTTTCATAGTCTGAGACGTCGCTTTCTTCGAGACTCAAGGCTATAGCGACCGTGTATGAATCAATCCGATAATTTTGTATATCATAAAGATATATATTAAAAGAGATAAGAAAAAAAAGAGTCATGAATTCATTCAGTCGTTCTTCGTTCACAAATTCAAAAAGAAAAGAAAAAAATCTATAATCTTTAATGTCTCAAGTTGTCAAGGGAAATCCACCACAAGATTGGCGGAAGAAAAATAAAATAAGAAAACTACTGCTTTTGGCTATGGTCCCATGAAGTAGAAGCAGGTTGTAGAGCAAATACTTTTTTTTTTTTTTTGAGAATAATGAAGACGACAGTCATAATCGGAAAGAGTATGAATGAGATAGTAATGAATGCGATGCACTAACCGCTAGTGGACTGTCCATCAATCTCTTCTAAATATGTCGAAGGAAGCATTCCAGAATCGCCTTGACTATTTCGAGCACGCCACCACAAGGGATCAGGTTTTTGCATAATTTCAACCATCTCGCCTGCCTTCACCGTGAGTTCGTCTGCATTCAGACCAGCATAATCATAGAGAGCCTTTGCTTTCCCAATGGGGTACTCTATAGTAGCAAACATAAAATTTAGAAATCGTATAAGTAACAGCCATCACCTTACCAAAAATTACTCTTCCTCGTTTTCAATTAAAGTAAATTAACCCACCAACTGTTGGAGCCTGGCCTTCAATATATTCTTCAAGGTACGTTGCTGGAAGCATTCCTACTACGCCTGACGAATCTTGTGCACGCCACCACTGCGGATCAGCTTTCTCAAGAATATCAACAATGTCGTCTCGATTAACTGAAAGTTCATCTTCATTTTGAGAAGCATATGTAAACAGCGCTTTGGCTTTGAATTTTTCTAAAGGAATTTGATCATAATAAAGAGCATTCTTAGCACAATACTTAGAGCTTATTTATAAGTAACAGCTACTATCCATACCTGAAACTTCTTGAACGTATGCCTTTGGAAGCCAGCCTTTGACTGATTCATCCTTCTCAGAAACTCCATAAATCCAGTCTACGTTACCAGACTCCTTAGAAGGATAAGCACGTAGATAATCATTGGCCTCAAAAGTAAGCTGATCTGGAGCCATTGCCCCATAATTCCAAAGTGCTTTAACGCGGTATCCATTTGAGAAATCGACTTTGCTTTCGATTGAATTCTCAGAATTGGATGCAGATTCTGATGCCAACTTTTCGGGAGGAGTCTGAGCTTGCAAAGATTGATCTTGCGGATGATCGGCAGATGTACTCATTTCTACTGCTGTAGGAACAGGTAAAGGTGCTGAGGAGGTTGTAGTAGAGGTAGTAGGGATAACTGCAGGAGCATGACTGGATAAACGACCGAGCCAATCAGTACTTTCGCGTCTACTATCATGGTCATCGTTTCCATCATCCACTCTTCCAGACGCAGTGCCAGATGTCTTCTTAAGTGTGGGCATACCACCAGCAAAGAGACCACCCAGTCCCGGCATTCCTATGGGCTTTGGAACAGAACTTGAGCCATCATGCCCCACTGCAGATCCAGACGCGTCCGAGGAGCCAGTGGATATCGATGCCTCCTGACCCAAAACGCGACCTATAACAACACTTGAGTTAGCAGACTCAAAATAAATAAATAAATAAATAAAACACTTTGATAATACTAACCAACGCCTTTGGTCGCGCTCTTATCATTTGTCACGGATTTCTTTAAGCGAATACCAGCCTGGATCTGACTTAGAAGTGCTCCTCTAGCTCCACTAGCTTGAGGAGGATGACTGGCCGTACCTCCGACTGAGGAAGCTGGAGGAGGAATAGGCGCACCACCTGCTGGGGCAGGGAGCGGCACTGGTATACCAGCGGGAGGTGGTGGAGGCGGTGGTGGAGGTCGGGCTGCGGATGATGGCTTCATAGCCTCTGTAGGAGGAAGTGAAGCAAAGGTTCCTGTTGTAGGCATGGGTGGTGGTGGTGGTGGTGGTGGAGGAGGAGCATTTGTGGATGGTGCCACAGTATCTGAGGGAGCCACGGACAGTGTATTACTGGAGTTTTGAGAAGTGGACATGGCCAACTCAACATCTTTCTCAACAACATCCCAACCATCCGAAGTATCCTTTGAGTGGTTTGTAGTTGATGGAGATGGTTGTGCTACACTTTGTGACATCATTTTGAAGAACGGGTTGTTTGAGTTGGATGATATATTGGCGTTATATCCTGTGGCGGTAGTAGATGCCACTGGAGTGGTTGCGGAAACAGGACTGGCTGTATCCCAATCGTCATCTGATGATGAAATCGATTTGCGATGTTTTGCGAATGGGTTCATGTCAAGCGTAATGCGAATGGGCTCTCTCTTGGTGGGTTGGGTGGATATAGCTGGAGAAGTTGCTGTCTGCTGTTGCTGCTTAGCTGCAGCGGTATATTGAGCAAATCGCTCTTTTCGATCCCGTTCTTCCTGCTCCTCACGCTCCTTGCGATCTCGCTCCTCCTGTGCCTCACGCTCTTTACGATCCCGCTCTTCGCGTTCCTTACGATCCCGTTCTTCTTGCTCTTCACGTTCTTTTGCCGCTCGTTGAAGATCTTGGATTTCTTTCAGCTTCTGCTCATTTGTCTCTAGGGACTGCTTAGCCTCAGCCTGTGGCTGATAACCTAAATGTGTGCGCATGTTATCTTCTGTCGCTGGTTCACTATGAGAAACCTTTTCTCGACTCGCTAGATCTCTCTCTGCCTGACGCTCTTGCTCCGCTTGGCGGCGCTTGGACTCTGCGTTTGCCAAAAGTTTTTCTCTTGCCTGCCTCTCTGCCTCTTCAAACCTGGCACTAGCGATGGCATCAACATCAGAAGTAGCAGCTTGCAGAGCAGGTGAAGAAGTTTCTGACCGGCTCAACTGTGTCTTTGCTAAGAGTTCATTTTGGCGATCACGTAATCTTTTTTCGGCTTGTGCTCGGATGATAGCACGCCTTTCTTCCGGAGTCTTGCCGGCAAGACTAATGCTTGATGCAGAAGGGGACGATGGGAATGAAGAGGACGATGTGACAGCAGGAGATGATGAGGCTGAGGCAGACTTGTGCCATGACTGTGTTGTGGCAGACGAATGGCTACGCGTGAATGTAGACGAGGTAGACTGGTAGGAAGGGGTTGAAGGGACAATGGGTGACATAGCCGGTTTGATTTCCTGAATGAATCGTCTAACAGTCTCAGATACAATACCCGCACCTTCTTCCCATCTTCGACGATCGTTGTCGGAACGATCATCACCATGAGTATGGCTGTGAATGTCAAGGTCACGTTCAAGTTGACGCATGTTATCTTCAAGTCGACGAACTGCTGCCTCGATTTCAGCTACATTCTGCTCATTCACATCTCTTTCAGCCCGGATACGAGCAGCGTGATCAGGATCAATTCCCGCTTGTGCTGCAGATGGGATGGGTTTACCAGTAAGAGCAGCCATACGCTGAGCTTTCATCAATGCAGCTCTTGCTTTTATCCTATCCTCAGCAGTAATCGCTCCACCAGGTCCTGTTCCTACTATATTAACATCTACAGAAGATGTACTTCCAGATTTTAATTTTGCGACTTCCAGTCGCGAATCTTCGAGATTCTTGTCTGCTTCTCGTACTCTACTAGCCAGTAAAGAAACTGTTCTCAATAAACTTGTCACTTCTTGATCCACATTTCGGCGCTCCTCTCGAAGACGAGCAAGGTCCTCAGCCCCACTAGCAAGTCGTTGGTGGATGGTCACATTTGAAGAAGCCAGAAGTCTGGATTGAGCGTTCTTAATTTGAGTTTTCAGTTCCGAAATCTCCCTATCTTCTCCACGGTCTGAATGATTGTCGACTTGAGACAATGTTGCCTCAAGAACAAGTCTCTGCTCGTTAATTTGCTTCTGTAAACGTCCAATAGATGTTTCTGAGGATGTTTGTGCGCGACTGGAAGAGGCTGGACTCCCCCTGCGCGCGGATGAGACATAACCAACATCATCTGGAGATCGAACGCTAAGGCGCTTAGAAAGTGATGTAGAGGATGAGTGGCCGC